GGAAGCATATTTCTTCTGGCTTTTGGGTTAGAGTTAGGGTGTTGATATTGCGGTTAGGGATTAAGTTTAGCGATCTAATATGAACCATAAAAGCTATTTCGCGAAAGACAAATTGTTTATTGTAATCCTTGTCTAGAGTAAAACTGTTCACCTAGTTATAGATATAAAGGAATAGAAATAGTAATTACAAAATATCTGAATGTAAGAAATATCAGAGACACTTCTGGGAAAGCCTTCAATATCTAAAATGCTCAGTTTGTTCTAATTTTAGTCTAACTTTAACAGAATAGGATAGCCTTCCTCCGAAACTATGTGAAAGAAGAGACACACTTAATACGATGTAAATTGCAGGAGCAGTGAATTTATGATCATGAGTTTAACATTACACCCTCCTAGGCTTATTTCTAGAAAGCGAAAGATATCGAAGTAAACGATCTTAGCTTTTAAGCAAGAAATGAATGATTAAATCCATTATAGATATAGCCTATAGCAGCAGATGATTAGAAATAGAAGATAGTTTACTATTTATTTAGCCTTATCCATCAATATTGTCGGTATGTTATGACAGCCACTAAAGAAAATACCTGGTAATATATCACTTTACTTTTTCTTAGATCAAATTCGTAGACCTAGCTATTTATCCATTTTTCTAGTGCTTTTGCATATACATAACGTACTTTATGTGAATATTTATTGGAAAGAGGAATAATTTCTCGGCTAGGCAACATAGTAACAGTATCCGAACGGGATATACAGTCAGAAATAGAATTAAATTCGTATTAGATGATGCCATACTTTATAGATAGCCTTTAATAACTAATCAGTTTATAACATGAGCCGCTTAATTTTGGATTAAATACATTAAATAGTTTTACAGTTTGAGCTGATGAAGTCAAAATATTTTAAGTGCCAGTAAAACAGGTATAGTTGCATCGTAGCTAGAGTTTCTGAGTATTTGGAAAATCCAGCCGTTTTACTAGCCTTCTAAACGAATATACCGAAATTATGTAGTGGTATGATTTATATAAAGTCAATTCTTTAAATAAAAAATCGTAATGTATACGATCTGCATTCGTTGCTGTTTGCATAACAGGCTACTTTTTAGTAATCATTGATTCAATTTTCTGAATAGTTGGCTTTGAACAAGTAATTGGCATTTTCTTGAAGGACATGGCAAACTATCCAAAGAATAAAGTGGTTAGGCAATAACTTTGATTAAAAATGATCACTTTGAACTTAGCTGATACTATTTTAAAGCTACTATTAATGTTTAGATTTTAATGTCATATTAAATTATCATATTTACAATAGACTGTACTTTCTAAGTATCTTAATTCGTTATATATGCCCTCGCACTGAACGAAAATTGAACTGCTTTTTGTTTATCTTAGTCTTGGTACCTTGGTATTATATAGGTTTCTACATGATTGTTTAAGTAGAAACTATAGCGTATTTTACTATCAAAAGTTTGATGAACAGTCATTCTAAATTACTTACCGCAAAACAATTTCCTGCATAATAGTTGTCTAAATCCAACTTGAAAATTTTTTCAAGAAATAGTTTTAAATAGTGACCGTGATGAGAATAGACAGACCTAAGTTGAAAGTCCATAGTCAGACAAGTTTTCAAACCTTCTATTTAAGCTTAGTGATATCATCTCCCTTCTAAAAATTAATTTTAGATATCTTTTAAATTATATAGTAAATTAAACGTTCATACCAATCAGTTAAAAAATCTTCAAGGACGTGATGGATTCTATCAGGTACGGGCATTTCATTTTTTTCCAACAATTTTTCTAAAAATTACATCATTAGGTAAATGTATATAAATGTCTTGAGCATGGCACTCTTCCATATCAAATTTAAAGTCAATATACTAAATAATTAAGCCGTAGAGAAATCTTCTATTACGGTTTTATTCCGTGTTATTACTTAGCGTAGATTTTCGATAGTAACGAAGAACTGGATGGATATTTTTGCTATGGTGAGCAGTCTCAGCTGTATGTCTATAATTTTCCGTGCTTAACGTATCGGTGCTATATGAAATCATAACGAGTACAAAAGCTAAAAATTGATATCTATTTGTTTATTATTTAAGGCAACTTTGTGAAATCGCTTCCCTATTAGTAGTATCTTCCTATCGAATTAATATTTTATTCGTTCACTTACTGGCGTTCGGAAAAATTCTTTCCATATTCAAAGGTTAATGTAATAAAGCCATTGGATATCATTCTACCGGTTAATTCTACAGAAGAAAAGTTTATGCAGCTCGCTTTCAAGCTTTTCATATCAGATTTAATAGTGAATTTGAGTAAATATTGTCTTTATACTAAATTACTTTTGAATTCTAATGTAGTAAAGTTCTTTTACATTGTTAAGTATTACGACATATCTTTGACACCACTTATTAGCAGGCATCCGATTAGCGATATCCGAGTGTTACAGTGTTAAATACTGTATTACAGTAGAAATAACTATGTTAGGATAATTCTGTTAGACTATCCTTATTTAGTTAACTTCTAATTTGGATATACTGTGTTTTAATATAGCACTGTCTTTTATGACAGTGACGCTTATACACATACTGAAATTAATAGTTATAATAGGGAATGCAAATCATCTACTTACAATTCCAATCATTGTGATTGTAATTTACTTATGGTAGACTGTAAATTATCATGGAAATGTTCCGTGATAGGACATATAGTAATCTGGCTATTCTGTATTAGTCATTACATGTCTATGTTGGTAAATACTGTTGTCTGCATTAAGGGAGCAGTAGCTAAACTTAATATCTAATTCAGTAAATGATTCTAATGTTAATTGTATTAACTATGACTCATGAACTATTGAGGAATAGTATATAAATGCAGTATATCGTGAAATAAAGAGAATTTCTCCAACTTAGTGTTTAACGTAAAATACGAGGCGTTTAAGTCTTTGTGTAGTCTGCTAGTAGAGCAAAAGTGTTTGTGATAGTGCAGATATCGTTCCTTGATACGTGGTTCAAGGAATTGACTTATTGATCGTATATTGCGTTATCTTGTTGCAAAGCTGTTTTGTGACACCAAGCCATACAATATAATTTTAATTATTGATTAAAGGACATCATCCTTTCCTACCCTGTAGATCTGGTAGAACTGCCACAGGTACTTCTGTAAGATATCGAGGAAGATTTTTTGCGTCTAAGAAGACATTAAATTAGATTAGGGTGCTTGATTTCAGATAATCGCTTGTCAAGACTAAATTTTAATATCTTTACCTATTAATATAACATCAGCCAATGTGCTAAACATCTGGTATAAGCCCTAATAGTGATATTAAGTAAAGAATTGAGTCTAATTTACTTAGTAGTTTAGACTAATGCACTTATAAGAACTCTTAGGCTGGAAAATCAAATAAAAAAATTTAACGGTGTTCAGATATCTAACAATTACTAGGAAAACCTCAACGAAATAGCGCTCGAAATTTAATCTATGATAACTTTACATAATGGATCAATCTTACCGAAGCCTGGTTTATACGTGTTATTAGTTCATCATATAGAGTTGATGGCGTTAGCAATTTAGCAGGCCAAGGAACTTTGTGATACCGCCACTCTAACAGGTGGTGCAATGCTCTAGCTAAATAAATTGATTTGGCAGCAGTCAGGCTTTGACTCTAAACTCAAATATTTTTTATAATTGCTTGATTTTGTAACACCTGTATATCTGAATCCTTGAATGCAACAGCCACCGGAAATGCGATAGTCTAGGGAATGTGCTAACGCACCAGCTGATAAGAAATTGAAAATAACAAAATTAGCAACACCGAGTTTACTATTTAGCCAACAAATATTTTCACGGCGCAATAAGTTATTCGTTCTATATGTGTATTTCAGAAATTGAAATAAACCTGGCCCATTTGGTAAATGGGAGTAGTTATTATTTATAATATTGATATCAAGTCAAATAATGTCATTGTGATAGTGAGAACTAAAAATAGATTTTTAAAGCAGTGTATAAAATAATTCTGAGATATAAATACCAAAAAACATGTTAGGAGTTGATGTCGATTCATAACTTTCTGTAATTTCAGGGTACTTCCATAATTTTCCTCTTCCAGATAGTGGTCTTGAGTTTTCACTAAATATTGACTTGTCATACTTAATAAGATCAAATTCGCAATGAATACTAGTTTAGTACCTAGTAGTCTATAGCATTTTACTAGATTATGTTTGTAATCGATATTACTCCATATATTAACGTTTCATATGAATGATACTACGTAAAACATATATAATACATTGTACATTTTAAAACATTAATTACTTACTCGAAATCCTAAACATCTTATTATACGATCGTATCTAAGATCACTTTTGGATTCTAAGATTTTATTTAATAAATTCATCCAAAGATAGAAATATATATTTTATCAATAACAAGAGTAAAGATATGCAACACCTCAATATTAAATCAGTATAGCCATTATCTGCAGGCAAAAGCAAATGAATGGTAAATAACCTGTTAAATTGCCGGAGTTATCATCCTTAAAACAAAGATGGAGTTTGTTGTCCTCGCGTTTAACAAAACCAATGGCACTAATACGTTCTTCTGCAATTATTATTAAGTTGCACATGAATATTCAAGCAAATCAACTAAACTATGTCTGCAGTACATACAGTACAATAAATTTTGGTCCGAAATCATACCAAAACTATAGACCCTACAATAGAGTATGTTTTATTAATGGGCCACTTATAATGCCTTCGATTAACCAAATTAATTTTATAAATGGCTTTTTGCCTCATTTAATTACCAAAGTTATGCAGTCTGTAGCAAATTAATTTAAATATAGTTTATTACAATTAGCCAGTAAATTATTTACGTACTGGTATTTGTTGGACTGCATTGAGTAACAAAAACCTTATCATGGTCAAGCTAATGTAATATGTGGTTTCTAAATGGAATTATCTCCTTGGAAGACTAATCTTGTTGCTGAACTACTCTGTATTATCGTTGTCATTATCTCATAATCAAACGGTGCTATCGCATAGTATTTTTTAGATGAAATTATTTAACATTTTAACATATGGTGTATATTAACGGATCGAAAGACTGATCATTGTTTTAACATATGTAGACCATTTTAACCGACAAAATATTCAACCCTAAATCAGCTCTTAGCTAATGTCTATTTACCAATAGAATTCTGCACAATCATACGCATGTCCTTACTTTCATATCTTATTTACGTACCTAAAAGCCCATCCAATGTTTTTAGTTGGTATGAATCAAGGATCTTGCTGTTAATACCCCTAAGTTAAGTAAATTTTATAGTCAAATTTGTAGTAAAAGTCACAAAATTGCCATTACACGATACTACTACGTCTCATCGAAATCTATTACTTTCATTACGATAGTGATTTAAATTAAACTAAGTACAGAATAAGATTAAACATGCATAATATCGAAATAAAGCACTTTAAAATTTACCTAACATCGCCTATATAATGGGTGGAGGTTGCTAATCGAACATTACTCCTACAAAAAATTCATGTCAATACACAACATATGATATGTGATAAAGATATTTTGAATTATGGAAGAACAATTTATAATAAGATAAATTAAAAATGAAGAAATGGTACTAAAGGGGTGAATAGGAAATGCTTTTAATTTATTTTATTACTGTACTTATAATTAATCACACAATTACCCTCCCAAAACATGAAGGAAATTTGAAACAGAGGACAAACTTTGAGCAGTTTCAAAGCCAGAGTTGCCTATAATAACATACAAATGGTAAGAAAGTTAAATTAGCTAATATTTAGCTTAAATTACATTTGAAATACAAGCTATGTGTAAATGTTAAATACAAGTAAAGATTGAATGTATGATTTGTAGATTTATTTTATTGATGCTTCCTTATCGATTATATGAAGATTAAAACATATTTTAACTCAACTTTAATAAAAGATTTTGACTTCGTGTCTAAAATAATTATAAACTTTTACAATAAGGAGGAAGGCATTCTGATTTATATCAATTATAGAACGCAATAATAGCTAGTAAGTACTGTATATTTAATTTACCGAAACTCGCTGAAAATGTCATTCACTTTTGTGATATTTACTGGATACATCATTTAATGTTTTCAGCTATCACGCTGCCATGTTTATAGTAAAATGCTGTTCGCTTTATAAGATTCGTATAACTTAATTAATAGGCATATTTACTTGAAGCCATATTAAAATTGAACTATTTCAATATATTATAGTGAACTAATCCGTTTAGGATTGACACCGTACTCGATTTATTGAATCATTATTTATAAATTTCAAACAGTTAGCAAAAATTTAAATTATATCAGCAAATTGCGATGATATATGGTTATATTAGCTTGGTTATATTGGACAATAATAAATGTATACATATTTAGGATAGATAATATTAATTATTGCATGGCAGTCATATTTTAGGACATTAATAAAACTGCCATACTATTTAAGTCCATAGATGACATACCTTGGCCAAGAATTAAAATGTTTTGACCAATAAACTCGGAGGCATTTGTCGAAATTGATTCATAACCCTATAAAAAGGAATTATTTAGAACAAATATAATCATCTCAAGTGAGCTTATAATGGCAAACTTGTCCATAAATTTGCCTTTTGCTATCATATTGATAATTTCAGTTTCATGCTAAAGCTGAAATACGTATGCTAACATCGATGTATTCCATTCCAGGTACATATTTCGGTATATATGGTGTTGCCAATCCAGTACTAGAGATACAAGGACAAAACAGATTGTATAAAAATAATTAACCGTACATTTGCTTACAGTTGTTGATAATATTTAAACGAATTTAACCGAGTTAATCTATGAGAAGGTACGTAGATTATTATTGTAGTTATGGATCAAGAAATGACGCTCAATTCCGATATACTAAAGTATCATGAAAATAAGCAACATTTAATCTGATTTCATTTATATATTACGTTAAATTAGACGAAAATTGTTTTTACGATTAATTTGTGGTCGTATTTGAAATCAACAGGAATATTATATAGTAAGTAAGCAACTTCCAGATTTATATCGCACATGTATTGGCGAACTTTACCAACATTCTATATTTAATTGTATCTCTTTAATAAATTACGATAGATCTGCCCTAACTGTCTCCAATAACTGATTTTATGCGGCGATAACGACCATTGATAATTATTGTAATTAGCTAATTTAAATTAGTTATGTACACAAAGAGTGACCATTTCAATCCTAGTTTACCTGATAATGAGTCTATCGCATACATAACATTCCATATTTTGATCAACTAGTTTAAAAATAATAGACTTCTTGGAGTGAACTCGAGTTATTCTAGTGATGTTTTTATTATATCTTATCATTAGCTTCAGCTCGTTAGCGTAGTCATTTAAATATTTGACCTGTAATAAAAAATTAAAGAAGAAGAGAAAAATTTTGGAATGCAAATAATATCGTTGATAAATCTGAGGAGCAGCTCTCATCGCTGATGATAAGCTATACTCTATAATACGCTAAACATTTTCAACATACCAAGTCGTCGGCATGTGGATAAATGTCATCGGAATAACGGGTCATGGTTAAATTACTCTTATGGCTTAAAAGTGTATTCCAATCATGTCTTAAATTAAATTCAGCATTTTTTGCTCCTAAATGGTTATTATTACTTATTAGTAATACTCAGTAGATTAATATAGGTGAATTACATAACAGACACTATGGAGAGAAAAATAAAGCATTCTAAATTAACTTCATATTTGTCAAATCATGTAATGCGAATACATTGGACGAAAGCGAGGTAGTATTATTTGGCTGCTATAATTATATTAAGATAATGATCGTTACCTGTATGTTTTTTATTAATGGAAAGTAGACGTCGGTGCCTTGGATAGTGAGTAAAAAAGGATCCTGTAAATATATAGTTTAATTTAAAATGTGTAATTTTACACGAAATCTTACGAAATAATACTGCATCTAACTATACTGTAAAATCCTTAGATTTCTGCCAATAATTGGCTACCAGGGTAGAAATATGGAACGTTAAATGTTAAAATTGAAAGGAGCAAGATTGATAATACTACAGATATTTTTTGCCCTATAACGATCTTTAGTAACCGTACAAGTTTATTAGATCATTCCTAACATTAAATAACGTTTTAAACGATTAGATTTTCGCAGTTATGGAATATAAGCCTTAATTTTACCTAAAATTGCTAAACTAAATCTACAGATTTGATTACGAGTTAAGCAAATGTTCAACTACCGGTACCAGTTAAGTAATATACCGCTAAGTCAACGTGATTAGGCGCTTTAATCGAGGCCAATTGCCGGTAGTCGAAATAGTTTTGATATACCGTCAGACATTTGCAAGATAGTATTGCCTCTTACGCTAAAAGGTCGATCCGGGAGCATTTATCAGATGGTGTTATTAGTGCTATGGAAAAGTAGATATAACTATCTTCTTTTCAATGTTAAAATTATTAGCTACAAGTTGTACAAGACTTTAGATAATTACAGTTGATATAAGCTAGTCTAGTTGGACTATATGTAAGAGCGTACATATTTATTCGTTGATGATAGTTGTTCCGGTTGATAATACAATATAAGGTACAGTAACAGTTTGCTGTGCGATTTAGATTACTGAACCACAGACATTAATAGAAACTAAATCTTTCTATTGATATCCTTATCTTTAATGTACAGATTTTAGTACTAAAATTATCAAGTGTCTAGCCGGTGTACTTACGAAGAGGATAAGTGAGTAGATCGATCGATATTAACTCTAATGCAGTAAAATCCTAAGTTTCATTCAACACTGCTGTTCTTGATTAACTTAGCTAGAGATAAAGATTAACGTAAACTTAAACTAACCTACTATGGTTGATTAGATATCAACCCTGTATAAGAAATGCTGTAAAATCCTATATTTCATCAAATACTGTTGCGCTTGATCATTTTAACGAGAGATAAAAGACTAACGTGAACTTTAATTAAACCTCCTACAGTTGCTTACATGTCAACCCTTTATCGGGAATGTAGTAAAATCCAAAGTTTTATCAAGCACTGATGTTATCACTGAATTTAACCAGAGATGAAAGATTAACGTAAATTTAGATTAAATGTACTATACTTAATCAGATATTAGACCCTGTTCTTTTCTTCGATCAAGGGTATTAGTAAAGTAATCATCCACAGCTTGTGTGCATGATCTGGAAACTTTAGATAAAAACTTAAAACGTAATGCTCAGAAAGCGTTTTAACATTGGAATTGAGTTTCTATGCATGAAATAAGGTTTTGCTTCAAATTCAATCGTTCATAATTATAAATAGATTTAATCCATTGACTACCTAACTTAACTCTAAAAGTTTTGGTAACTACTAAAATTGCCCAGTTACTTATTTATTATTAACTCTATGTTTGAATTACTTGGCTACCTGAAATATTATTCCGTTCGAATACAACGTAGTCTCGGCCTGCACGTTGAAAGTAATAAGCCATCTGTAACCCTACAAGTACATTAAATAATCAATAGAGGACTTTTAAAAGGAGTAGATGCAGGAGATTACTTTCTTGACAGAAAGATTAGAAATACTTCGACAGATAAGCTGGTCTCTAATTAAAGCTTGATAAAGGCAAGCATCTTGAAATTTCTATTGGCTTTGACTTAACCTAAAATGATGTATATAAAATCTAATGATGCCCTTTACCTCCTAGTCCTGCGCCTATAATGCAGTACTGATAATGAATACATTTAGCATGGATTCCGATGGCAGAAAGTAATAAAACAAGGAAATAAAATAGCCTATTCCTCTCTATAAACATGATGGATTGAATCCACTTCTTCACTCTAAAAGAGATTCTTTTTAACAACTTGAAAGTTCAATGGTAACTCAGCTACAAGCTATACGCCTTATATGGAAGCTTTATTTTCAATACAAGAAATTGTGGCTATAGAATTTTATAAATTAATCGATAGCATTGTTGATTGACATCTTTAGAATGATTGATAACTTAAAAATTGAATTTGGATTCTGCTGCAAGCTATACAATTATTATGTAGGCTTTAATTTTTCAATAGAATAGATCGTAGCAATAGAATTTAATAAATTAATAAACAGCATTGTTGGCGTCTCTTGAATAATTCACATTAACGCGTTATAGTAATCTTTATTTCATCGTAGTTTGCATAACAAAAACAATAATTTTTGGGCCATAATGCAAATAATTTAAAATTGTATTGATTGAGGCATTTATCATATTGCAGTGTCTATTTCGATAGTAGATGATTTTCTAATAGATAAAATAGAAAGTATGCTAGGTTTAATCGATGTATTTAATATTGCTCTTGCATATTCCTAAAATTCGAAATGATTTAAATCACGAGCCATACACGAAAGCTACAGTCATGAAGCTATAACATGGACTATATTGAAATTAATTCAAGCTTCTTTTCTGATGACATGCATTGTTCACGTTCGTAATCCTTCCTGTACAGTAACTTTCTAATTCCGTTCTATCTACAATGAATAGCTTAATACTGTATATTGACAATAATTTTATAGAAAGCAATATGCTTTGTTGATATCGACGTTTCTGACAACAATATAGTCAATCTTATTTATATACATAACGTCTACAGCGTACAGCGGAGTATTTTATATACTATATAATCTTAAATAGAATAAAGGACTTACTATAAGGTTCCGATATGTTATTATTTACAAGATGCGACTGCATTGGCGATGCTATGCATATATGCGCTAGCTTTTGCCTTATTGAGAACTAATCTAAATATAGCTGAAGAGATTTCTAATGTACTGATCGTATAAGCTGTTTTTCAAGTGTAAAATGCAATTTATATACAAATTTCCTTGCTAAAAGCGAAGGAAAGCTGATCAATTTCTTATGGTTATAACCACGATATATATGCAACAGGTGCTTCCTTAGAACTCTATGATACCATTTATAGCAATGTAGTACCTATTGTGCTTTACGTTATAAAGTACAAGAAGCTATATTGTGAAAATGGTGAATAATTCTTTTTTATGGGTATAATATGCGTAATTATGCATGTAATTAGCTGCTAAAGAGTGCAGTATTACTGTAAGAAGAAGGACAAATTGTTTACAGTACTTGCACTATATTAGTATTGATGCTATGTTTTACTCGCCGCTCCTGTCAGAGGTAGGTTGAGAAATAGCTTATAAATGGATATAGTAATTTGCTTCGCTAGAAGTCAAATTCAAGATATGAGAGGAGTGTTATTATAAAGGAAGATTACTGTAAATCGTAAGATGTTAAGAAGAAAGTGGAAAGTTATCGATAGGCTTGAGGGCATAAGCCTAACACGTTGACTGATTGATTAGTTAAGCATATTGTCGATTTATCTTTGAGTCCGTTAAACTGTTTATATTACTATTGTTACATTTAAGTTTAGACAACATGATAAAATACCACATAAATGACAGCTTTATGCATGATGAGTATGGATCATTTTACTTTCTACTTAATATTAGAATAAGGTAAAATTGCATCGACCGTATAAAAAGCCAATTTTTAGAATTCTTCCATGATATGCTATTAGAATAGCTGGGATAAGGATTATTTTACGTCTCCTATGTGTTTGAGACTATCTTTATAAATGTCCGATGAAGCAAGATTAAAATTATTATACGTGTTTGACCCTCGATATGCAATATTGACTAGTGAATTCCCGAAAGAGTATCAAATTCAGGTGGTGATTAGATTCAACTCTAATTTTCGAAAACCAGTACCTATAGCTAGTAAAATGCAAAAGCAATTGATACCAATCTATTGATGGAACTAAATGCTAATTTTATCACCTAGTTTAGGCTTATACAGATATGTATGGTTACATATTAAGTAGATATCATCAATGGGTATTTCAGCGCTGTTATTTCGAACATTTCGTCCGCTACGAAAGACAATGAATAATTTCTGATACACAACCATTTAGCAAAATAATTAATAAAAATAACTTTATATATTAATTATAAAAGTATTTCGTTAATTAATTAATTAATTATTGAAAGAACAAGATATAGTCATAAGATTTCGGCATCGCTAACAGAGTGTTAACAATCGATGGCTTGTGAAGAAGTTAAGTCTTTAGCTTTGATCTTTCTATAACGGTGCGATCACAACTTGTCGGTAAAGTTTTGAAAGTCATGGATAGCTAATTAGATTATGAAACTTATGGTCAATACATTTATCAAAAAAATTGATTCATACAAAGATTACGAACTTAATACTAGAAGGCTATACTTAATTAAGTTAGAGCTCAATCGAAATAAATGGAATTTGACACAGTAGTACTATTTTCCAATCGCAATTAGATTTAGGTCGGTTAAGATTCAATTTACCTCAAAGCAAGATTTGACATAAAAATGGCGAAGATCGGTTTGAAGAATACTTTGGATAAATAGATTAATGTAATGACCATGATGATTGTAAACGCTCCTATCCGACAGAATTGATTATTTAGTTGGTTGATATGTAGTTTTTACTCTAAATTGAAAATGCTATAAATTCATTTTGTAATCGTGCTTAGAATATATCATTGTCAAACCAGTCTGTCAGAAAATCCTCCAAAACATGGTGTTCCTTGTTTGCTGGTGGTATTGATGCTTCATCTTTCTTAGCTATAGTTGAGTAAAGATAGCTATTAGAATTTTTACTAAAATTATATATGAAAATGCGATAATTACATACTGTATTTCTATTCTATAAGCTATTGTATATAGGTCAAATCTTTAATCCATGTAATCAAACACAAAATGTAATGACATGATTTTATTCGCTATATTTCATAGTTTCATCGATTACTAAGATGATTAAGAAAGACTGTAATTATTTACATTTTATAAAATTTTTATAATATCGAATTATTGGATGAATATTCCCACTTCGATGGGCTGTTTTCGCGGTATGATTATAATTTTCAGGACCCAAAGTATCCTTGCTAAAGTTCAAAGCAAGGTATAATTAGAAAATTTAAATTTAAAATTCTCGAGCAATGTAAATTATTGGTTTAAGTTTAGATTGTATTCCTGGATAATCAATTGAAGTATTTGTTGACTACTCCAATTCATTGCAAAATATTTTACTATCGACTAGAATACCCAATAAAATTTTTATATCGTTATGATCTTGGTTCTGTTTCATAGCATTTAGCCAGTAAAAATGCTGATCGAAAATGTTATTACCCTGCAGTTATATTTAATATTTGCGTGATCATGTTTGTTATAGTAGGATATATTTAAAGTAAGGTATTTGAAAATTTACTACAGTTTGAAATATCGCGAAAACTGAAATTTATGGTAAGAATCTCTTTGGTAAACAAGGAAATAAAACTATCCAAGTAGATGTGTGTTTAAGTCGGGAATCGGAATATTTGATCAGTTTAGATATCGGTGGAAAATGTTAAGATCCTAATTAGTCTTATCATCTATATGATGTTAACTAATGTAAATCTAGAAAATTCCAAACTATAGTATAACTAATATAATACTGTAACTTAAAATATTAGAGAATTTCGAGTATATCACGGTATAGCATTTTCAGATATTAAATTAATGCTTGAAAAATACTGATATTCATTTTACCCTTTCCCGGAAAATTCTTTACCGTATTCAAAAGTAAGAGTAATGAAACCATTCTTTATATCTCTACCAGTTTCGGCTAAAAATTTAAATTTAAATAAAATTAGGGCCTGTATTGATGGTAAAATTTTTTTATTAAATATAGAAATTGGAATTTAGTGAAAAAACGATATCTGTGCAAATGATACTTTTGCTAACTTTTTAGTTCCGGTATAATTCCTACAGGAACCTCCTCTAGATACTGATGCGAGTGATTATGCCCTAAGTGTGGTAACGATTAAAATTGATGAAATTAAATTTTTAGGTCATCATATAAAATTTTATAATTTTGTTAGATATTATACACATCCTATTAGCCTGCTGCCATAGTTTATTTATAGAACTTTAATTACAAAAACAGTTTACAATTATTATACACTAAGGCAGATGTTTACCGATTATAATAATATCGACGAGCTTTCCAAACATTTGATATAATCCCTGAATAAAAATTTCGGACATAAAATGAAAAAAATCTTTCATTATTCTACTAACTTTAACCTCGATTAATCTAAAAACAATTATGTAGTATTAGTTTACTTAAAATGGATATGTCCATTAATATCGCAATGTAAAATAATAAATAACAAGTATAGCCTTTATAGTCTAACCGATGCCTGATTAATGCGAGTTAACAGATGATCTATTAAATTTGCTGAGGTAACTGGTATGGAAGGCCATGGCTGTTTATGATATCTCCATTCCAGAAGACGATGCAAGGCACGCACTAAACGAAAGATTAAAATGTAAATATGTGTCACAAACCAGTTTCGTTACAAAGATAACGTAAAACAAATCTCTAAATTACTATAGTCTCTGGGATTCAGTATCCCTTAACTACCTTGCAAGAGTTTAGACGCCTTTGCTTCTACGTTAAAACAACTATAAAACTCTTCATTTATTCCACTATCTGCCGAGCTTAAATACCCTTCGGCAGCAGCTATCATGTATGAGTCATAACAGTTCACCAAATTTAGCTCATATCATCAATTAATATTAGTTACCTTATGAGAACTCTTACTACAATACAGCATAATTTACTGTAATAAAATAATAACTACAGTAGTTCTTACTGTAGGTCATTGTTACAGTGTTATATACTGTATTACAGTAGAAATAACTATGTTAGGATAATTCTGTTAGCCAGTCCTTATTTAGTTAACTTATAATTTGGATATACTGTGTTTTAATATAGCACTGACTTTTTATGACAGTGACACTTATACACATACTGAAATTAATAGTTATAATAGGGAATGCAAATCATCTGCTTACAGTTCCAATCATTGTGATTGTAATTTACTTATGGTAGACTGTAAATTATCATGGAAATGTTCCGTGATAAGACATATCGTAATCTGACTATTCTGTATTAGTCATTACATGTCTATGTTGGTAAATACTGTTGTCTGCATTAAGGGAGCAGTAGCTAAAATTAATATCTAATTCAGTAAATGATTCCGAGGTTAATTGTATTAACTATGACTCATGAACTATTGAGGAATAGTATATAAATGCAGTATATCGTAAAATAAAGATAATTCTCCAACTTAGTGTTTAACGTAAAATACGAGGCGTTTAAGTCTTTGTGTAGTCTGCTAGTAGAGCAAAAGTGTTTGTGATAGTGCAGATATCGTTCCTTGATACGTGGTTCAAGGAATTGACTTATTGATCGTATATTATGTTATCTTGTAGCAAAGCTGTTTTGTAACAGTCATTAATAGTTATCTCCATATATAAATGTTTAACACTAAATTTAATCATTTATTCTCACGGTAGTCCGTACCGTGACAATATGATATCGGTTTCAGAGTACTTCTAATTACTGCAGTTACTAATTGTTATATTGAACGGAATTTACCTGTATATCGAAAACCCTGAATGCAACATCCACCTGAATGGCGAAAGTCCAAAGAGTGGGTCAGTGCACCAGCTGAAACAAAAGTTGGATTGAGATACAATTGTTGGGTCCGAAGAAGACAAAATAATTTAAAGTAATCAGCTAGGTATTCTAAAACCTTTAAGCTATTTTGATATCATTGCTAATAAATAATTACTAATACGATAATATTATAATAGAGTATAATATAACAGATAAATTTACTTTATGATTATACCAAAAAACATCTTTGGCACTGAAACAGATTCAAAATTCGGTCGAATTTCCGGATATTTATACAAGCGCCCACTACCTGATTTAGGATAAGCATTTACGCTATATATTGAGCGATCATGCTAATTTGAAGGGTTGTAAGTAAATTCGCGGTAAAAAATACTGGTATAATTTACAATTATCATACAAAATTAGACAAATTAAAAACCAACATATACTAATATACGAATATACACATATATTATGGCGAAGGTACGAAATTGGCTATTATGTATTTCGGACTTTAGTCGTATCTCAGATGTTGTAATTGCGCATTTATTTACAGGACGTAGAGTTAATTATATACAAGTGAAACTAGTTACTGTGTTTGCTAATGATAAAATTAATAAAAATCTTCCTAAATTGAAACTGACATAAATTATCTTGATATTGGAAAAGAAGCAATTTTCTATTTGTTATTCCAAATATTGGCAGCAGCTTAATTTATTAATTCATATTTTGAGTAAAACCTGAAATCCTAGGCAGCGGATAACGCGGTCATAGCCACTATTTCTTATGTCATCTAAATAAGAAAAATAGCAAGCAATTAACGAAATTGATAAAACTGCTACTAGCGGACATGAAATTAGCCATTATATCGGATAGTGAGGAATGTCGTTGATCGTAAAGATTAGCGAAACATTTAATCAATTAATTTTCTTAGAAATTAAACATTCCATAAGGAATTCAAAGGTAGCTGTAGCGTGGAATGTCGTTATATAATACGAAGTCAACTAGAATCTGAACTCTTCAATTGATATAAAAACATTTTGATTTGAAATTACAAAATTACGGACTTATTTATCTTCGATAATTTTATTCCTAGATTCCCTCGATTAGTTTTACTCTATCATTTACCCTCGAGATCGCCTTTTGATGTTTTTGGACAATCCTTAATCCTATTGTCTGGAGTTTTAACAAATCCCATCTTTCGAATATCTTGCTCTATACGATAGAATGAATAATTAATATTTACAGGACAATTAATAACCCTAGAGTAACAATTATATAGTATAAATAAACTAGTTGTCTTAGAGCATAAAGTTCTATTCAGTTTTCTAATGGTAGTCAGTAGTCTTAATATCACATTAATCGATTGAGTATTTGGACCATTTTTAAAACATTCTACACATTATAAATTATTAGATCTAAGTAGTATTCTTAAGAATTTTTTATAGCCTCGATGACTAATTATAATTGTAGAAACTTTACTAAGTAATTATAAACTATAACTGAGATTTTTAGTGATTCTTCCCGTAAGCTTCAACAATAGCTATGAAATCCAACAAGACTGATTTTGAAGTTTTTAGAAAGAAATAGAATGTTATGACTAAAAACTTGTAAAGTTTTAAAGGTAAATCTGGTGCGACATAATCTTAATTAATTGAAATCATAAATGCTTTCACAGTAACGAAAAATTTATGAATTATACAGATATTTGGATAGCAATAAAAACTAACTTTGATACAACGATAGTACATTGCTAATGTAAAGACATTCCCATTTTTAAAAAGTTTCCTCACCATTAAGTCCATCTAGCGTTTTCAGTTGATAGGAGTCAATTACTTTAGAATTTACTGCCCTAGATCGCAAGAAATAAATTAAAAGTTGAATCCCTTTTTTGTATTATAACTAGTTGATGTTTGAATTTCTACCACAATCTAAGCAATTGTTAGTACTACTAAATCAAAGGAAGTTCATGACTGATAGCATGATATTATTGTACCAAGACGTATAAAATTTAATAATATAAATCCTTAAATTTATGGACTTGGAGAATTTAGCTTACTGCAAGGGATGATGAGTAAACTAGCAGACTGAAATGAGTTACAAAATGAAATGAAGCGTACCAGAATCGTATACCAGCTAGAAAATTAATGTAAATATTCTATTTTATCTGTGACTCCTAGATCATGTTAGGATTATTTTTATCTGTTAGGAATGCATATAACTAAATTACATTGACAAGAGTTAATTTTTTAGATGTTTATCTTACATTTCTACTCAATTAATATGACTATTGATACATTTCACTAAACTCAATATAAGTTAGGCTACTTCTACTTGGCAATTATCATTATTTTACCTAACATCTCCTATATAGTGGGTTGATGTAGCCAACCTAACTCCACCCCTATAAAAGTATTGGAAGTAATATTTAGGAATGAATAATAATTTATAAGAGCGTAAATTATTGATGTAAAACCTTCAGAATTTTTAGATGAGACGATTAAATACTTTTTTTTTTAAATTATATGCTCATGCTTTGGATGTTATTATAATTTTAATTTAATTGAAAATGGTTTACCTTCCATGCATATGCAGAAAATTGCATGTTGAAGATATTGCTTGAGCTGTTTCGAAGGCCGAATTGCCTATCAATAGATGATCAAGTAGAAATAGCGTATTAGTAGAAAATTAAATTTAAGGATTGTAAATGAAGCTGAAATTAATTCATTATCTAAAAGTATTGATTTTGATTTGGGATAATGCTATCAAACTTTGAGATTTACCTTGGCCAAGGATTAAAACTGATTGACCCTCATAATCAGATGCATTGGTTGATATCGATTCGTATCCCTAACCAGAAATAAAAATGATTAAGGTTTAAGAAGAAGATGCAAATAATAACCGAAATCGAAAGTTCAGCATATTAACTTTAATATTTTCCATTTTATTTCAATCTGATGTTAGTCGTGTGAAATGCTGCTAAAATTACCTCAGTCAAATCTATTCCAGTAATATTTGGTGGAATATACGGCACTGATAGTCCGGTGCTAATAAGATATTAAATACCGTAACGTTAATGCTAAATCTATCATTTCTAGCAAAAGGATTGAAATAGGATTTGTCATTGTATTGTGTGATAACTAATTCTGTTTTGAAAACACTATACAATGCCTTACTGATAATATTACCTGACTATTGCGACATCACATAAGGTTAAGGTATTACGCTGATCCATCATTTTAAATTTAATCTTTTTTTTATAGTGGACCCGAGATATTCTTACGATATTGGTATCATATTGGATATTTAATTTGAATTGATTTGCATAATCATTAAGATAGCGAACCTATTTAAAATTTGGTCAATAAGTTGGTTTAAGTTCATAAAGGCATTTAATTAAATTCATGTAAATCGAACGGCGTATCTTACAATATATGACTTAAATACTTAAATACTAGTTACTAATAACAAAACCGTCAATTTTTTAAATTTGTGTCATAACTTAATTCAAAGCCTTTTCAATTACATTCTTATAATCCACTCATTAGTGTGCTTACCAATTCATCTGCATGTGGATAGTATTTATCAGAGTAATTTGGCATGATTAAGCTGGCATTATCACTTAAGAGACTATTCCAGTCATGTCTCAAATTGAATTCAGCATTCTTAGCGCCTAGATAAATATAAATACGCAGATATACAAGATGAATTAGGATTGAATACAGAATAACTTAAGATCATTTTTACACTTTTGCAGTGATGTACCCCATATTTGATTGTATTGATACCTATAATTGATACGGTTAGACATCTAATTTTGGATATTATCGCGAAGCTAATATTAAGTAGATAGCTAATATTAGCCAATTAATTAAATATATGTTACGACACTACGTTGCCAAATTAATAGAGTTTAGGAAAGTATGTTGCTGACAGTGTTTCAGTGTTATAGACTTTTGTAGATTATAGTACAACGTATCTATTAGTTTTGAGCCTTTTAGATGGGTAGTTCTTAGGCGTTATAGTAGCAGTACCATATTCTTATTCGATCTTTCGATAAATTAGGGTAGTAATCTGTAGAATCAACTCAAAGTTAGTGCTTTACGTTAGACTAGTAAACTTGTCAGGAAGTAGTCGGTGACAATATCGTACATGATTTAGGTGACTTGATGTACCAGGGTACCTAAGTTGCAGTAAACTGCTCGATCTTACGGTGTTGGAAATTAATGAAAAAGTGGTAATATTTTAAATTAATCGATTCGTTTGATAACTTGATTATTTACGTGAAGAGAACGACTTTTTGATTACAAAAGTCTGATTGAAGACAACATTTTATTGCCATTAATAGAATAAACTAAGTGTATTTAAGAAGTCTAGATATGAGTTTGGGCACACTTCTATACCTCTTTTTTAGAGCTTACGCTACTTTAGGTTAGATTCTTGCCATTAATTAATTATTGCTCTACTATTCTCAAATTCTATTCTTTAATGTAATCCTTTTATAAAATTTTATTTTGGCTAGGATAGTTTTATAACTGAATTTGATTTTAGATTACATAGAATAATGTAGGTACTTTTATTACAACGTCATTTAGAGCCATTTCCAGGTTTACAATGGGATAATGGCTTAAATTTAGAATATCGATTCTCTAATAAGACTACTTTTATATCGCAACGATAATATTTTAAGTGGTGATGCTGTACCTGTAAATTTCTTGTTGACGGATAGAAGTTGCCGATGTCGTGGATAATGAGTGAAAAATGACCCTAGTTTTTAATAATAATTTATATTAGCACTTATACCATTTGGAGAAAACAATCATCAAATGTATGAACTTTAAAGTGAAAAATGAATGAGAAAGAAAATGAGCTAGTTTATTTTATTCGCGTAGCATATTATTTAAAAAGCGTTTTATCGAAATATGCTTTGGCTATTAATTCATTGACATAGCTATTAAATCAAGACGGTATGCCACCTGTTGATAGATAGTTTTACTAGTGTGGAAGAGGATTTTTTTCTTTATGAATGAAAGATTATTTTACGATCCGAAAATTTTAATGTTGCCTATACTGGTAGCGATGCAGATCCTTGAAACGTAGCTAAAATATACCTATTATGGATCCTATTTGGTAGTAAAGTAAGAATCGAATGCGTCGAAACTATTGTAATTAATAATTAATGGCAGAGATCGAAACGTGTAGAGTACGCGTATTTAGGGTACCAACTGAATAAACGCAGCAGTTACGAAACACTAAAGAGTACCGTATATCAAATCAGACGTAGATGGAAGAAATAATAGATCAATGTTTGAATGAACTATCGCTAACAAATTGAATTTAGCAAATATTGACTGGGAAAACATGGCTGATAAAAGTATCCAACTGTAAAATTTTTAAGTTCTAAAGTAAAATATGCTAAAAAATCGTAATGGCGAAGATTAGTAGAGCTAATTTCGATTCTAGTTCGGCACTGTAGATGATTTACTAGGTAAAATTTTAGTTTATTCTTGAATTAAGATAGGTAGGGCTTATTAAAAAAATCTTATGCGATACTTCAACTTGAAATAGTATGATAATAAGTTACAAAATTGCTTCGGAACCACCCTGAATTGGAAAATTAAGTTAAAAGCTAGCATGATCCGTCTTTTCTACCGATAATGAGAATAACTAATTGGTTTGTAGAAAGGGTTTAAAATATCTTTGTTGCTATTAAAATTCATATTAAAGAGTTGAGAAAATACGGTAACGATCACAGTGCTATTTCGATCAACGCTAGAAATTCAAACTACTTTCGCTATTTCTTCTGTCTCGTATGATCTATAGGTGCTATATCAAAGTAAAGCGAATCCGATATGGAGTCTGTAATTAGATAGACTGACCTGATATCTTATTTTTTTCAAACACGATATATTTTCGGTTGGCTTTCTTTAGAAAATAGGCCATTTGAAGACCTACAGAATAGTCAATTATTCGTATTACTACATTAAATCTTTCATTAGCTATTTCAGGGAAAATATTAGCCATCAATTTGATAGAAATAACAATTATTCAGCAATTCTAACTTTAAAAATTCTACTAAACAATTTCATTTCCATCTATACTATATGATTTAAAAAGTGAATCATTTTACCTCCTGGACCACTACCAACGATGCAATATTTATAAAGTTTTAATGTTATCTGAGCTTGAATCATCGATAGTAATTCAAGCAATACGAGTATAGATAGCGTTAATAAAATGTTTTTCTTCATGGTTCTGCTTTATTATTAATGCTGTTTGGTCGCGACTACTAACTAAATAATTTCTAGGAAGCAATATTCAAATATTAAATGACGAAGAAGTAGTGCTTGACCGCTAGTTAAGAATGTTCTTCTTGAGAATAATCTTCGTATTGGGAAAAATGGCCTAAACCTAAAGAATCTCTTAGTATAACTATGAAAAATTATAATGACGGCAAACAATTCGGTCCCCAAACTGGTTCTTATCATTGTTATGATAATCGTGCGTTCTTTCATAATATTTATTTATTTGTATAGAAGAATGCTTCACGTCTACTATAAAATCTTTTATTTTACTAGCCTATAAATATGGAATAAAGGATGCCCCTGCATTGTTTTTCTAATATTTCTATAGAATTTACTATAAAAAGCAGTCTCAGGGGCTAGTGCCTCAATCATCATTTCACGGCTGCACTCCCCCTTCTGCCCTAAATGAGCCCTATTTACGCCGCTGATGTAAATTTTAGAATGAAAAATAATTTATTCTAGAATTTAGCAGATTTAATCTGTGATGTACATAGAGAGGGCAGATAAAGCATCGATCAATCTCCATTATACCAGTTACTTTCTACTTCCGATTAAAACTATTCGTCTTATAAGTAGTTTTGAACTACCGAAAGTACTAAAATAATTTACAGCAATTCAAATTAATCTGCTGCAATTCTATTTTGAACTAAATGCGTTTAGTGATATTGCTTCAGAATAATTAAGTATAGAGAAAAATTTAGTCTTAATACTGAAATCCAATCCATTCACAGATGGATTTCTTATAGAATTTAGGTGTTGAATTACAGCTACAATTAGAGTTGCTAAGATTTTACTGGAGCTGTGTAATGTAGATTAGTACTAATGGTTCAACTAGAATGTTTCTGACTTCGGAATAATTGGGCATAGAGGGATACTTCGCTCTTATTACTGAAGTTAAGTCCAGTTGTTATTGAACTTCATATAGGATTTGTGTGTTGAATTGTAGTTAGAGTTAGCGTTGTAAGATTTACAGGAGCTACGTACTGTAAATTAGTACTAACGGTTTAATTGGAATACTTCTTTTATTTCATTCTGAATTTAAGGCTTGAACGGGAATGAATTGCTACTTTCAGTGCTCTTTACGCTCCCAAACTTTCCGAATTAATGAGCTAATAACATGAATCAAGTAGTGTATAATCTAACGATACCCTATCTGTACAGCATGCAGTGCCAGAATTGATAAAAATAAATCTTTTTATTCTTTTAATGAGTTTATGCTACAGCACTCGATTTTCCAAGAATTACAATTAGAGCTCGACACCCATTTCATATTGGTAGCCGTATTATTATTATGTAATTAGTAGGATTTTGAGTGCGGATCTAATGTCAAGATTTGGCAAGACTTTTTCATGTACTAATTTCATTTTTAAGGTTTTATTCCGATTTTTCAATCTATATCTCTTTGTATCATAGACTGAAAAAGCCTTTACATAACACTTAAGTCTCTCCATGATTAGAATCTTGCATCACCAATGGCATGTTCTAAAATAATTTTGAGTTAATTATTTTGTAATCGCAGATTACCATAGTGCAGCTAAACTAATTAAAAAATGATCAATTTTGTGATTTAATGTATTGATTTAATTAAGTCTTTAAGCCATGCTCAAGTCTTAAATTATCAAAACTATACGGTAATAATCTAATCAAATTTGATATTTTAGACAAACAAAAATTTCAACAGTTGTAAAATTTTAGTTTTTATTAACATATGGTCTCAGAAGAGTTAGTAAAATTTACGATACAACCAATTACGCAGTAGCAAGTTTAGTTTTCAATATATTGAGAAGGGCTAAGTAACTGCGATATCGATGAACGAAAGTTCAATAAATTATTTGTCAGTTACGAAATATTATTAAGGTCTCTGCTAGACTGAGAGTTCTTAAAAGAGGCCATCGCAACAATATTTAACGACTAGCAAAAAGCAAGTATAAATTAGCAGAAAATGAAATGAATGATGTGACATGATCATTTCTAAATACTTTTAGGCCCAGGATATTTACTATATTTTGGTTTTTGCAAAATTTGTTCATTCATGCAAGAATATGGAACTGATTTAAACTTTAGAAATGCCTAAATATTCAAAAAAGTACAACGATAATTAAATAAAGGATTACGATAATATAAGGTATTTATATTTGAATTATGATATCGATTGGATTTACCTTTAAGCACGAATAATAATAATAATGTGTGAGGTCTTCAGCCATCACAGTTTGCAGATATTTCTTAAGCGGAATAACGTGATCTTGCATACTATCCCTAGAAGCAGAATGCAATATTAGGCCATACCATGGTAACTGAGTATGCATATGTCATTGATAGCTTAGATATCGGTGCAAAAGATGGTCTATATTTATCACATGAAGAAAATAGGATAAGCTTTACATAGCTGATTACTGAGTTGAAGCTTACCATTCTGTCAAAAAGTCTTCAACAACATGATGTATTTTTTTTGGTGTCGGTAATGTACCATCTGGATTTAATTCTAATTTTTTCAATTCGGTTAAGAAATAGAGATTATTGTTCCATCTAAATTACAGTAGTAGGTAGCAACAAGCTTAAATTTACCTGTTAATGGATGATCGTAATAATATATTTTAGGGTGGATAAAGTTACATTTATGTGCAATTTGCCATTCTGCGTTAACGCGATCTGGGCCAAGAGTATCAGTTCTGGTCGCGAAAACCCAGTAATTATCATCAAAGACAGAAAATATGAACAAAATGTATATAAAAATGTTGATGAAGACTATAGCTGTATAAATTTTGATGAGCTGTTATATTACCGGGGACCAGCAAAGCCCTTTCCATATTCAAAAGCCATAATAAGCATTCTTCTGGTAGCAGGAACACCAGTTAGCTCTAGTGTAGAATGCATATTTTCATTATAGATTACGTTAGGAAAATTATTGATTACCAATAATCACTTTTGCGTATCAATAGCAATTTGCTGGTCTTACTTTTTAAATTTGGTATAGCACGGATTGGAATATCTTCTAAGTATTTATGATTCCCACTATCATCTGTGTGTAAGATGCAAATAATGCATAAATCATAATAAAACACAATTAGGAACCACGAGCTAACTTCAAATTTCCCAAAATATGGCCCTTAAAGATGCTGATAGCTTAACTATAGAAAGTAAAACTTGACTATATATTCTTTCAAGTCCATTTCTAGCAGGTAAAAACATTTATTGAAATGTTTGTAGGTGAAAGTTAACTCAATTTAGGCCAAATTCATTAATTATTTATGTCATTTTCGCAGAATGTCAAAAACAACAATCATACTGTATTGTACTTCATAAAATTAGAAACTACTAGTTAACTTCAAATATCAAAATATATCACCCTTAAAGATCCTGATATCTTAACCGTACGAAGTAAGAATTGACTAAAAAATTCTTTAAAGTCTACTTCTAGAGCGAAATACTTTAGTCGAAGCGATTACTAGTGAAAATTAGCTCAATTTAGGCCTAATTCATTAATTATTTATTTTTACATTATCTCTGCAGAATGTCAAAAGCAAATGATCATACCTATAAGGATGACATCAGTTAGGATACTGAACATTTGATATAGTCCCTATAAGTCAATTGTCACAAATTTTCCATTAATTACATTTCATTTAATTTTGCAACATTATCTGAATTAGGCGTTTTACCGAGGCCTGATTAATTCTTTTGAGCAAATTTGGAAGCATTCCGTTAGTAGATATTGTTTTCGACGGCCAAGGAATGCCATGGTACTTCCATTCCATCATATGATGTGCTACAATGGCTATTATAATTATATTTGACCAAATTAAAATACCTTAGTGTAAATTATTGAGATGTAGAAAACTTATTTATAAATGAAAAGTATTTCAATACCGGAGTAGCGGAATCCATGAATGAAACCTCCAGATGATCTACGAAAGTCTAGAGAATGTGCTATAGCTCCAACTAGATAGAAGGTACGCGTATAGATAAGCATGAATGCTTTATTTCATATTGGGATACAAACTCGTTCCATGGATAAAGTGTTTTTAAAATTGCTTATTAAAGTTTACTGCTTCTGTTTACAGTATTTCTTACCGAAAAACATATTAGGGACGTTAACAGATTCAAAGTTTGGATGAATTTTAGGATATTTTCGAAGTTTTCCTTCACCACTGATAGGATGCGCAGAGGCATCATAAATGGATTCATCGTGCTAAATAATTAAGATCATATATCACATTCATTAACATAACTGAAACGACCGAGCTATATTTTTTGAAGGCTAAGTAGTTGGTATTAAGATCTAATATCATTTAAAGTCTAGTTTTTAAAATTTAAATTTAGATTTAAATTCTTACTGTAAATCCAAGGCATCGAATAATATGATCATATTCCTTTCTGAAAGGAGAATTTTCTTCCACTATAGGAAATTAATGATAAGAATATAAGGATATGTCGTAAATAAAATACGATATCATAAGCATAGTATTAATCAATATGTCATTAATGCCAGTAAATTATATTATTTTTTTAGAAGTCGTAGAGTAAGGAGAGAAATATAAATATTTTTGCTACAATTCATTGAATATCAGCTGATTATAACTTTAGCGAGGTACTCTATATAGAATAATACCGGGTCCAAGGACTTGATTATTGGTCACGTTTTTGAGATATATTTGCAATTTATTATTTTTTCCTTTCACAATAACGAATCGATTAATATCGCCATCTATATTATTCATAAAATAGATCTCGTTAAAATTTATAAAGCTATCATTTCAGTGATTTTTGATTATTTGAAGGAAAGATTTGGGATTACAATATTCTTATTTACATGTAATGCCATCCAATGATTTTAACTGACTGCCGTCGAGATGTTGTCGATTAACCCCTCTGTAAATACATAAACAGTTGCAATAAGCTAGGCTCAGTTGATAATATAGTAAATAATTTATTATCAATATAGAATTTATGTAGAATCCTCACCTGACATCGCCAACATAGTGTGTAGACCATGATTGACGCAGTTCAGACCTGAAAATTGGATATTCATGACCAATATTAGAATTATAGACTTTGATTTATAGCACAATAATCTATCTAAGATAGACTAGATAAAGTCGTAAATTTGAACAAGGTAAATAGATAGTATTCTGGATCAGAAATTTTGGCCTAAAGAGTCTAAAAATTATTATACTTTACATGTTGGAATGATTTTATAATTCTGAAATAAATATTGATCTCATTCATGATCTAAATGACCTTATTTTGCTCTCATAATAGCTGATAAATGAATATTCTAACTTCAAAACTTGTTATTAAAAGCTATACAGGTCAATATAATACTTTATTTTAACAATAACTGTGAACAATTTTAGATTAAATTTTAATATGAAATTAAATTATAGGAAAGCTTGTCAGTTAATTGATATATTCAAGACAGCTTATCGAAGTAAATTTACCTTCCGGTAATATGGATATAGTTGGTAGAAGAAGATATAACTTTAGCTATTTCAAAGGCCGAATTACCTAATCAATGTATGTTATAGGAGAGGGTGTTAAATACGATGGAGATAAAATTCACTAATGTATGATAGGCCAAAATCAACATAATGATCTAGATATAACGTAAGCTGTACCTGTTCCTAAAATGAGAACATTTTGGCCTTTGAAATCTTTAGGGTCCGTGGAAACGCTTTCGTAGCCCTGAAAAACGAATAAATTTTATTACATTACACAGAATATTCGTTTTACTTTGACCCATTTACCTCCAGAAGCCAATTCAAAGTCTTAATTTTAAAATTTCAGTCAGCAAAATTCAATCTATTTTATCGTTAAATATAAACTAATAATGCTGAATATAGCTCTATTTAAAGCGTTCTAAACTTACAACAGTATGTTCAATGCCGATGGCATCTTTAGGAATATTAGCGGCAGCATTACCCGTACTAATGAGAAAGAATATTATTTGTGAGACTATAAATTTTCTAGATAACAGCCTCCATATAAATTGCTTATAAGATGGTATGGTTGCGATAGAGACGTTATTTAGTTACAGGACTGTCACGTTCTGTAATAGTTACATAATTAGTATGTTACCTTCTTTCTATATATGGTTAAATATCACGATGATAATATCACGTCATGCGTATATAGATGTAGTTATGGTACTATATTAAGCTTATCTATATATGTATTCTCATGTTGCCATACTCGGTATGATATCCTATTTGTAATGTCTAAACTAGGGAAAGCTTTCTCTTAGTGATGATCTTGTGATCTACGCCAGTAGATCAAAGGTCACAATAAAGAAAGTATATAAACTCATTATTTTAACAATAAAGTTAGTTCTTCAACTTAATTACTGGGTCTCCTTGCTGAGTGCAGATCTAGTACTTGTTACAAAATTTGGAAGTTGTAACAAGGACTTTCGGTAATTTTACAACCAGTATACTGAAGTAGTTTACTATCTGTAGCTGGAACTGATAAAAATTATAATTTCAGTTTTATCCTAAGTGTAAACTTATTTTAATATCTTTTCATAAACTGAGATTGTTTCAAGATGGTTTAGAATACTGAGTATTAATGATAATTATCTATACCAGTAAAGTGTTAAACAAACCCTATGATGGAGGCATTGCAGTGATAAGTATTGCCATTAGCATCACGGAATTCAAAGACTTTTTTATTTTGATTCATTGGATCTTGGATTGATGAAATACGAGATATTCGAGTGTTATAGCGAATGTTCAATTTCAATTCGTTAGCATAATCCACAAAGTAGCGAACCTTAATGAGTCAAATATTAGTTCTGATTAAGAGAGTTTATGGCCATAAAAAAATTAATCAAGGAAATGATTGCTAATATGCAAATCATGGCCAGCAATAACAATATTCCACTTACTAAATCATCCGCGTGTGGAAAGTACAATTCTGAATATCGTGTCATAACTAAAGATTCGTTATGGCTTATTAATGAATTCCAATCATGCCGCCAGTTAAATTCGATATTCTTAGTTCCTAATTTGAAGGTAGTATATGAATACATAATAAATATCTAAAATATTTTCGGAAAATAGGCCTAGATCATTGATTCGAATCTTAATATAATTTCAAGGAAAAAATCTATTTTTACCGGTAAATCTTTTATTAGCGGAAATTAAATAGCGATGGCGAGGAAACTTGGTAAAACTAGAACCTGAAGCAGATAAGGTAAATAAAATATCGTCATAGTTTATAAGCTTTAAAAGAATAAACCACCACCAGTCTAATGCCCTATACTGTTGAATCGGTACCATAATCGCTAAAGTCCTTCATTCATAAACAATTATATTTTATTGTAATACTCTATTTGACTGGCTAACCTGCTATGCTATTTCTTTCAAATATGATATAATTTCTGTTGGCTTTATGCATAAAATAACTAATTTGCAATCCTAGAAGAAAGAAATTAATCAATGTAAAAGTCAGCCAAATTCTAAATTTACGTTCATTACTTGTACATTTGATTAATATTAATGGTGTCAATTCAATGTATCAATTTTTAGTTCCGGTTATAAATCACATCAGGAGATTTTAGAATGTACGGATTTAGTCATTTCTATATTATTTAGCCTATCTTTAAGGCAACCCTATAAGATGCCTTACATTTTAATACATGCATGCATTTGTCGGCTTATTAATTTCTTCTGCTAACAAGTGATATGTATGCTTTAATTTAATATTTAAGCTTTATTATTTTTTACTAGCGTCGGTCGGTAACAATGTACTAAAATATCATAATTTGCAGTAAATTCGCTTAGGTAGTGCACTGTTCTGTCTTTATGAAATCCTTGTTTAAAGATATCGATTGCTACTTGTTTCGCATCAGGTAAACATTATCCTCTTGTCGGCCTGTTCAATTTATTAATCAGGGAGTAATTTGATATTTATTAGGAAAGAATTAAAATTAGTTTAAGAAGGATATTTTCCTTACGAAGGCTTAATTTATACTAATAAGTTAGCTGTTCAATAACGTTCGTAGAAAAAGATCTCCTATAGGGATAAAATTTATGAAGGATAAGATCTAATGGTCATGTTTATGAGCTATACTTCCGGTTATTCGGCAAGCTTAATATTCTTAGAACTTATATACTATTGCAAAATGTTTGTCATTATATAGCAGTGGATTAGTAGAGTTTATAGAATAACATCGATGTCGTTTGTATGAATTCTTAAATTTAAAAGGAAAGGACACTATCAAGTATTATTTTCTATGTCTGGTCGAACTAGTTTAATCAATAAATCATTGTCTGTTTGCAGTGCTTGTCTTAATTAAATATTGATATATTAATACTTGCTATCGGCTTAGGCTTGAAAATTAATTCATAGGGCTATAGCAATGGATCATTGTGTGATTAGGAAGGGAAAGAAAATTGATTTTAGCGCTCCCACTACAATATGTCGTCAATTCTGCTATTAGCTTAACCTATAGTTTACTGGCTTAGTCCAGTATATTTAGGGAGAGCGTTGTTGTATTAATCTAATTTCTTGAATAAAGTTACTAGCAAACGGCTCATTATAAACCATAATTTGAACCATTTTCATCAGTATACAGTATGCAGCAAAGCGACTGATAGCAAAACAACCAAAGGAAATTCTTACTGTTGCGAAGCTAATTTATCTCTAAAAAATATGCATTTTCGTTTATACAGAGTGACTGACACTAAAGTAATGTTTGTTTTATGCCTTATCCAGTCATGATAATTTACACTAATCAACAAGATTTTATATTAAATTTTAACTATTAGCTCATTAAAAATTTCATAGCCCTGCCTAAACAGTACCAGAAACAATCCTTATAAATTAGTTTATCTGAGAAAGAAATATGAGTGACGAAAATACATCACTTAGCATCGATTTCACTTCATTCTACGGTACAAAATGTTAAGCTGCCTTAGTTGCAGTGTGAGTATAAAATCATCTTGATATAGAACAGAGCATAGAAAGATAATCTAAAAGTACTTGCTGCATTTCTGTAACAATTTATTAAGTATTAAGAAATAGATTGTTAACATTTTGGCCATTATTGAAAAAATGAATAAGATTTAGAATGACTATTTTCCCATATAAATGCCATAGAATCACTCTAAAACTTGTGGGAGGAATAAGGATGGTAAGAAGGGCTGTTATAACGGGCATTAATAGTAGTGTATAAATATTCTTTAAATTTATTCATCCGATTGAAAAAGATTTCGTACAACGTGTAAACTAAACCTAAGCTTCTACGTATTGAAGACCAGAATTTATCAATTACTAATGATACCGTAAATAAATTATAACTTGATTACAATCGCCCTTAAAATGAAATTGCTGGTCCTGAAAAAATAAAATTAAATCCTTACAGTACCGTAATAAATTCTGTAGTTAGTACAGGAATTGATAGATAACGTACAGTAACAAATTATACAAGCTAACTAAAGTCTTCAGTTAGGATCATTCTCGTTCTTTTGCTTGTAAAAGTAGGAAGAAAAGGGTGGTAAAGCTTATCACAATCTAGATATTTTTTACTTGTCGCTTGTCACCGTAAGACAATAAAGCTAAACAAAAATTCAACAGGTGAGAACTGCAGCAAGTGCGAATAAGAACACAACAAGTGACTTCTAATTAAATGGACGCATACTGAATCAATTACTAAAATTCAATTTCGTCGATTGAGCATGAATGATTGGTAATTCATGTGGTTATACTCCATAATTATATCGCGGACTATCGGCAATAAACCGACTCCGATCTCAATCCAAGATAACCGGAAAAAGGAGGCAGATAATAATATGGCGACCATCATAAAAAATTATAGCGACACTTGGATTGCATGTTAACTTACCGCCAGGACCAGCACCAAGAACGCAGTAATCATATCGCGTGGAAGCTTTCGCAATTGCTAGGCAGGAGATGATGAAGATTGATATTATCCGTGCTGATTTTGACATGGTGAAAGAAGTTGGATCAGTAAATAAAATCGTAAAAGGAAATTCAAGATTTAGCCCGGTCTGACGATTCAATTAAGTAGAAGAAATCTCAATTAAGGCTGAACATCTCGGATTTAATGCCTAATTGTGTTGTGATTGATTTCTATCACTCTATAGTATAATCCCATAATGGTAGCGACGTCAGTAGCCCCTTATTGTTCAATTCAATATGTTTTCCATTCATCATCTTAACCTAGACACGCCTATCTATTAGTATTATCTAATAAAACAAAGCCATAAATGGGACTGATTCAGACTCTATTATTGTTATCAAGTTAGTGACGATAGTCTTTTCATCAATAAATATGGTTGCCAACTACTAGCGAATAACATTGTTGTCAACTTAATTAATGATGTCGTTACTCTCTTTCCTCTTGATCAAAGCGATTGCTACTTGTATGTATCATTAATGAATGGCACGTGATTATGCATGGTCAATTTCTATAAAGGTTCTTGTGATTTTTACAATCTACAGCCGTCGATTAGTATTATACTACAGACAGTATTACACTACCGATAGCATTAAATTACCGATGAAAATAGTCACTGTTGACGTGAATCACCAATGAATAGCTCCTGATTACGCAAGATTTATTTCTACTAAAAGCTCTTTCGATTACTGTATTAACGTCTATGATTGCAGAATAGCATTACACTATCGATGAAAACGATTACTATTGACATAAATTATCGCTGAATCGCTGGTAATTATGAAGGGTCTATTTCTTGTAAAGCTTCTCGTGATTATTATAGTACAATCGATGATTGTAGAATTGCATTACACTATCTATGAAAATGATTACTATTGACATGGACCATCAATGAATGAATGGCTCGTGATTATGCAGGATCTACTGTATATCTATAAAAGTTCCTGTGATTACAGCATTAACTTATACAATTGTGTAACAAATCATTCTAATTTAGTAAGCTTTCAGGTGCTATAAATGCTATAATCAAATTCTTGCAGTGGTTATGTTTATTGCTATTGATTACTACTACTCAAATGGGTACAAATCCGTTAATATGATAAAAAAACATAGATACGATATGATCTACAACATTCATTATTAATAGTAATATATATTGCATTGTAGGATATACGTCACATCATCGTTTATAAAGTTAAGCTAACCAATAGGTAAATTTGTAAAATGTTTTATTACGGATGAACCACAATGAAGGGTGGATGATTAAATACAATATCGCTTAGGAAGTTTATTTACTGGGACTTTTGGGGGTTCTGAAACTTCCTATATTTCATCTTCTGGTCTTTCTTCCTTCGATTCTTCTTTCTTAGATTCTTTTTTTCGCTGTATAATGTTTCTGGAGCATCCAATTGGTAGATTTTTATACTTCATTGCCATCTATATCATCGAAGCAATTTGAAAACTTTTAGAAACAAAATTCATTTCGATGCAGGGCTTGTGCTATGCTTACTTCGTAACATGAGTCGGAAAAATAGTTGTTCAAATCCTTATTGATGATATTTTCCAAAAACTTTTTCAAGGGAAATACGTGTTCGTCCATTAAATACCTTATACAAGAAATAGAATATAGATAATTTAAGGTGGGAAATGAAATTAAGATTAATAAAAAGCTATAGCAATTACTATGGTACCATTCAGTTAGAAAATCTTCGAGGACATGGAATAACTTATCTGGCTGCGGTAAAGTTCCATCCTTTGATAGCTCTGCATGTAATATAGTCATTTCAATATCGATTCTTTACCCAAACTGCTATTTTTATATCATAATAACATATCTATTTAAAAAGCGGCTGCCGATAAAATAGATCGTATAGAGTCTTTTTAAGTTATTTAAATTAATAAATAAACATCTAGCTATTATTCTAGAAAACGATTTTGATTATGTTAGCGAGCTTTACTATCATGGTTGAATAATATACTTCTACTTCGAATCCTGATTTACAGTAGAAAGATTTCATTATATAGTAACGCTATCGCAAGTTACTATTTACGGTACTTTTAATGATGCAATTTCGTTGTCACTAATTAGCATCAAGGTATTAACACGAAAATAAAGATACATTTTGTTAATTCATTACTATAGCTGCAGCAAATCATATTATTGATATTTTCGTACGCTCATAAAATTAAGCTTAATTTACCGGAATATTGGTATTATCTAGCATGCATACCAGCTAATTTTATTAAATATGCTTTACTAGAATTATGTAGACGTTACCTAAGCTATCGCAAAAGTAAGGAGTTATTATAACTTAAGAGAACATTAGCTATTTGTTAGACTATGCGGTAACCCTGAGTTTGGAGGTCATAATGGTAGCCATTAGCATCAGTCATTGGCAATCAGCAATTAGAATACTACTTTTACAAATCGAACCAATTCGAAATCCTCGTTCTTCTACATAGCTTAAATATTTGAAACTATTAAGCATATTCGGTGAATATTACCTGTAAATGGCTTTTTATAGTATCCGATGACTGGGTGATGATATTTACATTTGTAGCCGTCTTTAGCAAAATAGGTTAATAATCTCTCGCCCAATGTATCGGTGCTACAAATAATGAAATATAGACTTAATAGTTCTGAATTTTTAACGAATCGTTAAATATTCGTATCATCTATTAATTAACCAATAATACTTTGGCCAGAACTGTAAGTATAATAAGTAATTTGTAATAATATTTTCCTATTAAAAATTCCAATTAATTTGCGTTACAAGTCTAGTTAGAAGTTTTCTCTGTTTCAATACTTTAAATTGCCATGTAAAGTAAGTATTTTAAAAATTAATTTCATCCTATAAGCATTTTACTCTTTTTATATTGAAAATTTATTAAATCATTATTACAAATATTCATAAATAAAGAAAATAAATTGAAATTTAATGAGGCTTCTCATCCAATTTATCTTATTTAGTCATTGATATTTAATGTAGCAAATCTAGTTCATACTCGGGATTAGAAAAATTTTTGCCGTATTTGTAATGCAAGGTTATAAATCCACGTATTATCTTTCTTCCTGTTAACTCTGAAAGCATAATAAAATATTGAATACTGTTAAATGAGGATTAGAATAATTTAAAAAATTTATCGCAATAACTACATCATGCTATACATCGTCTCAAAATTAAAATGTTCATCACCTTCAAGGTTGGGTAAAAGACCTACTGGAACTTCTTCTAAGTATTGAAATCGATTTCGTTTTTCTAAAATTAGAATAGGAGCAGTATTAGAAGATATCAGTAATTTGATCAAATAAAGTCATCAGCTGATGTCAATTATTTCCTTAACAGTAGTAGATACAATCAGAACAATTTATTTACTTACGGATTAGAATAACATCTATCAAAGAGTCAAACATTTGATATAAGCCCTAAATTAAATGTATTATGTTACGTATGAGCGTGATAAGCTATACTTATGCAATTTTATTTTCTGTTATTTCATTCAATAAAGACTTACTGAAGCTTGATTAATACGAGTAATAACATGATCTATCAATGCATTAACTCTAAATGTCACTGCAGGCCAAGGTATTTTGTGATATCGCCATTCAAGTATTCGATGCAAGGCACGAGCTAAATAGTAGTAGATCGTTTAAAATTTTTTGAGGCTATCTAGCTAGTTCATGCTTAGTATAGATCATTTGCATCATGCTAAGAGCTGTTAAGCAATTCCATTTAGAAGTAGTTCTAACATGGAAAGAAGTGATTCAAAAGTGAATTTTTCATATCGAATCAATACCAACCATTATAGCGAATGCCTTGAATGGAGCCACCGCCTGAGCGGCGATAATCCAAATAATGTGCCATAGAACCAGCTAAGAATAAATTGACAGTATTATACTATAGTGTAAAGACATTCTCTGAATACGTTAATCACCAGTTCTATCAGTAGAACTTTTATCAATTAAGTACCGTATTCATTATACTGATATAGTTAAAAGTTTATTGCTTGATAAATTATTGCTTATTAATTCCAATTAAGACAAAAAAGTAGATAGACAAGAAATACTTTATCCGGTATTTACAGATAACTAGCTTACCGAAATACATATTATCTACATTAGAAGACTCAAAGTTGCCTTTCATCATCGGATATCTTTCGTATGTAAGCCTTCCTCTAATAGGTTTAGCATTTTCGCCAAAGATAGAATCATCATACTGAAGAAAAAGTGACAACAGTATAACGGACATAATTCATTATCATATCAAGGACTGAATCTTCCAAAATCCATCTAAGTATCAATATCAAGGACATAAAGTGAATGCTAGCTTTAGTAAATAACTACCTTGAATCCTAAACAGCGAATAACCCGGTCGTAGTCTTTGCGTGCATTTTTAGCACCACCTATTGCAAATCCAAAAGAATTAGGTTAATACGGTAGTAATAGTCATAATCTGATTAAATTTTGATACTATCATTCGTAACATAGTAGTTAGAGATCAGAGTATTCTCCTAATTCCATAGAGATAAATAATAGAATAAGTAGTATTGCCGCTATAGAAGTTATGTGAAAGCGGTAGTAATTTACTTACGATAGTAATTGCCTGAAGTTCTAATGCCAATCTGATAGCGATTTTCGCGTGTTTTAGTTACAGCAACAAGTTTTAAATCTCCCTCTAAATCAAAAGATAATCATCTCTTATATCGTATAATCTATTGCAGTTAAAGCCTACTAGAATTATATTAATTCTAGGGTTGTGATATTAAATAGACTTCCATAGCTGTCATTAAATCGAAATTATACCTAACTAAGGAATATATTTACTATATCGAGATCAATCAGTACATAAATATTATTTATGTTACTTACCTAAAATTCCGTCCAAGGTTTTTAATTGGTAGGAATCAATATGTCTGCTGTTGATGGCTCTGAGCAAACAGTGAATCAATAATTTCATTCTATAAGTTGCGGCTAATTTTATGATAGGCTTCCACTAATTTTCAGCCAGTATTTAAAATGAAATCTAACTCTAATAATTTGCACGTACACTCTTACGAAATTACTAAGTACCACAACCCTTACCTAACATCCCCGATATAATGTGTTGAAGTGGCAAGGCGAACGCGAGTTCTATTAATGAAGTAAACAAGTGTTGCACTATTTATTGTACGAAATAGCACAAGCATCGCTTTCATGCAGATTGGAGGTATTGGCTTAATCAGAGTCTTGTACTAACTTAATTGCACCTACTAAACGCGGTATTGAAAATTTTCATAGAACCGTTACCTGCCAAACACATGAATATAATTTGCAGTATGTGATATAGCTTGCGCTGTTTCAAATCCGGAATTGCCTTGAAATACATCAAAAATATCGACAATTAGCTTCAAATAAACCTTAAAACCTCAGCTGAAAATATTTTAATCTTGCCACACAAAAAGTGGAGAAAAGTGAAGATGTAAGATATCCGTCTATTCATCTATTCCATCGCACCTTGTCCAAGAACCAAGACATTTTGACCTTTAAAATTAGAGGGATTGGTGGACACTGTTTCATATCCCTAAATAAGTAACATTAACCAAAAATGTGGAAAAGTACTTAAAAATATTTCTCGCACCTAAACTACCGAGTTAATAATTAGAAATGAATTATAATCCTCTAGAATTAGGTTTGAATATTATCTAGAACTTATTCTGCAATTTAGCTATAGCACACGTATTGATCTGAATCAAGTCAACTTTATCGTAACTACAGTATTTGTAACCCAAAAATTGACTGTAATTCGGCTATCGCCAACCTCAATGATATCGTTACCAACGAATCCGGCTGGGACATATGGTACAGAAATTCCGGTACTACGATATAGGAAATCAGGAGAGAAAGATTAGGTGATTTACATATGCTGGAAGTTAAGAATTTTATCTAGGATATAATCTAGCAGTTACTACTTCGAAAGGCAATTCTAACCTTATAATGGCTACTTTACAAATATAGGTATTGTCGTTGCTGTCCATCATTTTAAACTTGGCATTACTATCTTCACTATCTCGAGTAATGGTTAAAATATCGGTGTCATATCTAATTTTTAACTTAAATTGTTCTGCATAGTCATTGAGATATTCCACCTAATAAAACATAGAGAAAATGAATTAACTCAATAATCCATCGAAACAGATCAAACTGATTAGTGCTTTTGCTAATATTTTAATATATTACCAAGCATCATTAATTTGCTTTATAGAAAGTAATGTATAGCAGATACAGAGCTATGGTTTGTTAAACTGAATAACCCTGAATAGCATACTTATACGTAGCAGTATAATTACTATGTATGTATCTCTCATGTTTTCTATACTGAGAAATAATACTGCTTATAACTCTAACACTATCCTAAACCGAGCTGAACTTACATTATCACACCACATAAGCTATGATTTAGTAATTTTCAATATATCATACAATGATTTAAATGGTAGACCGTACCAACTATGTTATATCTTCAATAAATTACATGAAGAAATGCAACAGTAATCCTTGATGATGATACTGCTATATAAAGATATCACTTTTATCTTAGTATCGTTATAATAGCTCAATAATATATGAGTGATCAGAAGGAATGACTATTGCTATAAATATAATTCTCTTTCTGCACTAGAAGAATGAAATATCTAAGGCTCGAAGGTATCGTGGCTGATTATAAGTATAATCATACTGGTTCAGTCATTTTCTGCATACATAAAAAATTAGTAAAGGAAGTACTTTGTAGTGGGGATTACAATAGCAAATTAATGATTAGCAATCATAACTTTGAATTAATTTACCAATTTATCAGCATTTGGATAATATTCTCGCGAATACTGAGACATCAAAAATGATTGATTCTTGCTTAGTAAGGAATTCCAATCATGTCTCAGATTAAATTCACTGTTTGAATGGCCTATAGAATTCAACAAAGATTCGTAAGCACTATAAGGTAAAGAAAATTCTTTCGATTTTCAAAAAGCTTTGGACTAGGCGTAGTAAATAACGTTATTAAAATCTACTGAAATGCAATCAGTGTATACTTGTGTACTGATAGTATGTATCACTTGTTGGACATACATCCAAATATACGTGTACGCTTATACATTATGAACATGTAGTCTTATTGCCATATGCAGCACTGCAGCTTAACATGGTATTATGTCAATTAATATATATTTAGAGATAGCATATATTAGATGTGTATTCTTTATTTATTGAGGATTTGAATGGTGCTTTAATGCTTAACTAGTTCAATATAGTGCTGCTCATAGATAAAAGGAGGTGCGCCAAAAATTTTCGAGATTTTATTACCTGTATGTAATTTATTTACAGAAATTAGTTTGCGATGCCTCGGGTAAACGGTAAAGAATGACCCTGCAATTTTTAAATAGAAATAAAATGAGTCTTTTTCAAGATGAGAATTATCGTCAGAGATAACACTTTAAAATTTTGATTGATAGACATACGGAATAATGATTATATTTTCTAATTCACATGCCGTTATAAGATTTTATAAAACTGGATAAGCTAATGGAATAGATAAAGAAGTTTATGTAGTTATACAGTACTAAGATTAAATGAAATGTAGATACTTGTCGCCATAAATTAATCTGATTTCTTCTCGAATGGAGCCTAACTGCAACTCGTCATCTGAGTAAGAATTGTATGCCGCTCTTGTAAACGCAGCTTTAATAAAACAACGTTCAACATCAAATCTTTTTTTGATGAGTTTATCATTGAATCAGTATCTATCAATTGTCTTGTAATCGGCGTAAGCATTATGTACGGAAAATCTTAGTCTCTTATAGTTTCGCATAGGGAATTCGAAATTAAAACTAGTAACTATTATAAATCGAAAATTGATTTCATGGCTGCGTAGAATTTGGACTATGGAACTCTATACTATTAGTACATAGAGCTGGTGAACAGATTTTTGGGTTTGTTATGTAAAGGTACTAATGATAATAAAGTACAGTAAAGTAAAAAGTACAAATGTAGCTTGACAGCTCGTGAAGCATCACGAGAAAGGGCTAGACTAGTAATCATAATATGCGAAAACGTACGTAATTCTCGCCGTAACAACTTTTATTTAATGTAATTTGATGAATTGCTTATAACTTCTACGTTATACATGATTCCAGTATTGCAATTATTTAACCTCCTTTAAAGGTATGCATTAGCAGCAACAAATATTATCGAATAGATATAATTTCATACGAATTTAACTAATTTAAGTTAACAAATTAATAGCTACCGTCTACCTGATATATCATTCTTTTCAAACACGACATAATCTCTTCCGGCACTTTCCAAATAGTACGCTATTTGTAATCCTAATTGAATATTGAGCAAGTAAGATATTCTGGCGTATAATAAAGCAGTAGTCCAGGTATAAAGGTATCATATAGCATATAAAATTGGCATCTCCTTCATTATGTTACAGAACGATTTGCAAAATTTTGCAAATTACTAAGTATAAATACATAAATGAAATAAATTGTTTTGGTTCATTTCTCATAAACTACAGAAGCAGTAGTTTTAAGTAGCTTTCAGACAGAAAGCATTTGTTGTTTAAGGGATAAATGATAAAGGATAACTATTCAATTCTAATAATCCGTTAAATGGTGACTCAATATCGATTTCTCCAATTTAACTTACCTCCAGGACCACTACCTACTACGCAATAGTCGTGATTTTCTGTCTTTGCTTCGATAATTGCAATAATGACTGAACAGTAAAGGACAAACCCAATGAGTTTAATTCTTTGCAATAGTAATTGTCTCATGGTAGCTGCAACTTTATCTTCAATGACAGATTCGACCGCTTATTTCGATTACTGAGCTCTACTAAGTTACAATATTGATCGAGTTAACGTGATCAAGATTCTATAATAGCTTCTGCACTTAAAAGCTTTAAAATAAGGATAAGGGTAGATCAATAGACTCGTTGCTAAAGCATTTACATGGTGATGAAAGAATGATTTTTAAATTTCCATGGCAAATAATGTCATGATTCGCTTTAATTATATTCACTCTGATAACTACGATGATGTTGACTTAATCATTTACATCTCTATGATTTCCCTGTAGGAATAGTAGTAATTGCTAAAATATCACAGTAATAAATTCAATATTGATTCAGTATTTGCCTACAGCACACAATGAACAGAGAAATTGTTAGAACGTGGAAGAATTTTATTCGTTAATTAAGTTTATATTGACTTAATGAAATTAATTAACATAGTCACTATGTTAGGCTTAATAGAATAAAATATTACGTTAGAACATCATGTGTTGATTTATCAACAATTTAATCTAATTAGACCTGATTAAACTAATTTTGGTGTTAGAAGACGCCGCAATTGCGTTACAACAGATCGAATTGAATGTGTTATTAGTAGACACTATAAATTAAATTTATTGCATTTCATATCACAGAAGATATCTATCGCAATGCTAATACTATTTGCTGCATGTTGCAACCACTTTCACGGCTGTATAATATTGCTAAAACCTGCAATTAAGAGATTGCAATAGAATCATGTTAATCCGTTTAAAGTGCCTGTCTAGCATTCGCACACCTATTGCATGGTTCACCACCATACAGGATAGTTCTTTTAAATCTCATTAAGTTACATTTCCAAAAATGCTAACACGAAATTAAACTTTTTCGCGGCATGCAATGATCTCTTAGTAGGATAGGTAGGATTACTCCAGGTAAATTTTATTACTTGAAACTTGTTAAAGCCACATTATGCTACAGTACTTACAACTGATTAGAGTGAATGTACATATTAAGTTAATATCCAGATAAGCGGAAGTCTATAATGCAGAAAGCAGTCTATGATCACCTTCCAATATACAGTAGAAAGATTATAGCCATATTACATTTCAGAAATTATACTATTTTTGGGAAAAATAGTTCTGTAAGTCAGGCTGGATATAATCTTAAGTAGAATCTAGAGTTTCATTAATAAGGGAATTTATTTCAAATGTATAACTTAATCTAGAATATAGAAGGTTCTTAGATCTATTTCATTACTAGATAATGTATAAAGCATGAATAATGCAAAATATTCATTCATATTTCATGTAACACTTTATTGCACAGGAAACGGATAAAACAATATATTCAATAACTAATCCAAGTTGATAGAACTTTTGGGGTCGTATAGTAGTATCTATAAGGTTATGTCACTAATTTCTGTCTTATACACAACCTCTGACGTTTAAGGAATATTTATAAACTAAGCAATTTGGTGCAAGGGTAAGGTACCGTACTTCATGTTAAATAATGATACTATTCTAAAGTCTGTTATAAACCACGATAAGTTGTACTGAGTAATTTCTTTATGTAAGACTAATTAAAATACAGAACTGCATCAATTTCACATCTATCGCCTTCGTTCTTGTTCTAGATTATAAACTGGGGCAAAAAATTTTAAAGTGCAATATTTAGGGAAGAAATTACATCCATTCTGTAAAAATAATTATGAAAAATACGATTGTCATGGCTTTCTTGTAACTCTAATAAAAAAAGGTCTAAAACGCGATATTAGAAAGGAATGGGAGGCCTGTATTGATGAAGCCATCGATCTATAATGTAGCTTTGATTTCTTACAATGATCGTCAAAATTGGCAGACCATTGGGATTGTCTTATGCCAAATATCGATCGCAAACGCCTTCTATACTATCCAATCTGTCACTTGAAAGATACCACAATAAATGTGACTTTATTCAAAAATTTTACAGTATCGTAAACTTGGCTATTTAAAAACCCAGATAAAAAACGGGGTGTCTGCTCATAAATTGTCCTCGGTAGCAGCCAGGTGGAGCACTTTTGTGTAGCATCATCATCTTAAAAAGCATAATATTTCATGAGAAAAAGAAAAAAAATACATCTTTAGGCGAAAAGATGGCATTTTTACTGTTAATACCTCAAAGCATGAATCAGCATAATAGTTGTTGAAATCTTCTTTAAGCATATTAGCCAAGAACCGTTTTATAGGTATGATATGGCTCCCTATTTTATCCCTATAGTTGATGAGGTGCGATTGTGTTACGTTATTATGACATACATGATTTCAAATAAGAAATTAAAGCCTATAAAATCAAATCAAACCAGTGAGTTAAAAAATCTTCAACAACATGATGAAGTTTGGTAGGTGGTGGCAATGCCCCGGAAGTTTCTAAGGCTAACATAGTAGACAGTCCAGCAATCCCAATAAGATAAAAATTAAGCAATCGTAGTTTTTAATACGCATATAAAAGTATCATACGCATAAAATTGGCTATATGCTAATTAGAGTGATGATAATGATATCTTACCAGTTACTGGCTCTTCATAATAATAAATTTTGGGATGAATAAAATTACATTTATGAGCTTCTGTCCAATTAATATGGATACGACCTGGAGACAGCGTGTCAGTACTGTCGGTATAGACAAACAATATATTAGAATTTGAAATGGACATCTAACATATCATTCAATTTATAACTACTTTCATTCGAAGCTGTTATGACGATATATTGGATTTGTTTACTACTTTACCGTTCTCCAGTAAACTTTTTTCCATATTCAAAAGTAAGTACAAACATTTTTTTCTGAATCGGAACCCCAGTTCGCTCTTTATAAATAAATGAAATTTCAAAGAAGTGATTAGACATTAGCTAAATTTATTCTCAGATACATTTACATGTGCAGCTAGATATAAGAAATCGTGATAAGTAATTGATCAAAGAATGATAAATTACTAAATAAAATAGCATCATGCAATCGCTTGGTCTGCTGCTATTACGTTGATATCAAAGCGCGAGAACTGGGCTATCTCGGAGTTAAAATATATATTTTACCTTCTAGTTTAGGTATGATATGAATCGGAACATCTTCGAGATAATAATGGGATCCATTTTCATCTATATGACATGAATTGTTAGTCAGTTCATGGTCTTTATATTTCTGCGATTTTAGTAAAAATTTTATCGGCTTTCCATTTGATGAAAAGCATAAAATAGATGTATCATATAGACTCTACCTATAACAATAATGTCAGCAAACGCGCCAAACATTTGATATATTCCCTGAAAGTAGTCAATGCATTCAATTAAAGTTGATTGCAAGTTTAAGATACAATTTTTAGTTCTTACAGAGGCTTCATTTATTCTTTTTAGAATCTTATAAAGCAAAGCATCTGTGCTAAGGCGAGAAGATGGCCATGGGTTACCATGATACTTCCATTCCAACATTTGATGTAATGCGCGAACTAGTATGAAATTTTGTAATGGTAATAGATTAATGCTAGGCCCTCATTAAGCAAATTATTACATAAAGCCTTAACAGTAAGATAAAGTTAATTTATTACTTACTGGAGTATCTAAATCCATGAATAAATCCTCCAGAAGATTTACGATAATCGCGTGAATGAGCTAAGCTGCCCGCTAAGATTTAAAAAATTGATGGAAGTGAACTGTAGTTACCTTGTCTGACTTAAAATTGTTAGCAGTAATTATTGAAATTTTAACGAAAATATTAATTGAATTTTTACCGAAATACATATTAGGAACATTTACAGACTCATAGCTATCACGTAGAAATGGATATTTAGATAAGTCATCTTTCAGCCTGAATGGCTTGGTCGATCCATTGAATATAGAATCGTCAAACTAAAATGATTGTCGCATAAATGAAAAAATTGATTATGTAGCATTTTGTGGCAAGTATATACGATATTTCGCAACGCCTCAACTATTTGAATAAGGAAGGAATATCTTTTATATCACTTATTCATTAGCTAATAAGCATGTGTAATTACGAAGCGCTTATAATTATCTTTTATACCTGGAATCCGAGGCATCGAATTATATGATCGTATTCATTTCGTAGAATATTATTATTTTGGCCTAAAAACAAACGCGGAAGGCTATTAATAACTTATAAAGAATTTGTGATAGTTAATATGTTCCTTGAACAAACTGATGTTCTACTGCCTATTAATAGCAAATTTCATTAGTTTTCACATTATAGCATTTTACCAGAGCCGCAACTTTTAAGCTCAAACTTATTCTACCATTGTCGTATCAAAAAACTACTTATTAGAATGAGCGACAATTAAGTGCGAATTAAAGTACTATTTCGTCATAATAGTCATAATTAATAACATACCTTTGCCTATGACTCTCTTTGAAAAAGGATCCCGTAATTTTAGACCAATTTTATTCTTCAAAGTTTTCTTAAAAACAATATTTTGAGCTTCGATATCTGAGCCGAATAGTAAATAGAAGGTATAAAATTTTTCGAAAATCTATGATCAATAACTTACCCTTTATAAATATTTATACTATTCGATAGTATCAAGTTCACTTACAGGCTATACTATCCATAAATCGAAGTTGCATGCCATCCAGAAAATCTCTGTTAATTCCTCTATTCACACAAGATTTCAAAATAATTTTCGTTAAGAAATTTTGAAAAATCCAGCTCAAGTTTCATCTATTGATTTCTTTCATCAAACTTATACAATTAATGGGACATCTAAACTTCAATATGTTAGTTTTTTATCGTTTAATAACAATTACCATAAACGAATAATAAGTAGTATACTATTTTCTCAGAAACTATGTAATTAGCCTTTATAGAGATGCGATAGCTATAGATTAATAAGTACTAGTTACATATATTCTACTAGTTTGATTTAAAATTATCATATCATCTTCATAATTCTACCTAACATCTCCAACATAATGTGTTGACCATGATTGACGGAGTCCATTTCTGATGTATAATTAAACAAAAGTTTAAGTGTTTTTACTTGATTTACATTCAAAATCATTAGCTAATGCTGTGAGGTAATACTTGTATCTCTTTCAACTTTAAACAAGTTGCATAATACAGCTTTCCAACTAATAATCTCAACTTCACCAACCTGCCGACCAAATGAATCTTATTCGCAACCGGAGAGATAAATTTCGCAATTTCTAATGCAGAATTCCCTGAAATAGGAGTTTCAGATTTGTTTTAAGAAGGTGAAGATTAAAAAATTGGAGATGCAATAAATAGTAAATGAGATATAGTTCGTTTCTTCAGGAATGATCAGAAATTCGAAAGTTTCATGGTTAGAAGTCCTCTAAACCGTAACATTATGCATCATATTGCATTGCTTCATTTACCTTGGCCGAGGATAAGAACATCTTTACCCTCATAAGTGGTTAAATTCATGGACATGGATTCATAGCCCTATAGATTTTAAATTATATTTAACTACTTTAATAATTCTATAATGCTTAAAAACAGATCATTTGAACATCTAAGAGTTTGTTGGTGGAAAATAATGTTTGTAAATCTTCTAGATCTAATTTTAAGACTAGATAAAATGAAGCATTGCAAGAGAAGGCCGCATTAAGATTAATCACTTACAACTGCATTATCGATTCCAATAGCGCCTTTTGGAATATTTGCCAAAGAAATTCCCGTACTATAATGTAAATTTGCATACAGAAATACTGTATTACTCTGATAGGTAAAAATCTGGGAAATGATCATACTCTACAATAAATTGTAATTGATGAAAGTGTTCTTATTTACCTAACAATAGTCACGTTACAACGGTATAAATTGCCTTCGGAATCATTCATTTCGAATACATTTTGGGTGCTATTAGCTTCCTTGATTTCCGAAATATTGCTTACTTCAGTGTTGTACTTGATTCGTAATTTTAGCTTGTCTGCATAATCATTGAAGTAGGTAACCTAAAATTTTTTAGATCTATTGTCATTTCTTCCAACTTAGACGTGAATGTAAGCTTTAATGAGACAGAAAGTATATAGAATTTATGCAATATCTGCTACTGAGCTCACCAGATCATCTGCATGTGGGAAGTACTCATCAGAATAACGCCCCATCACTAAAGATTCATCGTGGCTTAAAAGCGAATTCCAATCATGCCGCCAGTTGAATTCAACATTCTTTTCACCTGAAAATTCAATCAGACTTTTAATATATTAAAAGACGTATTGCAATTTGAGCAGTTTTACTTAGTTATTCACTTGTCATTTAAATTCTAGTTTTAGTATTTCTAATGCTCTTTTAAAAGCAGTGACAATAATGCAATAGATAGAGTATAAAAAATATTACAAACGAGCCAGCCTTTGTCGATATGCCTTCAACTAATGTAAAATCTAATAGTATAAGAAGTCAATTCCAGTTCAATTCTTCATGATTAAGTGCTTAAAATCCTGAGGTCGTATAAGATAATGTCGAAAGAGTCGACTGCCATCATTTGATTCATGCCTTATAATGCTTACTTCTGAGTCAAAATATGAGTACTTATGATACCCTCGACGAAGACAGTTGTTCAATTAGCAATAAACCACACAAGAACCACTTGCCTGTATATATCTTGTTAGCTGAAATTAAATAGCGTTGGCGTGGTAAGTTTATAAATGTGGAGCCTAGTTGGGTATTTTGCAGGGACAAAGAGATCGATTTTAGGTTAGTATAATTCTGTATTGCAATTAAAATACAATTTAGTTTATATTTACAGAAAGAGTATATGTCTAATTTTAATCTAACCTGCTTTGCTATTGCGTTCGAAAACAACATAATCTCTACCCGTAGAGTCAAGAAAGTAAGCCATCTGCAGCCCTAAATAGTTTTACAAGCACAAAAATTTCGTAGTTCTCATATGTATATCAGTAACTTTGGAATTAATCTATTTCGCGATTCGTAAAGTTTTCGATTCTCACTTTAGAGTGGTTAAACTACTACAATTTTTTCTTTTAATTCAATTAATGATAAGGTTGGGAAATTATCTTAATACAACTTTTTTATGTACTAACAGAAGTAGTAGCCGATAATGTAAAGAGTTTCTAGAGATTTAATATGTCTTCCGATAATGTGAAATAAGGCAATTCTGTTGGCACATAAAGCTGTACTTACCACCAGGGCCGGCGCCAATAATGCAGTATTGATGGCTTTCATAGGATGAAACACAAGTTTTAAAGGTAAGTAATACCGCTAGGTAGGGCAGAAATTTGAAAATTTCAAATTTCATGGTTAACATTTAGGAATGCAACCTGATTACTAAACTTAGCTTTATGAGTTAACGTCACGATGAAATATTTGCAAAACGGATCCGATTATGCTTTATGAATGATTCTGCCGAGATTGCTGTGCTCTGTGATGAAGGAATTATTGCGTAACTTTCATAATAGAATCATTCGCAATTTAATGAATTATTGAATAGGCCAGAGATTTTGTATGCCTAAGTTATCAATAAGCCGCTGTTTTATTCAAATTTGTAAAAGCGTGTTTACTAAGGTTTAAATAGTTTACTTATTATTTAGATTATCCTTAGGTAAACACAATAATTAAGTTTGTATTTGTGCCACGTCGTTTTTTCATATGAAATTATAATCTAATTTTAGAGGATTATCAACTATTACACTAGGATTCATACTAGCTTTTATTTGGCAATTGCTATGTGAAATTCGTAAATTTAAAATAGAAAAAAATTCCAATAGATAAATGGTTGCAGGCAGAGAAGCCATAACATTAGTTAGTATAATGAAAGAATGTTGAGATACTATTATGATAGCTACTGTTTAATATATTATGTATAACATAATCACAATAGAGGTTAGATTTTAGTTGGTAATTTGCTTCATAAAATTCGTAAATTTAATATGAAAATGATAAATGATTACAATTAGAGAAGTTATAATGTTAGGTCATAATTCTAGCTAGTATAACGGAATGATGTTGAGATAACATTATAATTATTACTGCTTACTATAGTAAGGGTATGGGCAAGTGGACTCGTATGAACATAACTGAAGTTAGTCAAACGCTATCTAAACTCTCTAAATTTTTCGCTTAATATATTAGTTTAACATTACAGCTGCAAGTTAATACATCGATCATTGCACAATAAGCTGTAAAAATGTCGCGGAAAATCGATTGAATATATACAGCATTAGTATAGAGTGATAGGGATTGATAGTGTATGGTTAATTCCAAATTTCTGCAATAAAAAATCCAGATAAAAAAATTTCAGCGAAACAGAGAAAATTCTTAATCTACGTATGGCGAAATTTTAAAGTAAATAATTGTATATCTATTGGTGGAAGTAGAGGTTAAAGCGATCATTCGGGTCTAGTTTCAGCGTATTATGAGATTTAAATATCTGCACAAGGTGAGTATAAGCTGTGAGAGTGAAAATAAACCTTTGAACAATTTGTCCATGACAATGTTTCTATGGTATAGATCTACATTCTACGTATTCACCTCACAGCTTCCATGATTCCCTATATTAGCCTGTAATTCTTAAAGTTTTAGCTGCCTTGCAATCCCAAAATACTCTTGTACTAAGTATGTGAAAGTCTCTTTAGCTTGATGGCTATGGTAATATTCAATCTTGAGTAATTTGCAAAGTCTACATTATACTTTCAAGAAAGACTACTTAGAGGAAAATTGATTTTCATTTATTGCCATTACATTTGGAAATGATAAGCAAGTAACAGTATCCCGGCCTAATAAATGAATGTGGTACAAAGTGTTTATTCCTTTAGTATTTTATTGTGCCTTATAATCACCAAACATTTAACCTTGTGCACCGATATTAAGATCATTTAAATAGTCAATCCTTTACTCCCATAACATACACTCTTAAAGATATAGCTATATGTGTACACTTTCTATTTTCCGAATACACCGTGTTAAATTGGATTAAAATATAACTACCTGTGTTTAATATAAAAATACAGTTAGCCGTATAATTTTCAGCTAAGCAAGTAGTAAACTTATTATTAAGACTTCTTAAACCGGTATAAACACGCTTTCATATGGAATACTCTTTTAAGTAGATGTTAGCTACAGTGCAATATACAAATGTAATACAATATCAAAACAGCTTACACTTTAAAATCATTAATTATGGGTTACACAGAATAAAACAGCATAATATGCTCGTAAACGATATCCGTCAATCTCAAAATCGCTTTAGCGGTATTATGGAGTATTAAAAATATTTACTGTACAAGTAGATACCAATGATTATAATACACAAAGTATAAATTCAGCGGTAGAGACGTTGCAGAATTTAGAATTAGAAAAGAAAACGCGACCATATAACATTGCTTTAATTTGTTAGAACAACCGTCGACCTTCCAAAATTTCAAGTACAGACATACGAATAAACTAAGTAACAAATTTTCGCCACCCATGAAAACATCGTGTAAACCGATGCGGTTCTTTACCTTTCTTTGCTAGAAGAAGTTTACGTGCGGGCACTGCATTGCGATCCCTCAAATGTTGTAGATAAAGCTAACGAAGCGTTAAAATTATGATGTTAGTATATGGCTGTGCGATCATTAGTTTTTACTGTAGATAGTACCTGAGCGCTTTTTAAAGACAGCTTAATTTCAATCTCACTAGCTTGATTACCAACCCAAACGAACACCTGTACGCATTATTAAAAGTAGTGGATTACAATCGAAACTGTTATAATTTAGTAATAAACATATTTTATCCCACCTCATGGCCAGTATCAAGTATAAAGGCATCGTCGTCAACAAGATCATTCTAAATAAATGATTTAGCGTCGGAAATTAAACACAATCATTATATCACATTTTTAAAGTAATCTTCTTTCGAAATTATGTATGAAAGTTTCTCGTACCTGACAAAAATCGACGCATTTCTCCGAGATTTTAAAAAATCCTCGATCATTTGAGCAACGAAATAGCCGAGAATAGCGAAGAAAATCTGCATCCTAGATTTATTAGTTAAGGTATATTTATAATGCATCGTACAAATATTGAACGTGTTCGCGGATCAAAGATTGTGGCAGCCACTAAATTATCAATTAATTAATTAGTTTCTACTTGTTCAAAGCCAGAAAATAGTTACCTGATCATATTTCGCTTTTCCGCCTAGTAGTTCCCAAAATTTTTCGTCTTCACTGTCCTCGTGGATTAGATGCGTTTCATAATTTCTCTCATGGACCAAAAAGCTGGCTAGCTCATCTATTCCTTCTGCATCCTTTTCCGGAAATTTACTACCGAATAGCGCAATATTTAACTAATCATGGATTATTTACCATCTAGAATGAAAATTATTTTACTCTAATATATAGGGATTCAATTATACCATTGATAACCGTGTTTATTACCTTCCCATCCAAATGTAGATAGTGCCTTCAGATTGGTCTTCCATTTCTTCTTCGTCTACATTTTCCTCTTCATTCGCAATTGTTGATGACGGAACCACAACAAAAAAGCTGATCCAACAAAAGAATAGCATCAAAGTATTAAGAATTTGATTTAAAACATTTATATGCATGCTACTTTCAAGAAATATAATACCAAAATTCCGAATTTAGTTTTCTTGCTTTTGGTTGTAGCTAAAATATAGATCATATCATGCATATTTATGAAATAAATTTAAACATTTACAATACATTTTGTGGGTAAAATTCCAAGCCTGTTACTAAAGTGTAATATTAGGACGAACCTCTAGTACTCTTCTAGTCAATATGCATCCATTTGCTCTAACTTCATAAAGGCGAGGCTCCTCAGTGATGGCCTGTCGTCTGACTAATCTTTGGCCCTATGATAGATAACCACATCAACAATATGACTCACATATACTTTAATACATCGCATTGCTAAGAATACTAAAACTGACTTACGTGGTGAATAATGAACTTCTTCTTGAAATGAGATAAAAACCGGTAGGACTCTTGTTGCTATTAATGTAAGAATCAGAAATTTAATCTTGAGTTTACATTCCGTAAATCGCAAATAATCATACCACATTACCTGGCTAACTTTTGTTATTTCCAATTTCCCGAGCAGAGTTTCGAATTTCTTTTGCAAACTTTTACAATAATTGAAATAGGTACACTTACATAAAAGCCAAAACACGGAAACGGAATATTTACAGAACGTACCTGAAGGTAAATGTTAACCAACCCATATTTGTTGTAAGACGGCCCTGAGAACGATATAGATTATTTTTTGTTAATTTCGAGTGTGCAAAAAGGATTAGGATACAAATGTAGACCAACCTGCCAAAAATATACTTCGTAAACAGATTCATAGGCATCTTCATCATTTGTTTCTTTCTGCGGATCATCCTCTTCATCCAGATCCTTTGGAACCCAATAGCGGCATAAAAATACGTAGCAGTCGCCATCATAAAAATGACCTATTGCAAAATGAACGTCATAACTCTTTCGCACCAACGACCTGTATTCTCTTAAACTAGTTAGAATCGGCTACATTACCAATTTCAGATTCAGGCAACTTAACAAATTTTTTGCCTTCCAGTACGAAACACTGCATGTAGTCAAGCTCATCGTTATATTCATCCATGAGTTGCTCCTATAAAGATATAATTATAGCCTCAAATATGATAACTTTTAACTGGAAATGAAGCATACCGCATCCTCATTAGACATGGGCTTTTGCCGGTTACTAAACAAGCAGGACAGGTCCGTCTGTTAAGTTAAGAAACATAGCTTAAATCACTACGCATTTCATACGACTACAACAAAAAGTGGCTTACTTTTAAAGATTCCTTTGATTCAGGTTCAATAATTTCTTTATTAATTTTCTAACAAATAATCATTATCAAAAAAAGTTATGAGATAAACTAATAGATAACTGTAGTTAACTTTGTAATCTTAAGCATACTCGTTTTGAAATATCTAGATTAGATATAGAGGGGGAAGGCTTTAACTTTGTAAAATCTGAATTGAGCACGTCATCCCATCCACTAAATTTGTTCTTGAACACTAACGATTCGGCCCTAGTAAAATTTCAATAGTGTACAGTACATGAACAGTTATCGACAGTAATATAAAGCAATAAGTACTTTGATAAAACATTATTTGCAGAAATGTTCTTTACCCTTCCAAAACTCGGTTCACCGTCACAAAATTTGGTCTACCTAACAAATCCAGTAAGCTCTGAACTAATTTTAAGGCAGCAGCCCGTATCAATCGACTTGACTCACGACCAATCCTAAATTAATTCAATTGAATATCTCAGTTATCAAATACAGTAGAGAGTGAACTATCCTGAACTAAATCTCTTTTCTTACCACACGAAAACATCTGAATAGCAATCTAGTATGTAGACGTCTTTAGTGTTTAATAGTGAGCGTTTGATGTTTCCTTTGTGTTTCACTAATAACGAATAATGAAAGCTTATTGCATCAAAACATAAAAGACTATTTATCCACGCATAAAATTCAATGAGTTCATTCCTGTTTAAAGATTTCAATGGATAACAAATTACCGTACCTTGGGGTAATTCCAGATAACCTTTACCTAACTCCACCTTGTATAAAACTAGATTTGAAGATTGATGATTTCCTATATGACACTTGGATTAAAAGTTTAAAATCATATCAGGCTACCATTTAGTATACAAGCACAATACATAATTACATAGATAAGATTTTCAACAAGCTTACTGCGATTTCATCATTTGGTTCACCGCCCATAATAGACCAAAATTCTTCCGTCTCCTCTCCCTAAGCCAATAATATTAGTGCTCAGATTTGATCATAAACTCAAAAAGCAATTAAAGCTCTTCATACCTGTTCTAATACAATTAATTCAGCTCGCCCCTTTTTATCACTTTTGTTAAGCTTGAGAGCGAAGAGGCTATTACGTTTATATCAAGTAAAAAATGCCCACCAACAAGTCAATTTTCAAGTAATAAACATCCTTAAAATTGATTTGTAAAAATCTACCTTGCTTTAGAAAGGTGAGTGGTAGGAGCCTATAAAATTTAACCAGTGCATATTAATTTTTGATTTAAACACTCAAATTTAGCAACGACTTACTTTTCCTCCATGCCAAATAAATAGCTGCCTTCCATAATCTAAAAGAAAAGTATACTTTGGATCCAACGAGGAAGTTGATACGTCCACCTTATCAATGATGATAAATTTAGCAAGGAACTAGATGCACACCAAAATGTGAGCTAATTATCATTTTCTTACCCTTTCGAGAATTATCTTCGATGAAGTTATAATGAATCTGTATAATTTCACCGTGATTTCCTGCAATAAGTTGAATTAATTACATGAAGCCTTCGCATCTGCTTCAAATATACGTACCAGATCCTCAATGGTAAAAAATCCACTCGCTGTGCCGCCTGTTTAATAATGGTACAATTGTTAGAATTGATTATCAACGAAAATTACAATTGATCCAGAAACTCTACCTTCAATATAATCGATGTCATTGTCAAAAATATCCAAAAAGTCTTCAGACTCATCTTCCATTTCTTCCCTCTGCGAGTAAATTATAGAAACGAATTTTATTGTTAGACCTTTTTCCTGCAATATAATATTAATTCATTGGCATTCGATAATCATACAATAGTCCGGCATTGAGCTCCAAGTAAGTTCCTCAGATTTACTGCATGTATAGCTGAGCATGCCATTTTATCCAACTGTAAGCGATAGTTGTGAAAGTATACATTTGCGATAAGTGTCTTTCGTATAGAACAACTACACAGAAGAAAGGTATTTTTACCGTTGAAAATTTTCCAATCCAAAAGAAAATCTCCCAGTCCAATGAGTCGTACTCATTATAGAAAGTCTAGATATTGACATGATTATCAAACATCGTTTAAGTTAAAGATACAAGTAGGACTTTAACGTAAATCATATCTATTTGGTATACGTAAAAATTTTCCCTACCTTAAGAACAATGTAACAATCAGCATCATAAAATTTTCCATGTAAAACTATAATTAACATCAACATTTTACGCAGTGAGCAGAATATCAAGCAGACATAAAAGATACCAAACTTAATGTTTGCAGTCGAGTTCCTTACTTTCTTCGACCGGAACAGGTAAGAAATTTTCTATCTGCCAAACCGTAACGCCTGTAAATATGTCAAAGCTCACAACGCTTAGTTTTCAACGTTAATAATCCATCATTATTATAAGTATAGCAGCTAGAAATCTAACCTTCTTCCTGGCCTGTGTCTGCAGCAAAGATGTCACTATAATCAACAGTAGGTTTAGCCAGTTGATCCATCCAGCTACGAGGCCTTGAAGTATCGCCAAGTCAATATTGTATTAGCATAGTTATATAATTGAGCTAATTTACGTATCCATTTCGTATCCTAATAATATTCCGCTTGCTTACTTGATAAATTTGATCTCTTCATCGTCTTCTTGCTGCAAGTATTGTATATTATGATATTTTAAATAAATGTATATGCTACTAATAAAAATAGTGTGTTAATAATCAATACCGGAGAAGTTACATTCTCTTTCTTATCTTTTGGAATATCAGCAAGAGCCTAGAAAGTAACATCAACAGTATAGTTGCAAATAGTAGATTACGAAGTTAGTCATTTTAGAGAGAGAATAAAAAGTTGCATTTAGCCTAACCTTTAAAATTTTATTGCTGCCCTCGTCAGGTTCAGCACGGCGGTTTAGTATTCTCATCTATTAAGCAATAGTACAAATAGGTTATAAGCTTCAATAACAAACACTTTTTGGTTTGCAAAAGAAAATATTTACCTTTCTTGCATTGTGATCCTTAAATGAATCTAAAGTATTTTATAAATATTACGATTTACAATTAAATGTGAGTACATCATTAATGAGATAGCAACTTGTTGAAGAGGTGTTTGCTACCTGATTTCTGAGTAGATTTTGAAGTAGCTCCAATCAGTCCAAGCTGATGTTCCAACGAAAAATCGATATTATAAAGTGTATTTTTCTGATTAGTCGTATTAGGTTTTGGCGGCATTTTCAACTCTGGATTACCTTTAACGTCTAAAGTCTATATATATGAACAATACGAAAGATACTTAATTGGTCAAACAAGACAGATCTATCCAATCATTTTTCTAGCAACACCATATATATGTTCAATTAAATTTCACGTTATTGAAAACAATCATAGAGTACGTAACAACGTTACCTCTAAATCAGGTAAATAGTAGACTCCTTCCGATAATGTCACTAAGCAATTAAAACTAAGGACCAATTTCTTCAATTTGATACACCTGCATATTTTCAATAGTTAACAACACGCATAAACATTGCCGAATATAATATAAGCAGACCTGAACAGTGAAACTGGAACAGCTTCCAATTTATTTTGACTAGCCACGAAAACTTCCTATAAAATTTAATTGTTTGTAAATCTACAGGTTTAAAGCAATACTGAGATACATCTTAAATCCGCCTAACCAGCTCAGTGAGCTTTGAAAATGTATCCGGAAGGTTGTCAAAGGTCAACTCGTTACCTATCCAACACATGAATAAAAATAATTGTATTTTACTAAGGTCTAAGAATCAAAATAGGCATATGTGATACTCAATGTGAGCGTTGTACATCAAAATTGTACATACCATTTAGGAACAATTTTTTGAGCTTTACTAGACCATCAATACCACTCTATACAAAATTATGTCAATGAGTACAATAGGCATACTATTGAGGCTACACAACTATAAAATTAACGACAATAAGGTTATTAGTAAAATAAAAATTTCTGACATACTGGCAAAGATTTTAAGTTGTTCCGTGACAAGTTTAATACTTCCAGGCTTGTCCATGATCCTGTTGGGTAGGTCGTTAAAAATACGCACCTTAATTATAGGGTGGGTAAGCTGAATTTTAAGGTAAGATGTATTAGCAGTAGTATGGATAAATCTCATACCAAAGGATGCAGGTAACTCTTTCAATTCGTTGTAACTGATGTTGCATCGTCGCAAAGTACTAATAGAAAGAATAGAATCTGGCACTGTTGAAAGTAAAATCAGGGAAAGTTAATTTAGTTCCAGTAAATAAATTGCAACATTCACACTAAGTTAATCGGCATACCATTCTCTAATTCGTTGTAAGAAAGGTCCAGTTCTACATAAAAATCATAATGTCTATCAGTACAACTGCATAGAAGTCTTTAATTTAAATATTACGCTAAATTATTGTATATTTCTGAGCGCACTATGGCACTGTAAATACCTTCAAGGAGGACTAAATTCTGCAGTCCGTTAGGTACGTTATCATTCCTTCTCTATGTAATTGTAACAAATAATGATTAATAATAAGTCTATCAGCAACGTACGTGGGAAATTCCAATAAATGAAATTAATCATCAATTCCTTCATACTTGCGTATTACGTAAGCTCAGGTTATGAAGAGAAGTTAAAGATGCCAATTGCCTTTAAAAATTTATTATCGGATCAGAGAAAATTGTTACCGATTAACAATAAATGTATGTACTCAAATGGCAAGTCAAGGAACCTTAATTGTGAATGACCAAGAGGATTGTGGGAGATATCCTGTCAAAGTTAAATTGAGATTATTACATTCTTAAAATGATGTTGAACAGTATTAGCTACTGTATTTATTATGACACGCTACGATAGTAAAGATTTAATGTATCGCAAGATAGTTAATGTAGGCTTTGCACTTACCAACGTCTGTAAATTTATAAGTCTTCGTAATTGAGGAGGAATCAATTCTGAAATTGAACATATAAGGGAAAAAACATTATAAGGCATGAAAATAAATACACTGAAAGAATGCTCGTCACTTGTACCATAGGTTACATTTGCTTGATTAAGTACCTAATTTATTATTACTGATATCCAAATAAAACAGATCAGCCAAATTCACGAAAACTTGTCCCGGTATGGTAGATATCCTATCATACAATATTTGCTCATGTTATTGTTGAACTTAAAGCAACTACAAGCAACTATTGATAATTGTAAATCTTTTTACCGATTATGACTGAGAGATAGAACTAGCAGGTGTCTAGCAATTCCCAAGGTATGCGGCACCTGTAATACAAAGTGTAATCCTCGATTATAATGATTCATGATAGCACGGTATCTGATACTAAGCAGATCTACGAGACAATTACGACCTATTCATTCGCTAAATTGTAAACTAAAATGAACTTGATTTCAAATTTCTTACCTCCGATATATCATTATGGCTAAGATCCTAGATAGATACACGTAAAATTATCAAAATAAGATTACGCTTTGGCAACATGATTGCCAAGTTTCATCCACAAATGAATCAAATTTGGAATGCTTACCACAGTCGTTAATTCATCTAGTTCAAAAAGTTCCCCTGGTAGTCCAATACTCGTGATTTGATTTTGACGAGCTGTAACAACCTGAATTTTAAACAAATGTCAATGCTGCTAAATGAAGTGTTGATCAATTTCACTGATTAGTCAAATTTTACTAACAGTATTTATGTTACTGCATGGGAATACATATATGACACACTTCTAGTTACAACAAATAATGATATGCTTGTGCATTTTGAAAATACAATACAAAGACTAACATTTTTACACGTACGACAAAAAATGGCAGTGATCTTATCATATCTAACCCTTAAATCTTTTAGTTTTGGTAGCTCACTACCCAGTTCCTTAAGTTGATTTTTACTAACAGAAATTCGTTCCTGCAACGTCCAGATTAGAAAGAGTTAGGAAAACAAAATGCTTCTTTTGCTAATAGCAACACATGCGTATGTAAATGATTCCTCAGAAAGAATGTTGCATTTTATGTAAACAGAATTAGCCGATCTCAGTGGTTAAATTAAAAGTAGTATCGTATATAATTTTGCTTAACGGCTCATTACCAATTTCTTAAAACTTTGCAAGACTTCTGGCATCTCATCTAAGTTGCATGAGTCGAGTTTTAGCCATCTCATGTTAACCATCTCGCCCATCTCCTCAGGAAAAGGAAGTTGCTGAAATTGATTCAAATGATTCTATTAATACTATAACAAACTGCAAGTTGATTTAGGTATAATATTATCGAAACAAGAGCTATTGAACACGTAATCAATCGGAAATAGATTCGTTCTTGCTGGGTATTTTAGTAAACTTCAAATACAGGTTGGAAATATTGTAAGTTTTGTAAACATTATTAGTTAGTATGGTTCAAGATAGTAGTAACTGATGACAGTAAGTCCCTATTTCACAGGCTATATTTTTTACATGTAATTGACAATCCTAAAATCCAAACCGATTTTACCAAACTACTGTTGTTAGGCTATGTCCACTGTTCAATGCAAACGAAATTATTAGCGATCGCTCTATATCTGTGTTTCATAATTTTATTTGTACCTACTTGACTAACTGTAAAGTAAGGTAATGTTTCAACTTTATGCTGCAAGTATAAAATTTTACAAGAAATGATGATAGACATGCTGCTAAATTTTAATAGCACGACGTATCAATCCTATAAACTACATCAAAGGATTTTAGCAGCAAGCACTGTAGGAAGAAATGGTGGTATAATTAATAGCTGAAGAATTCTGATAGTAATACACCATAAATCACGTTCTTTCAGCACATACTGTATACGAACAAGCATTTAGCAGAGACTGCTAAGACATGACATCAGCCTGGTTAACTCATTTCAAAATAGATGAACTCTTATGAAGGATATTGTACAAGGAATTGCGTCTATTCCAACAAGTTCTTCATAGCGCAAGTTTCAATAGATATCAAGATATATCACAGTGACTATAACTGGATTATCGCTCGAGTGTACTAATGCAATCTTGGTGACACTAATACTCTATTGAAACGACAAGATTGCAGCTAAGGCATTTGATGACAGCCTACTGCTCCGTAACATCGTCGTTCAATGTTAACATACTGCAGTATGTCATAGGAGACAACAGCTTCTCTAACATATCTTATCCAAGATTAGAAACAAATAGCAAATTCAAGACTAGGCGAAACGCAAAGAAAGACTCCAGGAGCACCGAAATGACTGCCTATGGAGAACTAACTCTCTTTGCAGGGTAGCCATAACGAAAGCATTCATTGACAAGAAAATGGACAATTTTCAATAAGATAATATAACAATCAATCTAGTTTTTGCAGTCTAAATTAGCCAATTTAGTTTGGAATCTAACCTTAAAATCATTGCTTGCTAAATCGATCCCTCGCACGAAAGGTAACACCCCAGACGCCATCTTGGTTTACACTAGACTTGTAGGCAAAGTAAAGGGACTGACCGATTCACCAGCGAAGTCATATGGTACAGTACTGCAGTACCCGATACGCTTGTACTGGTTGTGTACCGTGACATTTTCAAGTACAGTCCGTCTGTCACCAACGTCAGTCACAGTGTACAGTGTACAGTGTACACTCACGGTACAGTACTGTACTGTAATGCAATCGGTTACCCCAATTTCTCTCCATACTGTACAACAGCGAGCTGGTTGGTGTCGAATTGGCCAAGAGGAACTGCTTTCGGATTTCGGAGAGAATAAGAAGGAAGCTGCAAAACATGGCTGCACAGCGATGAGATTGAGAGCTTGATCTAGCCCCAATCCGAAAGGCAGTATTCCCTTCAAACTTAACTCAACCCTAAACCCCAAAGTTTCCGGCCACTCGCTCGACCCGAACCAACTCGATTCTTCTTCATGAGGTTAGAGACTTCGGAGATAAAAGCCATCGAATAGTATTTGTCTCTTTAAGTCCTGGCTATAACCGTAACCATGGATCTCTAGTACTGTCATTCTATCCAGGGACTTGTCGATTTTTCCCGGCATAAATCGACAAATCCATGTTCTAGTGGTCTATGCTATCATATAGAGGTATTTTTCTTGTACCGCTATAATTGAACCATAGATGTCAATCTTTTACCTGGATAGATTTCAATTGAAGCACCCATCATACAGCCATGGTCTTCTCGCACAGTAGCAATGCACATCCTCTAAACTTAGAACTGCAAATAGATGAAGTTGTTCCAACTCGTAAATGGCGGATCTTCTTGTTACTTGACGTCAATTTGCAGTCAATATTATTAAAATATATCCTGTTCAAATTGTAAAGACCGTGTAATAGTGTTCTGCTATTACGGTACTAGTGCAATTAGCTGAGATTATTACTATACAGGGCAATCCTGCTCGGCAAATCCTCATTTTCAGTGACTGTTCAGTGTTAGTCTTCATCAGCTCCGACTAAGATTGACAGTAAGCCTGTAGTTTAACGCAGTCGAGTTCAAATCACGAATAACTTGCTATACTACAGTAATAACGTCGAGGAACAAAATCTTTTCAGTTCTTGACTTTCACTGAATGACTTTTAGGCCAGATCGATGAACAAAATAATCAATTATAATTATTATTGGCAGCTTGGAGCTGGATAAATGGTATCACAATGATTTTTGATATCATTTATACACTGTGAGAAATTAAAGATATACTATCGACCTTGCAGTACACTCTAGTAATTCTGAAACCTATTCAATTATTACTGAAACGGACTTCAAACTAAAATTAATTCGATACCTATGCGTATTTGCTGCACGAGAAGTTAAAATCTAAGGTCAAACAATTTCTTTATGTTATTCTGCTGAATGAATACCTGTAGTGGAATAGTGTATCCAGAAAATGCCGTGAAATTGCTGATTATATTTTATATGCAGGAAATAGCTTTCCCTTCTTCCAAAGTCTGTATTATTTTAATCAGGAACTTCTTAGAACTCATTACTTTAATACTCGTACTTTATGCAGAAGTATAGCACGTACATTACTACATCGTATTGATGGCATTGGCAAATTTTCCTTTTATTTACTGAAAAGATGGAATAAGCTGGGCAATGATTATACTGTAACAATTACGTAAGCCTGAAGAGAGTATTTTACCAATTGAAAATCTTTGACGGCTATATGCTATACTGTGAATATACGTATTTCGTTATAATCATGATATACGCGTATGTAATCAATTTCAAATTGTAGTCAGGATAGTCGATTTACTTGGGCATTCATGCAGTCATCATTACATTTATTAAATAGTGCTGGTATTCTACTGATTGTTGACCCAAAACAATCTATGCATCCCAATCCATAATAAAGAGCATAAAATAACATGCGTGTTAATCGAAAGTAGGTCGCCGAGTTATCTACGTTATGCATGTTATCCTAAGAATAAAAATCATCATTCATATAATTTCATGACGCTGAACTTTCTTTCTCAAATTACTGTGGTACGCAGCACAACACGACATAAGCATATGACATATAAAAAATAATTAAAAAATAGCATACGCAAATTAAGATAAGCTACAAACCAATATAATCATATTCATCGCATTTTATTTATTCGAAATTTGTAACTCAATCACAGCTAGGTTGAATTAATAGTGTCATCTTTTAACCATATTAATAGACGTTTTTGAAAAAAAAAATAGCAATGACTATCGGTATGTTCAGATAATTCCCATTATGCCACCGAAAGCTGATATACTACTACTTCTATTGAGTGCAACACAGTCACGGTAGCGTGAATATGGGTAATGGTAATTAATGTTAGGATGAAGTCTTAATATCAGATGTAGTTTCAACCGATTCTCATTGAATAATAATCATCAATCAAATCATATTAATACGATGATACGTGAGTCAAGCTATTCTATGGAATTTCCAGTTTTGCAAGTATCATATTAATACGATAGTAAGTGTAGCATGCGATATTCCGTGAAACTTTCACGGGGCTTTGCTATTCTCGTAATGTCCTTACGATAGAATAATGCAGAAAACAGAATAAAAGTTTCTAAATATAGGCAACATGTACCTAAATTAGAGAAAAGCTAAGCATTACAGAATTATTTAACTGAATAATTTGCGCTGTCTATCAATTACTTCTCAATGATATTTTTAAATATGGCGCATACGTATATCAAGGACTTATTTATTTGAGTTTATTCTCAGTTAAATTCTTCATGCTGTTTAACAAATATTGTAAACAAAAAGACTAAATAGAATTAAACTAAAACTATATCTATATGATTCTATCTCAAGAAAGGAACTAGTTGGCAAAAGGAATGATTGTGCCATCAAATTTTTATTATTGCAGTCTTATAAAGCTTAATCACCACGGTTATTTTGAAGTTAGCTCTCATATCGCAGCAGAAGTCGCGTCTAAAGGGTGTTTATTTCTAATTAATTATTAATAGTAGGCGTTACAGTATCACTGTAGGATACTATAACGTATAATTATATCTATTTCTGTGCTTCATATTCTTTTCGATTGTATAGCATGAAAGATCGGTTAATGCTTTCTCAGTAGGTAATCTAGGAAATGTCTATAGTCCACTGCTAAACTAGCTTCATGAATTTTATGCATTATAGATCAAACCTATAGTGCATTAAAGAATATACGCTTCATAATGTAACGCTTGCATACAGCGAAAAATGACATTAGTAACAAGCTATGATGGAAATAAAACTACCCATTAACAGCATCACCTCGTATACACTTCAATGTTTACGAAATAATAAATGTTGATGATTACTTGCTATATATTATGATGGGTATCTAACTGTAAGATAGTAAGGCAAATTACGTGCAAACAAGATTCGCGTTATGTATGACAACCTACTATGGCAGCCTGCTAACAATATTCTTAATGGACATAGTAATATACACGGGCGAACTTCTAAAATATCAATGCTTCAATCACTTTGTCCTACGTACAGTATCCGTCATGTCTCTCGGGATTACAAAAAAATAGAACGATAAAAGTTCATCATTGTGGGTTGCATTTTATATTGTAGTATTAGTATTACTTCTCACTTATACTAGATTAAATTGTAGACTATCGTTTAAAATTGAATAATCAGTATAGACGATATTCTCAATAACTTATTTAGTAAACTAGATTATTTATTAATTAACAAATATCAATACAATCCTATATTCATATATCTCCAACTGGTAATTTCAATCCCTATGATTACCATAGATTATCGTAGAGTAATATCACGAGTGTCTTTCTTTCTTAAGTATGTGATTTGAAACTACAGATATCTACTTTATATCACACTCCTATAATAAGAGTAACAACAGTTATAATATTAATAAATTAAGCAAAACGATGCTTAGTGTACAACGTATCGGATTAAGCCCAATACTGGCTATGCATAGATTAACTTCACGTAATAAAGTACTGCTGATACTAAATATTAGACATTATACCGATAATATAATCACTGTCCAGTTAATCATAGAATACACTTGTTAGAACTATTGTCCAGTAGGTTATTTCGTGTGGGTTAATAAGCTGTATACTGGAAATTAGATTATAATAATTCTAAGCCAATTAAAGAAATTGTTACAAAACTAATGCTTTCTTTTCTTAACACAAGGTTAGGGTTTGATTCGTAGAGTAAATTTTTCAATCACCTTCAACATTCTGACTTAGTATTGCATCCTAATAGTGACTCTATATTTCTCGAATTCTCGAGGCCATTAGCCAATCTATATAGAAGTATTTACTAAAGATTACAATAGCTACTGCGCTAAATTGGTGTCAAAGGTTACAGAGACATTTCACACTGCACCCTTAATGACGAATTGCTACCCTTATGCCAATAGGAATCATTCAGACAATCTAACCAATGTTATTCAATCACAATTACCTGTTAAGATATATATTCATACGCATGATAGAAATTCTTCAGCCGCCCCTTATACTAATCGACTTATATCTAAAATTATATCATGCATATCAGAACAATTTTAATTAGCCAAATAGCCTTAGGGAGTTTTAGCGACAATACAAAAAGCAAATATATTCATAATAGGTAGTACAAATTGACTTAGATAACAATATAAAATTTTACTTTTTTCCGTTACTAATAAAATATTAACAATATTGCAAGATAACAAGAACATACCGCCATTCTTCCATCAATAACCGTATTGTTTAAAATTTGTTTTCAACATGATTGAAAATATCGTTTAATTACAGCAGGAAGAATTTATCCGGTGAATTTAGAAATAGGCTAGAGTTTAGGTGATTAAGCTACCATAAATCCGTAATAGGATGCTTTACTTGAATCAATTTATGTACCTATTAATTCATCGAAGAACGGACTGGCTTGATCTAACAATTTGTCATGTCAACCAATTCTAAAGATTGCCAATTAGAGACGAAACATAAATTTAATCAAACCCCATAGTGGCCTTTCTAAACAAAGGCACAAAAACTGTTCGTCATAGCATATAAAATTTAATTCTTTTCTGCTTAATACAAATCATTGTTATAAAGGAACAAGAAGAAATAGATAAATTGTTCATCATAATGACATCACTTACGTGTATAAAATAGGCGAAATTGGCCACGTCTTAAAAATAAAAGATAATAGAAGTGCCGTATGCAGCAATTGAATGAAAGAAAGAATATATGTAGGTCAGTATAAACGTATATAAAGAGAAGTGTATCCACAGGTTTTCTTAGTAACCAGAAGTCGTTTTGACGCAACAACCATCCTAATTCATCGCTATTTCATTTCTTCCAAGCATAAACTTCGATTTAGCTATGGCAAAGTTTCCATTCTTTATTTGGCTGATTGCCCTTCTTTTAATATCTGTCAGTTATGATGTGTCTGCTTCTGTAGTCCCTGATGATCGCTACGAAGAGTTTGTATTTCCTGATCGAGAAAGCGATGATAGATATGACGAAGAAGATGAAGAAATAGATGAAATAATTGATGCAAAACGCGTTAATCAGCGACTTGAACCAATTGCACCAGAAAAGGTCGATTACAACTTATTTGATGAGAAAGCTGCCGATATTCTTATTGGCGAGGCCGAAAAAGCTAGGTAGAAGTAATATTCAAATCATCGCCTTACATTTAAATGAAATCCCTTCTTTTTCCAAATGAATCGTAACCCATTACTTTTTCTTACACAATTTAGTACCAAGATTGACATCATTCTGACTAATGAAAAAAACCATGGTAGTAATGGTGGAAACAATGTAGGTTTTATCTACTGAGCGTTTTCTTCCTAAAAGTTAAAATTTTTTAACGGCAGTATTTTTTCTTAATCCCATAAAAAAGTTTCAAATGTTTCAAATTTAAGTCTTAGCAACTTAAAATTTAATTAATTAAATTGATATTGTAGTCGGAGAGTTCCAGAATAAGTAACGGAGCGTAGCATGTAACTCTGAAATTAGGATACTAGCACAGTGTATCAATGACGTTTTAAATTCTATTTCTTGATGATAAAATACAACTGTTCTCTTGAAAATTAAGTAGTCGAAAAACAAATGCGATAAAATTTACCTCCGTAGTATCCAAATACGAAAAATAGATTGCTAATATGCAGGTAGTAATATATTCCCAAGAGAATTAATGTGTTTGAAATGCGGGAAAAATTGATACCTCTAATGCTATATAGATATATTTGAGAGATTGACGTAATTATATAATTCGAAGCAATATGTAATATCTTAGCACTATTGTATCATAGTGAAATATAGTACGTTATAAGCACAAAAATGATGAGAAATTATTTTCTTATTCTAAATACGAATAGGGTCTAATTTATTGACGATGGCGATACATCATTTCTTATAACTTTCAATTAAGATGTAGCAATTATTTTTAATTTTTCTGTAGCTTGAATATTACCGGTAACACTTGTTGATAGTATTTCTATACGATACGGCCTAATATGCTTGTACATGTTAATACGAGTATACCACTGCAAGCAGCATTTAATTTTATTTTCTTTAACTCTATGCCTTATTTTTATTATCGTGAAAATTAATTAGGGAGGCTCCAATGGTGGTAGATTTCAATGCCCTTCATTTAGTCAAATACGCCAGGGATATTTACTAGTCAAACAAAACTTCACCGCCATACGAAAAGCCATTGCTGCCGTAAAAAAGGCCAAGGGCGAGTCTTTCATTCGATACAAAGTCTATCACAACTTAGCAGCGCGATTCTGCGCAAACAGTAATACTACAATGTGCAGTTATGTTAAGACCTCTCAGAATGCCGAAAATACTAAATACACTAATGCTACCGCCGGTATTTTGGCTCAGAAGAAAAGACTATTTCAGTACGCTATGAAAATAATGGCTATTGCTAGACGTTTTGCAAGATGCTTTAGGCGACAGTAATTTACATGATACTTCTCACTTATCGGCGTCCATCTGACTTTGATGAGTTAATCTATTCTGTTAGTGCCATGAAGATCGATAACTCCTTTTTATTTGTTGTATTGCATTGACGCATTTTCGTATCTTTGTTGTAGCACTGTACTCTATGCTACTTATTTACAGTAGTTATCATAATAAATAATTAAATTTTCGTCCAGGATTTAATCTGATTAGACTAGCGCAGGTAGGATTAACTTTTTACGAGGCTCACTGATCCTATGCTGTCAATTTTATTACTTTAATGGTAAAGAGGAATTTGTTCTTTGTGTTCGGCGTAGATTTTTTATGTCTGTCGGTGCTGCAATAAATGGTAACCATGTCCAGTATGCACTTTTAAATGATCATTAAATTTATTAGTGAGATTTGTGCGTTAACAGTAAAGTAATTGTCAATAAATAGGTATAACTTCATCCCTGGAACGAGTATCAGTATTCAGATGATGCACTATCTATGTCTCCTATTTACGATAAGTAGCCTTCTTACATCGCAACTACAAAAATGATGTCATGTCTTTGTTCACAAAATACGCTCAAACGCTGATTTTACATATTACATATTGAAGCAATATTGCATGTAGGAAAGGAGATAAACTATAGTCATCTTCAATTCGAAAATTGTCAACTTGTTAGATCTGAAGGCTATAACGACCATAAGACAATTAAGTAAAGTTACGTACCGTAATAAAATAAAATTAATAAACGATGGCTTTAGTATATAAAAGAGTAGCTTAAGTTTTGTTACCTTCAACAAATTCAACTTTATACCAACAAAATTCGTTATTTACAATGCCATATCAAAGTTTTAGTACAGAGCTTACATATCAATTCAAGGATAAATTTTCATTGTTACACGAATATTACAAAGGTCAATATACAACATCATTCTTCTAGAATTTTAAAATTCAAGGTCCAGCCTTTTAACCGACTGCAACAATACTTTACGACTGTCAGCTATACTATAAACACCAATCTGGAAAAGCTTCAACAACAGCCGATCACAATGGTCTATGCAAAATAAGCGGAAATAAAATTGATTATTAGCTTAAAATCGTCACAAGCTGTTTCAAATAGAATTTCCTTAAGTTTGTATGCATGCATCCAAAGCCCTATTAATTAATTTTACTATTTCTACATTACTTTTAATCGTACATGATAAACTTACCGCTACTCAATGAAACGTATTCTGGTACGAAATATAAAGCAGTTTCAACAACATCAGATCGTTCACTATCTAAACATTCCATCAGCACTACGTTAAAGTTTGGCGCCATCCTGGCCGCAGAAAATGGAAAGAAAAACTATATCAGCCATTTGATCTCATTATCTTGATATATGACGCAATAGTTTATAAAATAATTCAAATACAGATACAAGTTCATTCACCAATGTTATATAATACCTAGGATTCGCTCTAATATATCTCAAAACCAAGGTATGCGCTAATCCTCGACAAGCTGCGTCCAAATTGAACATAATTCTTGTCAAATGAATCTAATAAAAGTAACAATTGGTGTTTCACAATTTATCGCAATTTAAAATAGTAACCGTTCCCTATTAGCAATATTCAAATCAGGCAAGCTGTACAATTTGTATATCATAATAATTGCGGCTATAATGTTTACGCTAAAAATACTAAACCTGAAAGTGCTCTAAAATGTTAGGTCTTTTCCTTGATACTTCAAACAGGTCGTGTAATGATGCTAGCAAGTCTTTTAATGAGATAACAACATTGGGTCATCAATATAACTTATTAACAGTGATAGCAGTCTATTAAGTTAATTTTCGAAATATTCTAATACCTGCGATATTTTTGTATGAAGACAAACGATTAATGAATAACGATAACATGGATGAATTCCACTGTTTACTCGCAAGTGTTAATGCTCCCAATTCTTGATTCTTAGAACCCATATTTGTGCTTATAGTATTATCATTCTGGTTTCGCTCATCTTCTATAGATCTACTTGAAGTTATTCCGGGACTTTCGTGATTTGGATAACTACAGTCGATATTGACTTCAATTAGGAGAGATTTTAATAATGATAAATCCGGATATCTCTCAGAAATAGACCTAGGAATAGAAAAACAAGTTACATCAGTTGACGCATCAACGAGTGATACAGGAAAAATGCTTAAGACACGCCTATCTAAGCTTTACTTTAAAATTTGACAGTTGCTCTGAAGCAAGTTGACAGCAGCATTTCCATCATATATGAAATACGCGTGAAGAAATTCCACAAATTTGCTTATTAGATCGGTCATGTAATTATCGTACACATAATAAGCCTATAGTGATGGGAAAGAACAGTTTTGCAATGTCAAATTACAACTTGCCCGTAAGCACGTACAAATTCTTACTACCTACAATAATATCAGCACTACATATCTAACCTGGATCATCTTAAAATAAGTTTCCAAGATTTTCTTAAGTGGCACTCTACCTCGCTAACGCATAGTATAAAATCGAGATGTCAGTAATAGCGATAAGTAAGGATATTGCCACATAAGGTCAAGATATAAATAAGTTGGTAGTGTGCTACTTTCTTACCGGTGTTTCAAAAATTAACGGTCGAAGCAAATCTAATGCATTTAATACATTCATGAAAAAATGATGATGATTACGATTATAAAATTCTTCAAAATTTAATTGAATTCTTCCTTGAAGCAGACCATAAACTACTGGCAATTGTCTACACATTCGCAATAATAATAATAATAGGTTGATTAATAGTTGCTGCGTTGAAGCAATAATCATTTCGCTTTATATTTACTTATTCATTCAAATATCAACAGCATATCTAACCGAATCAGAACTGTAGGATGCTTAATAGCTAATGATCTATATAATAAGTTGATATTTTCAAGTCGCGATAAACAAGCTTTGCCTGCATATGTGCTCGCCATGGAAGCCATTAAATAGTGGCATGTTATATCAAGCTGCAAATGAGTTATTATTTATACTTATCAGTAGAGTGAACTTTCCGAATTGTTGTTTATATATAAAGATAAGTTTACCTTGCCCGGTAAGTTATCATTTAATACGTAATTATGCAATTGTGAATCGGAAGAGATTTCATGGACAATCTCCGGAGCGGCTAGATATAATTTACCAAGTAAGTAAGTTATCATTGGTGAACCCCTAAATTAACAAAATCATGGGCACAAATTTCAGTTAAATGCGAATTGATTTCCTGTGAATAAAACAAAGATGAATATAGATGTATACCTTTTCTTCTTACAGAGATTACTTGTCAACGTGCTCAAAATACTTGGATCATTGTTACAACAAACTACTAGTAGGGACGTTCTAGCCCTTAATTTTTGGTCAAATGTTTCATTTGAACACTTTTCAAACATACTTTCAGCTTCAGCTAGAACATAAACTGCTAGATTTAATAGCTGATTTGGCCGAAGATTGACTATCATAGCCTATATATTAACAAAAAGGAGACTCATTAACTACCTGCACAAAATAATAAAATTAATTTCTAATCTCGATATCTGAATTTAATATTACCTGTCCATCGATTTTTCCTCGAATTATCACGGCAGTTTCGCTGCATCCTTGCCAGAGACGTGGAGATGAAACACAAGTTTCCATAAAATCTAAAGCGGAGGAACTGTCTACACTATTTTGCAATATTTGTAAGAGAATAATAAAAAATATAATATAAATTGATCTACAATTTAGTAATACTAAAGACACAATAACATTTGTAAAGATTCGCGATATTCATCACTTACTTATCTGCATCATTAGAAAGCAACCACTTAATACAGTTTTGTAAAGTACTCCAGCGACTTCGATGAATAGCTGAAGACAACAGAGATAGCTGCCAATTTCTTCTTCCAATACATACGCGATTGAAAACAACCTGTTTGCTGACAGCATCAGTACCAACGACTTCTGGATTTACAATTTGGAACCAGTCAATTGCTAATCCAATGCCGGACATTTTATCACAACTAGAAAATAGATTATATATGTCCACTTCGCCACACGATGATGATTTTTGATCGGTAAATTCGTTAAGAAGAATTTTATGGAGGGCAGAAGTAAGATCATCAAAGGATGGCCCGTCTATCTCAGCTTCGTCGCTTACAGAATTAATTGCGCATTGACTGAATAATAATCCGCTTTGACTCTCTGATGAAGAATTGGAATATATTCCTACAAATAGAGCATTAAACCATAAAATATTGTGCAACTATTCCATAACAACTTTTCATAACGTTGTTCAAAAAACTCAAATACCTAATTGATTGCTCCTCTGTAAACGTTTTTGAATGTGATACCAAATAATATCTTCAGGATTAGAACAAAAACCAATTAATAACTCAAAATTGTAATTACACGATAATTTTGCTACATACTTGAACCAGTAGTATGCTGAATACGGTCTAATAGATTTTCTAACACTTTATTAGTGATATCGGATTCGAAGGCATTCTAAGTTATCAAATTACAAAATGTTGAAACGCTAAGAATCAACGAGTTGCTTAAATTGATTTTATCTATATAAAGCAATTATTTACTTTATAAAGAATGGTCGGTTTGATTATAGACCAAAGGTTAAACAATCGCTTAGTGTAAATTTGAACAAATTTCTCACATTCTTGAGAATCCATTATCTGCAGAATAACAGAGCATGAGAACAAATTCTATCTCTTATAAATGCAAAATCTTATACAAATGACTAACTACAGAGAGGGCATCCGATATCTTGGAAATTAAGGAAGTATTAACATTAGATTGAGATATGTCTACCATTAATTGCTGTAACATGTGCGCAAAAGAAAACAAATTAAATTTGATCATATCAGGTAACTATTATTAGTATATACGGTTCCAAATTATACCTGCTGCAATTTACGCAGCTGCTCATATCTTTGATCTTCTTCGTCCTGTAGGTAATGTAAATTAGTAAGTGAGACTATTGCCTAAAATACCGTTAGTAGCATAATGTACGCGAAGAAATATGCAAAGTACTTTGTTATCGTCACTGTCAGTTACATCGGTAGAGTCAGCTTCAAATAACTGAATGAATAAGACAAGAGTTGATTTTAGTTTGGTTTGTATGTGGTAAATTATATTATTAATTTACCGGTAATTTCACCCTTTTTCACTTACTTCTCTAACAGCTGTAGTTAAGTCTTCATTATTGCTATACCTAGGATTAAAGTGATACATTTCGATATTAATATTGGAATGTATATAGTAAATTATTTAATTTTACAAAGTTCTTACCTGCAATCTATCTCCAGGTTATTGCCAGAAGATGAAACGCTTACGGGAGACGCTGGTGCGGAAGAAGTTGCACCTAAAATATGTAAACCAACGCGAGATTAACTTAACTTTAACTAACTTTCAATCTACAATGGTTTTCACAACTGACTTGACGTGTCATCAACGGTCACTTCCTTAGTCATATATTTTCGGAGGGTAGCACCTCCGGAAACTCCGCGAGCAGTGTGAGCATCGATTAAATCTACTATCCTTGCTATATTAAAATTATAAACATAATGTCAATATTGATCACATTAACATAAAAATCAAGGACTATATTAAAACCTCTACATTAGCTTATCAAAAGGAATACAAAATACCTTTAGAAATTATCTGATCTAAGAAGCGACAATCATCAGTAACACTATCGTCTAGAAACTCTAAAATTTTACTAAAAGGAATTTTTATTACACATTAAAATCGTGATCAAAGGTAATTAGTTGCTAGAGTTGTAACAGCGATTAATTTTGTATTACCTCATATTTCTAACAGGGATTCCAAATGATTGTACGTACATCATAACGTTCACCGGTGTACTATATTCAAGTACTGAAAAATCATAGTGTCACAATTAAGGATTAGAAAGATAACGGTTTATCATGAGATTTTGTACCTTTATCAACTAATCTTGGTATCTGAGACGTTATCATGCGTAATTTTAGCCATGCATCAATCCAAACAATTTGTTCATTATTATCAAGCCGTATGACTATTGGTAACTCTTGATCTTCAGGAAACCACAGGTCCAGTAGAAACTTAAAGTTATCGTTGTCTATCAATAAAAAAATTACGTAGACAATCATCGAAATCAGCTCGTTAGGTAATAATTAATATATAATTTTAGATCGCACCCAATGATGGTGGTCCATATGTTAATAATAGTACAATAGCTTGTAAGATAATGACTGGCAACGAAATGGTAACATTAAGGGTAGTAAAGGTAACTTTCACCAATTGACCGATTACATCTCCCTCCTACGAACAGAGTAATTAAAATTAACCAACGACATTGTAAGATTTAGAGGCCCATCGAGTACTGTCATACCTCCCAAGAATATCCAGTATCATCCGAAATCATAATCCTTAACCCTTTCGAGAAAATATTTAGTAATGAAGACAATACAATGTTACTTTCGTGACTCCTGTCGTTACTTCCGCGGTATATCAGTTTATTTAAGATATTGTATCGTTGAATCATCATTTTGCACATGTCCTATGATTAAAAAAGAGAAAACTTGTTATCAAAAAATCGCATTAAGTGAAATTAAAAGGATGACAACGTACAATAATTAATGAAATTCGATGTCGATATTCATGTGTTGGTCCATGCATGGACAAGAAAATAATATAAGCACCAAGAGCATCGATATCTGTCTCTACCATGAGCGCCTTTTATCATAACAATAAACAATAAAAGCAACAGATTGTCAACATTTTCTATACCATAAGCTTGCGATTATAGCAAATTAACGTGAATATATTATTACTAACTTGTTTAAGATACGTGCACACTAGTTCTCGCACACTACTAAAGTGAGGAATCGACGATAGCTGTACCAATAACCATTCATATGATTTCATAAGAGGTGAATCAAGTGAACTTAATGTCAGCAAGGTTGAACTCATTGAATTCATCAGAATAACATCGCTGTGTTCAGAGTCAGCTATGATCATTGCCAGTGCCTATAATACGAATACATAGTGCAGCAGCTTAAAAATTGCATATTTTGATAACCCATGTGTAAAGTCTGTATACCTTATTCGCAGCAAGGCGTGTACTTCGTTGACTTGAAGCTATTCGACGAAATAAACTGCCGAAAATTTCGCCTACTTCTGTACCACCAGAGTTGGTATCAAATACCATGCCATGTAATTTCTTTGCAAGATGCTCTTTCTTATCTATAAACTAAAAGATATTCAAAAATTGTTCAATACCGCTTATAAACCGCTGACGCACGCTAGAAGCATAGGATACGTCAATAGGAGTTAATATAGTGAAAATTGACAACAAAACGTAGCGTATCATAAAAAGTAGCAGATACCTCTAATTCTTGTCCATCACTGCTAAGATCGTAATGCAGCAGAAATTCGCAAAGACATTGAACCGGTAGTCCTTCCACTGAGCCAAAATTAGAACTAACCAATTGCGCTAACCAAGGCATTGATTCAGCGCTACCTTGACGTTGAATAACATCCAGTAGAAAATCTGGTGATCGACTACTGCATAGTAATCGACCTAAACTTAAGTCGGAATTAATCTTTTGTAGATCGTGGACTACATAATCCGGAGGACATCTCATAATACCTTGAGGGCTGAAACGCATCAATTGTGGTAGTAAGCAGCTATTCTTTTCAACTATATTTCCCCTACTTGAGCTGGAAGAAGTCATATTTTCATAAGCTAATATATCTTCTTTTTCAGCTTGGGCCAATTGGATTTGTGAAACTTTAACACTATCAGATGATTCGGAGTGACTAGTCAATGGCGGGAATGAGTAATTATTAGTCATTACCATTTCCATCAAGCATTTCAAGGTAGGATATTTCTCCCATGCAGTAAAGCCAACTGTGTCTGGATTGTAAACAGCTATAATTACTATTAGTAAACAGCCTTTCCAGTAAAGATCGCTGTATGCAAATTTAACATTTTGAGAATGTAAATTGAGTGATGTCTCAGTGGCTGTATGATGATAAATTGATAAATTAAAGATAGTACCAATCAATTGATTATGATCCACCTCAAATTTTAATGGCAAAGCATTGCTAGCATCTAATTGAGCAGCCTTCGTTAATAGGCTTTTTATTAAATCAAAAGCTTCATAGGGTGGTAAAGCGATAGAATCATTACCAGACATAACTAAAAGAAATCCAATGGATTCACCTTCGACTGGAACATTGGTACATAGCTCCATAACTTGATTTCTTTCTAGCTCAGATGGCCAATTATCAGCGGTGACATAAGTCTCGATTGGATTACGAAATAAAATTTTGTAAATGCAATGTTTCAGATAAGTAGCGCTATCAACATCAAATGCTTTTGGTACAACGATATGTAACCACCATAGTGAATATCTCTGGATTGAAGCTATATGCTGTTGGATCTGCAGTCTAGCGACGATCTTATTATTCATATCTCGCGGGAGTGGAAATACACTAAGCATCATGGTATATGTTAACAAATCGATTATTGCGTAAATTATTTCCTCTTGTCTTCGACTTCGATGTTTCTTAATTTGTTTACCATTGGTCTGACAGTAATCCATCAGCTGCGAGGAAAATTGATAGTAATCGAAATTTGATTTTGTAACACGTAATAATTCACGTAATAATGTCTTAATAGGATTTAGTAAATCTTCTTTATTAATAATAAGATCAATAAAAACAATTGCCAAATACTTTGCGACATCAACAGTACTGGTGTTGAAGACAGCTGACAAAATTAATACATTACTGGTATTAAATGTTCCTGGAGTAGATGACAGCTCGTTGCAAACGGCATGCTTTAAAACGATACCAACATTTCCAGGATGTTTTCCAATTAATTCCTTAATACATGCAACTTGATGATTTGTAAATGGCTTGGTTTTTAATTTCATTTTGATTAAATGAGCGATACATTCTTCGTTGTGCTCAGCGTCACTGTGGCAATTGATTGCCAACGTCATTAAAAGGTGTTGAGCATGTCGAGTAAGCTTAGGATTTTGCAACCATAAATCAATCTTTTGAGCGGCTAGTAGCCGAACGCGGGGATAACAACAAATATTTGCCAGAAATTTAAGCAACTGTCTAGGCACACTATCGGTAGATTGACGTTGACTAAGTATTTTATCAACAGATTGTAAAGCATAGTTCTTAACACTCTCCTTGACCGAAGGTTCTTCATATCTGGGCCGTACACTAGAATCGATAGCATCAGATGAACTATCAGCAGCAGTAGTTGTATCACTCTTATCATCGGTATTTTTCTCAACTCCATTATCAGTAGTAGACATCGATTGTGATGTAGTCTGAACATTACTGGAAGAACCTAATGATAAACAGATATCGTTGATTTGTAAGACAATTCTTTCAAGTATATCAATCACCGTAATTATCAATAAGTTACTACTAGTAGTCAAAGATTAATTTTGTAAATGGATACCGTCAATTGTGGGCAATAATGTATCGAAAACTGTCAAGATATTCTGTACAAAGTCTTTACACATTTCATTATCAACCCATAATCGTTCACCAAGAGCGTCTTGAATATAGACCTATCATTATTCATTTTTAATAAGTAAATACGCAAATTACTGTATACCAAAATGCAACACTAAAACGAAAATATTCATTCTGTTAGTTAAATTGCATTATAATATAAAACCTGAACAAATCTTTCAGGCCAGCAATCATCGTTGGCATGAGTATACATTAAGATATTACAAGCCATGACTGGTACAATAACATTGCCTTTTGCTTTAATATTGATTTGAACGTCACGACTGATAATCCCAATAAGTGCCTAAAAGTTAACAAAAATGCAAAATGATAGTAATCATTACTGATACTTTATTTTAATCTGTATAAATATTCAACTACGCAACAGTAGTAGACCGATGATGGCAGGTATTCGATCAAGTATAGTAGTCGATCTTACTTCACGTAATAATACGAATAAAATACTTACATCTAATACCGATGATGAGGTAAAATGGAATGGCTTATCTTTGGCGAGATATAGAAGCGACATATAATAGGCAGGATTGGGTTTAACCCTATTAGCGCTTAATTTAGCTAATACACCACGAATTATTGCACTAATCTTAAGGCGATCTTCAACAAGATCAGCTTGCATTATCGTCTTTATCAGTTGGGCTGGCTCCACTAGTGTAGTACAAAAGATAGATATGAATTTATGCTATCCTATTTATTGCCGGTGATAGGCAAAGTAACACGTCGTAGTTTTCAAATCACTATGACAATTCATTTTTGGACAATTTTTAAAATAGTAATGTTCTAATCTGTAGATAGAAGAGCATAGTCATTATGCATGTATATATATATATATACTTTGACAGTTCAATGCTAATAACGGTTGACAGAATGCATAGTAAAATAGGATAATGAAGAAGAATATATTTACCATCGATAGGAGGAAGTGGAATTTCTTCTCGACTTATAGTTTGATCTTTAACATGGCTGCCATCAACTTTGGTTCGTTTGGGACTAAGTGCTCTGGAAGCGCTAACAAAATCACCTTCTCTTTTACGATCTGAAGTAGTATTTCCTGGAGCAGAGGAGAATAATTTATATACATTTGCAGATCTTGCTTCCGTTTGTTCGGAGGGATTGTTTGTATTCTTAGAACCTATCCAAAAACGGCTTCAATGTATTAGCGTTGTATAATTATTTTGTATTGATGTATGATATAAATAAGTTGGAACTCCATAATTGCTTGGATGCATTCTTTAGATAGAGATCTAGTTAGCCCTTACGTATGGACTAGAATTGAAAAATATAAATTTATCTGTTCAACTTACCTAAGGCAATTAAATCTCCGTGTGGTACATGGCCTAATGTAAAACATAGTTGATGGTATGAAAGTTATAATTAGTATCAACTAGGCATGTAGAATAGATATCATTTTGTTCCCCTACAGCATTAAAATAGAAAGTCAGTAGCATCTACATTGTACTGTATGATCGATCACTAAGTGATTGCATTGGACACCATTTAGGCTCATTTTTACTGGGTTTTACTGACTTAGAATTGAGTCCTAACACTCCTGTTTACAATACCCTTTACTCTTTCTATCTCTTCAAATCGACGTCGGCACAACAATCAATATGACCTAGTTCGATTGGGGACCTATAGCAGACTGGATAAATAAATTAATTATCCTGTTGTATCCTCTTCAATGCAAGTATTGGACGATGTATGGCATTGATTCTACAAGCCATTGGATGAAGTAAGTATGATATTAATCGCTGGGGTCGATGTTACTATTCTACACCCTCCACTGTACCTCTACAACAGGATGCAAATCGTGTAGAGATGGTAAAGGTCCATTATCCCATGTTAGGGACACAGAATTTTTATCCCAAGCAAAGCAACGGATATGGAAGTCAATACGATCTGTTCTATCACATTTCTATCGCCTCCATAACGGAGACTATTCATCAACAAAATAGTCTTGTCAAAATCGGCAATGAACTAATCGTTTTGATCGATTGTCGTAAGCTTGCAGTAGGGCTAACTAGCGTATATCGCATTACTCTACAGTCCATTGCTAATTATATAATCGAGGCTGTGTTAAATCATACATCCTCTACGGGGTCCAGTGGCAATTTGGGTACAAAGCCTGGATACGGTAAAATGTGTTTACTGTAGTCTACCTCTTGGTCATGATGGCCATTAAAACGACTTCCACTGGGTTCACTATGATCCATGTGTAACAATTCCCCAAAACCTGCAAAAATATCAATGGATTTACCTCGAGCACGATTCATACGTTGTCTATTGCGTGTACTGCGCTCCATTGCCAATGTTCTTAATGATTCATTTACAATATCAAGGAAAATGGAGAATTGTTAATTTCATTCGCGATGGACTGCAATTGTCCGCCACAACTTGTCCCACTGGTAATGGGCCTAATGGCATTGGTCACCGGCTTCTTCTATACTCTACTACCATTGACCTTGTTTGCGTACATTGTTGCTTCACCACTACTCTACTACCTATCATTCATACAGTACAGTATGGACATCAAACAGTGTATCGTACAGTATACTGTACATACTGTCCACAGTGTTTATGGACTTCTACAATCTACATCCCACCTGGACTGAACCCTGGACACTTGACTCGGATGGACAGACATTTCCCTCATCTTGGATAATACCGTACTGGACTGTTCCAAAACACTTCCATTCGCCGCCATCAACGTCCAGTACCGTACCATATATTACTGTATACTGTACTGTACATTATCAAGCGAAAGCTCGATAACGTATTTCACTTATTTTTTCTAAATTAAGTACTATTATATTGAAATCTATTTTATTTTGGAAAGCTTTACTGGAAAGCAGTTATATAAGGTCATCAATTTTATTTTAATGAATGGAAGTCATTCAAAAAAAGAGACACTGAAGATCCATACGAAGTCAGTGATTTGGGGAGATTTCAGCCCACAATTGGTATTGAAAAACGTCTGTCCGTCTGTATAGTATCCAATCTCCAACAAATATAATAGGGTAATACTCAGTACTGTATGTTTGAAGGCGGAGAAGATAAGTCATACTGTACAGTATTAATATTGAGGTGAAACACAGTACAGTTACATACTATACGTGAGTGAGTATACGGACGGCATCATTAGATCCATCTGGACTGAACACTGGACACGTGACTCGGACGGACAGACATTCCATCTTGGATAATACTGCACTGGTCCAAACACTGCCATTCGCCATCAACGTACCGTAGCGTACAGTATATGATACTGTACGTTATCAAGCGAAAGCTCGATAAAGATGTTTCACTTATTTTTTCTTAATTAAGTACTATTATTAGTATTATTATATTGAAATCTATTTTATTTTGGAAAGCTTTACTAGAAAGCAGTTACATAAGGTCATCAATTTTCTTAAATTAAAGCAAACCATTCAGAAAATGAGACACTGAAGATCCATACTAAGTCACTAACTTTTGGAGATTTCAGCCACATTGGGTATTAAAAACGTCTGTCCGTCTGTGTTGTGTCCATTCCTTTACAAATACTAATACTATATAATACAGTATAATACAGGAGGGCAATAAGTTTGGACGCGGAGAAGACAAGCCATATTGATATTGAGGTAAAACACACTACAGTAATACAGTACAGTGTACAGTACGTACTGTATAGCATTATTAACATGTACTGTACAGTACAGTAGTCACTCTATTGAGTCCTTGAACCAAGACCTGGACTGGACCGGACTCATCACTCTTGGATGGACAGACATTTCGACCTCATCTCGATAAAAGATTGTGTTAAACATTTCGTTACATTATGACAGTACTGTACTTTAGTACTACTGTACTGTACTGTACAGCGTACAGTACTGTATATGCAGATGGTCGATTTTGAATGAACTGATTTTTTTTTTAAATTAAGTAAGTAATACTGTATTACGCTGAATCTCATTATCTATTACTAAGTTCCACTTGGAGACAGTTATATAAGATCGTCGATGTTATTAAAATTAGTACTCGTGATTTCGAAAACAGACACAGAAGATCAACACTAAGTACTGTAGTCATTTTTCGATATTGATAGGCCTCGCTTGTAAGAAAAGTCCGTCTGTCTGAGGGTGTGATCAGTCTAGGTGATCCTTTCTATGCAGTACACCGCACACTGATACGTACTTTACTGGACTGTACAGTATACTTAAACGCTGCCAGCTTGGTCGGGTTAGGGCATGGACCACTAGAAATATATTTGGACTGGATACTCCGTCGGATGGACGGACTTGGATAACAGATGCGGCCGAAAATGTCGAAAAATAGCCACTCAGTATGGATCTTCCATGTCTTCTAAATCATTCGTATTAGTTTGAATAACATTGATGATCTAAAGCTACTGCTTTCAAGTAGAACTTGGTAACAGGCAATAAGATACAATGTAATATTACTTAATTTAGAAAAAATCAGTACATTCAGAATCGGCTGTCTCCATACTAAAGTAATGTCATAATAAAGTGTTTGACGCAGTTTATTGACCAAAGCTGGCCAAATGTCTGTCCTCCCAAAGGAGCGTCTAGTCCAGCTATTCTTCTAGTACTGTACTTGTAGTCCATGGTTATCAACCCGAAACCCGACTTGAACCCGGGGATTCAGGTTAAGAATTTCGGCGATAATACAGTGATGGTGTAGCGATTGCACTTATTTCGGGTAAAAAAACCATCCATTTCATCGGGTTCGGGTTGCGTTTTCAGTCCTTTTTTACAGGACTCTTCTAATATACTGTACTGTATATCTACATATATTGTTATACAGTGTGTACCTATACAGTACTTATAGTATGTCTATCCTAATTAATGAACTGCCATACAGTACACTTTTTTTACTAATTGTTACGTTGCTTGATATAACATATGATAGATAGTACACCTGGAGTTGAGGGTAAAAAATTTTACCCTCAATTCCAGGTGTACTATCTATCGCCTATCTACTTTCTTGAAAATGTTCTTATTATGCTAACTCTAAACCTCGCGCAACTCCCTTGGTACACGCGTTACAGCTGTAGTTATACCTTTATGTGTACTGCAATCATTTAACTCTGTTCGTGCTATATTACACGAACATTTTGCAATCTGAGCAAATAAAATGTTTATGCTGTATAGGTTATTACTTTGCCGTCAATTACTTTGTATTACTGCATTTAACATGAACCCATAATATACTGTACACTGAACAGTGCAATGATAACAGCACTATTTGAAAAGCGGTAAAGGTATCGAACTTAGCGAAACCGGAATATATTCATTGATTACAGCATAATCCAGTTCGATTTAGATTGCGATACTTAGGTATATCTACTTCTTGAATAAAGATCTTTTCTTTATCTCCATAATCTTTGTCTATCGACTTGAGGTACTACTACATATATCTGCACAAAGTCTATGCAAGATGTTTAAAATTGTCATCAGTTTTCACCCTACCTGTCAGCTAGGGTGAAAAAGTCATCATTTCTACCTACGACTTGCTGCATTTCTTTCAATCACTCCGATTTGAGGCAGAAGGATAAGTATTGATAAACCTAGTATTCAATTTGTTCAAGCATGCTGAAAAATAAATGTTTTTTTTTAAAATAGGCGTTGACCGTAAACGACGCGTATATACAGCACAGTAATCTACCATATCGTTTGTTAGCCAGAAATGCAAATATAATAAGCGTCATGAGGATATAAGAACGAGTGCAGTAACAATCTATTATAATAGCCTTCGATCTTTATAGTAAAATTAGATATGTATGGTAATATTTGCATATACTTTATCGGCCAGCTCCCTGATGCTATAGCACGTTGCAGCCAAAACTAAGTGATTCACTCACATTTTTTCAAGTAAGCTGATAGAATACTGCTCATCGATAGATCGATAGCAGCATCGTTAATTTCAATTTTCTTCTATACATTCAATATAACAACATTAATGATGTCCAGGACTGTAGAATCGTCCAAATTAACATCATATTCCTGGAGATTTTTTTCGTTCTTGCCAATATGCACATACGCTATTTACATGACAGGCGTGGCTATTGTGCTTGACGCCATTGTTCATCTTTGATCTAGGCGTTGGTAAAAAGAATTCTGCTTAGTCTTTCAATTAGCAATCTAGCGACAAATAACTGTTCAACAAGACTAAAACATTTAATGAAGCGACATAAATAAATCAATAAAAGGTACAGTTAAGCTCTTCAGCGATCCGCATAAGCGTTCGCACTGCGTCAAGATTCCTGAAGTCATGGCCGCAAGTACATGCAACAGTTTGCGTCATGGCCGATCAAGCGATGATTTAAACCACCTTCAATTAGAATTTGCCAATTTGATGATGGGATTTCTACTCGATGCATTAATAGCGTATGAGAAAGAGTTCTTTGGTGATGATAACCACCCTGAAACTTGTCAAAAATTCAAGAGATGGTGCGACAATATTCGATTACTAGAACCCATTCCTGATGTTTTGGATAGTATTCCCATTTTAGGTCCATTCGCAAAAGTAATGGTTAAGTTCGCTACTAATGTTACTGTAAATGAATTAGAAAAGCAAAGTGTGGAAAAACACATGGAAAAAGTCCGTCATGTTCGTAGCTTTATAAACCGATGGCTTAAGGACTTACACACTATCATAGCTATGACCACCTGTCAGATATTTCATCTTTACCAACAACAATTTCATCTCCTAAAAACGACCAATGTCTACGAGTGTGATACCATGTCAGACGAAGACAAATTAAGCAATCTGGCATTACAGGCGACATGTAGAATATTTAATTATATCCATAATAAAGTCATAGAAAACACTTCTATCCAAGTCAATGACATAAACGATGTCAAAACTGTTTTCGTCCATGGTATCATCTATGGAAAGTCAGATGAGGATGATCCATTTCTTAATCTCTGTAAAGATTCCGTGCTGTATACATTCTTTGATAACGTGGGGATTGCCATCAGACATGATGATGATAATTTCTACTTTTACACTAGACCACGCAATAAATCTGTTGCAACTTATCTCTTTGGCTATAGGCTCTTGACCATAAACGAACAAGATACCGGTCCTACTGCGCTAGGATACACTAAAGCCGATAACCCAGAGCGCTACAACAAAGCGAAAATCTCTCGATTACGTGACAGACAATCATTTAAATTTGACAATGTAACTAGTGATTATTCTAGCTCATCATGTGCTATAGTATGTAGCATTGCAAGTCAACTAATGGCCAATATTCCACAAGTATCGATGGAAAATCATCACCAACGCCGAAGCAACACAATTAAAAAACTTATTCAATCTCATAGATATAAATACATAAATTTACATCAGCAACAACAACCGGAAAACCAAGATACAGAGAATATAAAACTATTAGAACAAAGCCCTGAAGACCAGCGAAATAATATCGACGGTAAGATAATGTATCCTTATACTGATATAAAGTAAATGAAGATGTTCACTGCTCCCCTTATTCAATTACTGCTTATTTGCAATTCTGGATCACGACTAAAACAGCAAGTGCAACGATAGACTGTAAATACTTGCATTAGATATCATCCATAACATTAGAGTACTGTGTTTTCGGATTAGAACTTCACCAGCACCGTACCGTTTTGGTCAACTATTGCAATGCAAACAGATTAGATATCTTCCATGACGCTAGAGCACTGTCCTTTCGGATCAGAATTTCATCGGCGCTGTACTGTTTTACTAAATTTTTGTAAAGTAAACAGAGTAGTTACTTTATCGAGCAGAAGAGTATATCACAATGTATGTGAAACTTAAATAGATGTTGAAAATCATGATCTATTGACTTAGCGTAAACACAAGGATGTAGGCAACATGGCTCATGCTAAATTCTAGATTAAAATTCTAGTAGATAGTTTCAATGCTATAATATGATTTTGTATAATGGAATCATCCTTGAATGATAGTATATACTCTTCAACTTGAGAAATGAAAGTTGTTTTCGTGTATTGTTGCACTGCACGCAAAAGTCTACACAAAAAATAACTTAAAAGTATCACGTTGATTACAGCTACTGCAAGCGCTGGTAGAAATTTAGTCGCAATATTAATTAATATAGATTTCACTAAATATCACCTTTGGGCTTACGAAATACTCTACTTCCCTGCTGATGAAAACAAAAAAAAATATGCAATATTCATTCGTAACGGAAACAGTTTGTTATCTAATTTCCTATCCACATAATAGAAGGAAAGGACATTTACTGCAGTATAAAAAATAGTACGAACTGTCTTAGAAAAAAAGTAAAGGACAATTATTTATTAAATACATAGACATAATAAAAAATATTCCTTCTATCCATCGTGAAATTTATTTTCCTTTCATTTCAAGATCCCAGACCAGTGATGCCTTATATTGCTCGAGAAATTGGCGGTGACTGGCAAAAGTTAATTGCAGCATTAGATTTCGCCATTGATACACAATCGATTTTCCTAGAAATGCGTAGTATATATCAGCAAGCGTCAAGTAGTTTGAAGGAATGGTATGAAAAACATGGCGATAATGCGACTATTGGGAGGCTTATTGAAGCCTTACACGAAATAGCAAGAGAAGACCTTGTTTTAGGCGTAAAGAATAAACTCGCTAACTTAAATGGAGATAATGACGGTATGGTTTAATACAATATTTAAGCCTTGCATAAAACTAACTGTTGACAGATAATTTTCCACGAATGGAATCAGTTTATCAGAAGGGAGGTGTATTTTCCAGTAGTTTCTCAATGTGGCTATTGAAGCCTTCTTTTAATCCTATCCAGATTTTAGACAAAATAGTACATATATGATCTAATTTTCTTTTTAGTATTAGACCAAATAGCTCACGTACTTCATTACACTTTGTACAGTCAGAGTAGTACAAATTACAAAATTTTAATTACGGCTAACGTTAATTAATTTTATAAGAATAACAGAAATAAACAGCAGTATTGTCTCTTCCATTACTTGAACTACAATAAGTATACGGGTAGTGTATTCATAATACAGTACTATATATAGCAATCTGACAGCAAACCGGTCTTCATTAACGAAGAATCATAATTTAGATTGTGTGATGCATTCAACGACATGCCTGAAATTGTCCGAAGTTAAATGAAACATGTGTACAATATGTATATATTATCGAACTAAACGAAATGTAAGCTATTCAAAACTAGCCCTTGAACGGTCATTTATATCGTTTAACATGACATTATCGATAGGTATACCATCATTTTTCTCCTTCCCTATAGCAGTTCAATAACTTACTGTAAATATCCTTAGCTGTAACAGCAGATGATATGAAATGCTACAAGGTGCGTTTTAACCTGCAATTCAAGACTACTTGAGAAAAATTTAACAAAAAGTATCGTAATCAATTGCTTAGTTGTACTGGCGATTCCCAGATAATATACAGCTATACACCCTGTCGCCAATTAAAATTATAATTGATAGACCCATAATTATAATCAATCAATCACCGGTAAATGAGAATGAAGCCCTTTAAATTAACTGAAGCAATGTTACGAATAATTAATTATAGATCATTCTCTTTCGTTGAATTCGAAATCACAAACAGAAACTGTCGTTTAAGCATAGCTACTGCTACATCTGAAAATTTATAAATTTAAAGAGAATTGGCAGCCAGGTTTGAAGCAGCCGTTGGTAGAGAGAGGAGGCAGAACATCATGCTCCGCTAATACGTAATTAAGCATGTGGAGCCAACTTTCCTTACTCTTGGTCGGTTAAATAATTACTTCGCTCGTATTTTGTAATTATTTCGATTTCTTATAATATAAAGTGCTGATTTCCATAATCCGCTAGTAAGAAATCTTGACTTACAAACGCTTGCGCAAGTATACGATGCGATAGTTATTTTTACTCCTAGGTAGTAGAATCAATATTTGTGATATAAATTATTATATTATTTTACTATTACAGTGGTTATACGATATGGCGTTACAATATGGCTACTGAGGACTAGTATCGTCCATCTTCTATGTAAAACTGAACTTTACAAGTTAAAATTTGATAACAGAAATTTTATTAAATAAGATTTGAATTCATTTTTTCAATTGTCTAGTTTCTAGCTATTTGTGTGTACTACCAGTCTATCTGGAATTATAGATAACATAAACCCTTCGACCTAAATTACAACTAAATCAATTAGATACTGAACACTTCAGGATAGAGAAAGGTAATTTAAGATGTAGTCATAATAGCGTGCTATGCTTTCTCGTCTCCGACATATCAATCAACGTGGGATGCAAAACTTGCATAAGAATTGGACTCGCTCAACAATGTATTGATAAAATTATGGCATTTATTAATGCTTAATTACTGTACATGTGCATTTGGCATAAAACGATAAAAAATTTAGCCTAGATTACCTGTCACTTCTTACAGCAGAAATATTGTACAAAAGTTTATGTTTCAATCACTATCATAGCAGCATAGCGACAACTTGGTACGTTCTTAAACATTCATTAATCTTCATTGATTTGAAGATGCAACGACAGCTTTGGTATAAATATAATAGACTGGTTGGTTGATTTAATAGATAGATGTAGCTGTTTATACAGAATTAATTTGGAACTACGCCTTTGTATCAAGCCTATTGTAGTCAATAACGGGCAAAGTTATTAGAGATAATACGTTGCAATGTATAATACACGAAACGGCCTCAAAGTACTGTATGTCGTAATACTTCAATGATGATATCGCAGAGACAGGACAGCATTAGCCGATCGCATTCTCTCTAATACTCCATCATGCCCAAAACTTAAACTATAGTTTCCTGTTTTTGCTGCCACTTGCGCTTACCAACGAAAGGATTACTAACTTGGTCATCACCTTCTAAAACTAGCCATTGCCTTTTACGGCAACTTCTAATCTTTCTTGCTTGTTCTTCTGTTTTTCCTATAACAAGAGTCACGATAGGTTAGCAGTCATTTATCATGTAATTTGCCTCACCTAGCTGACATACTGTATGCAGTACAATGTATAACTCGGTAAGATCATATAAAATCAGTGACAGTAAAATAGATCGATCAAAGTTGGAAAAGCATGTACTGAAAAGATAAGTTATCTAGCTGATAAATAGTACAATAAAATTACATCATCCAATATTGGATATCATACCTCTAAATGTAAAGATGCCCCATGCATTAGCATGATACATGTCCTAAATAAACGTCAATATCAAAAATTAATCTCGTCTCATAACGGTAAACCTGTAACAGTTTTACCCTAGCATGATACCGAGCAATACAGCTCCAATGTAACGTATTACAAACAGCTGATGCAACATCTTGTAAAACATTGCTAAAGTGTAAAAGTATTTATAGCCCGTTGCATCAAAATGTAGCACATTCCGCTAGTGCAACCATTTTGGAAAGCTTTGGAAAAATAAATATAAACCGACGTTTATCCAGTGAGGTATTATGCTCATACCATCAATCAACTAACAATTTACTCTAACCATCCTAGTCAAAGTTCAATCAAAGATGTGATACTACATTCCAACAGGTGCAATAAAATGTAGCCAAAAGTTAGTAAAAATGTACGTAAATCGTCTGCATACAAGTGTATTCGTTCCAAGCAAGATGGTTGAATGCTACTGTAAATAACGTCTATTCTGATTGATTAGTTCTTAATCAAGCAAATGCACAATGTACATGTACCATAAGTAGAGTTTCCGATAGGCTTTCAAGGCAATTACTTACACGCTTAAATGAAACACGGGTAATAGTCCAATACGATGGTTCATCATATTTTAACCATATAGCCCTAGTAACTTTTTTACCAATCCCGTAATACTTTAATCGATTTAAAACATTGGGTAAATTAGCTAAAGAACGACCTTTCAGGAGAAGATTAAGCTTTCGCATCACCGGAGGTTCCAACATGCTTGTTCACTATTGAATTGAATACGATCAAAGCAAAATTAACGCAGCCTCAACAGCCTATGGATCAGGAACAGTAACTGTATCTACTGTGCTAATAAACGAGCACCAATCAAAGTATTTAATGCCCTTCAAAGTGGAATAGTGATAGCGATAATGTCTACGTTGGACTTGTTTCTTGCAGTTTTTCCTGATGTTTTGCACTCTCTTCCGAATGTGTGTGCAACTATGCGTGGTAGACTCTTGAGCTTGGCCCTGATTAAAAAAAGAAAGAATAGAGCTGCTAAAACCCGATACTGTACCGTACCGCACCATACTGCATACTTTAGCTACTGTTTAAGAGTGTAAGGAAGATATAAAAGAGACAGAGGAACAACCGGACAGACCGTTTACACTGATACGTGACAATCCACCACTCGACAAAACGACACTGTACAGCGAGAGAGGGACAGCCGGACAATGCAGCTACAGTGTACAGTGTATAGTGTACCGTATTATACTGTACAGTATAGTACTGTAAGTGAGCGTAATTTTCGATGATGATTGCGTACAGTATAGTGTATCGTTGTAGACATACGGTTCAGTCAAGGTGACCAGTAATATAATCATCCAGTTATTTTTGAACAGCCTTAAAGTTTGCCTATCCTTCTACTGTACTGTACTACAGTGTACTGCAGTAGTGGAGTCGGATAGAAGCCATTCCAATTTTAGAATTATTTATGAGTACTTTGGGTCTAATTAATCTGAATATCTTGTGCACAGAAAGTTCATCCAGCCCCATCGATAAATCTGTGATGTACAGAAATTGATAATCTTAGTATAGAAATCTGCCATTTGATCAAGATTTCGATACTATGACCATGGATTACTAGAACATCTACTGTATCTTCGGCTAGTAGTCCATGTTATAGTCTACTACTATTGATTGATTCATACCGTATCCATACTAAACAGGGAAACATTTGCCGATTTCTAGTCTCTTCTCCGCAGTGGGGTGTTGTGCGCAAGTCTGCCGTAACTTAGCAACTAGGTCAAGCTTGCCGTAAGTTGGTTTACTACTAGTTTAATTGATAGTCAAAATTTCCTGTAGTGTTAAGGCGTATATGTATATGCAATCAAGACAAAAATTCGATCGTTTAATATTTAGATTGATAGCACGATGGCGCATACTTTAGATCGCCAAAATTTTTATGCTGGAGCTATCGTAAACAAAAGTAATCACAATAGGAATGCAGCCAAAATCAAAAAAGCTGCCGTTACCAAAACCGACGCACTATTGGATCATCAGGTATGATAGAATGAAGATTATCTTTCCGTTTTGTAAAGAATCAAAAAGAAACTCATGTTACCCTAATTCTAATAAATATTATACCACGCCAACTATTTTCGTATGCTAAAATCTAGTGTTGACTATCATTATAGCGAATAAATGCCACATACGATTGCTTATGATTGATCAAGCTAATGCTTTCTTGAAAACAGATAAAATTCATCAAAGAGAAGCAGGAGCAAATTTTACAAAAATTAGATACATTAACTAATGGATCTGGGAATACCTTAACGACAAAAGAGGTTAATATGGTTTACAATCGAGACATGCAATAGCCAATCAAGTCTTCGATGATATCATAGCTGTTAGCTTAATGCGAAATTGCTGTAGTGAATAGAACTTAACTTAATACTTCATCATACTATTGAAGCAGTGTTAACTGTAGTCCTCAAGTAGGGCAGTTTAGCTAAGCCTGATATCAAATTTTAGCGGTGAATTTGACTTTATTATTGATGTTTATTTTACTCATGTGAGCACAGTGTGACTTCTCTGAATCGCAAATTCAGTTAATGCAATCTGAATTAGCTGACATGGTAATCATGTTACAGGTAAGTCTTGTGCTAAGGGCCGACACTGCATTCTAAATATCCTACTCATGTTATATGCTATCATCTCAATATCTTGAATACTGAATATAAATTCAATCCGTTACCTATTTATAGACGGCAATAAAAATTCGTTTAGAATTAACTTATAGCAAAAAAGATCTCGAAAATGCTAGCGAAGAATCTGTAAGAATACTTGATAATAATGATAATTTAATCATATATTCGTATATCACTGACCCATACACGCTGCTTCAGTTTGCTTCATCACTGTCTATAAAACATCTCGTGATAATATCTAATTTTACTTTATCAGTATCAACCATGATATCATTTACAATTTATCATACTGTTAGTGACCATGATATCATTTACAATTCCATTTTCACCGTTTAATGTCCATTAGGTAAATGTAACAAGAACACGTGTACGTTGGCTAGAAGAGCGTCTAGAAACGATATTGGAAAAAATACAAATTAAAGAAACAAATATTGTAACACAAATCTTAAAAGTTGAAAAAAAAAGTACAAAAAAGAAACGTGTTGAACTTCCAGCTCAAACTAGTCTGGAAAAGTAAGTATAGTTAGGCCGTATAACTTCAACGTTTTATATACTTCAAATATACCAATAGAGTTTACAGCAGCAATATTTTATTATTATTATTAGAGTTGAATCAAGGCCTGGTACTATAAATGGTAATTATGCGGTGTCTCTATCAGATTATTCATTCCCTCACCATGCAGATTCAATAGCAGATTATCGACGAACCCACAACATCGAATCTGCTGCCTTAATACACAGGTAGCGACAAATGATTTTTTGCTTTGAACATGTCTCATATTAATGGATGAATATAAAATTATTGCTAAGCGCTGTTTTATCAATTTGTTACCATTTGAAAAAGCGAGGAAGATATCAGATCGAAATCTTCCCAAGTCTTTATAACCGAATTTTCAAGCGAAGCTGGTATTAGCGACGGATTTGATCAGTTATTGGAATCACAACATTTACATCAAAGTGTAAAGACGGATGTTAATCGATCTGTCGAGTACTGGCTATCGGAGCATCATCAGTTCGAGCGAATACCTAATGTTTATGAAGATAATTTGTTATCGTGGCATACACTCCCAATAGCAGTACCATCTACCCATGTTAAGAGACGTAAGTAGAATAATTGAGGATTAACAGATACGCTTGTAGTTAGATAGGTTGAAGTAGTTCTAAAATTTTATCAGTCTCTTGTCTCAGCTTTATATATTTCTTATCGTACTTTCTAACATATTTGTTTCAATAAATGGTAGAGTATTGTTCTCTGCTCAGCTAAACTAATTTCGCTAATTAGATCACGACTCATCAGTATGATTCAAGTAAATATGTGCCATTCTTTTTTCTATATAGATGAATTTCCCGCTAAAGGTCTTGCTTTAAAAATCAGCAAGCATGCTATAGATGCCGTCGATATTCACGTAAATTTTCTGCTCATATACTTAGCTAAAGTCATTATGTCCATACTTATATTCTATTTAATTTGGTATTAAATTAATACAATCTTAGAATATGGCTTTGGAAAAGTTGTCCAGGCGAGTCCGCCAGCTGTGTAATGCACTGTATGATGTAGCTCAAGATTCCATAAGTCCTCCCAAAAAAGTCAAAAAAATACTAAAAATGAAAGACACACGTATTGCTAATTTACATGGTATTGAACTTAGTGAATATCTTGATCTATAGAAATATTGTAACTGGAAACTAATGATTCATATTCTTAACAATTCTATGGTTTATATCCAAGATGAAGTCTATACGAAGAATGAGGACTATAGCAAAGTAAGAAATATTTATGAGACGTTATTACAACGTAGCTTTATCAACTCTAAATAACACTCTGGCTTTTAACACAGTCGATATCATTCATGAGCTTATTTTTTCTAGTTACCATTTCCGTTAAGCCTGAATATTAAATTTAATTACCGTATTCTATAATTGTATTTGTAAGAATGTTTCTCTTACAATTTGATCAATTTGATCGTTCTTACTACAGACAATTCATGACGATGCTAGTCACGGTAGCGTGATAACTTCTATAAAAGATAGCCTTGCTCTGCCGTATATTACACATGGTCGTACATTTAGTTCAACGGATGGTCAAACAGAAGCCGGTGTAAGCTATAGGCCTCAATCAGTTAGTAATGTCAAGTATCGAATAACAAAGGTAACGACTGGAACAATCTTCATTTCCCCAGGCTAATTTATAAATTAAGTTCGTAGTAAATCCCTTTATCATGTGATCAGTGCAGCTTGTCACGATTAAGCAGTTTGGTGAAGCTAGTTTCGTTACAGCGTTAAGAATTACCTCGACTTCAGTAGCTAAACTAATATATCTGATGAAATTATAAGCGTAAAAAGTTATCCAGTAATTAAAATACATTCGTGTTAATAAAACTATATTTAAATTCTTATACAGCCTTATTTGAATCTATAAGCCGCAGGAATTATCATTTATTATTGTTTATTTGAATTAGAAAGTTGCAATGGGAAGCATATTATGAAAATAGTTTTTAACTATAATTTTAGGTTATATACAGACTTTAATCAAAACAAAAATAGGATATAGACATCGTAATGTTGCTAACGATTTTGATTAGAATTTAACTGCTTGGAATAGTGTTATTAAATTACTTAATCGACTTGGGTCTGCCGCAGAAAAGAAATGTCTTAATAACATGAAACTTCGATATTGACTAGAAGTATACATGTAGTTTTAATCAGATTAATAGATGTGATGATCAGAGCAATCGAGAAATTGTACATTAATCTTTTGAAGTCCATTGAGTTACAGATGTAGCACAATAATCCTTAAACATTAGCCTTAACTGAATGATTTATAAATTTCATTTATCAATTAATTTCAGCAAATAAATCAGCAATTTCCTCAGGAAGTTGCGGGATGGTATCGATTCTCTGACGATCTAGGAAATATAAAGCGTGTGACAAACGGGGCATTATACGATGAACCAGTGAGTAATTATTTCATACTGAACAGGAATAAACTATTACCAAAGAGTCTCCTGATCTAATGCACTTTGCCTTGAAGCCGTGATCTATATAAGTTATTATCAATATGTAAATTAATTCTTACGTTACGCAGGTCAAGGAAAAAGTGAAAGAATATCAGCCACGACAGTAAGTAAAGCAACAAATTGGCAATTTAGTACTATAATGCTATCGTAGATATAATTTCTCTCATGTGCTATATGCAATTGCTTGATAAAGGATTGCCTTGAGTAATTTAACTTTCTTGCTTTATAGGCGAACAAAATCCATTAAGGCAGTCGCTAAAATGCAAATCTTAGGTATAGGAACATAAGAGATATCGACTGAAAATTAGCAACCGATATTTGATATATGAGAATCTATTTAGGATAATAGTCATATAGACGGTAGCATAAGTCTAGTATCTAATGCAAATTTATATTACAGGCAGCAGGACCAGAACTTTATCAGGGACAAATAAGTTATCTAAGCCAAAAATTCCTCATGATAGTAAAAAATGGGAACGAATAGAGGTAGAATTTATCGTAAAACCTGCCGCTATGTGCGTCCTTGCATTTAGGATATTTTTAGTTTAAACAAATTGCACCATTAACAATCCATGCCTTCATTAAAAGCATGATAACAGCTTTATGAAATACAACCATAATACATAGCATAGACTTTCTGCTTAAAGTAGCAAATAATTCACTTCTTAAACGAATAGATTAATTCAAAATCATGTCGATGCGTCCATTGGAGTATGCCCACATATAATAGCGATTCTAGCTAAATCGTTGTGATATCACTTTAATAAATGGTTGGTAGAATTTCATTCTTAAGCCACTAAAAGCATTACTGTATTATAAGTGTTCAGAAGACATTAAGACCACCAGCAGGCGTTTTAGCAGTACTGCAGATAAAGTTTTTCTCATGTTAGAGCTCCTCTTAGTGCCATGAAATAAACTATTTGATTATAGAAAAAATGCTTTAAAATATTTATTTACTCTACTTTCTTGTTCTCTGTTTTGTGTAAGGACCTTATTCAAAGCGGCCTTGCTTCATCAAACGCAACAATAAGATTTGAAGGTGCCAAGGTAAATGAAGAAAAACGATTGTATCAATATTATATTTCTATCGTCTACTAGGGTTATCCACTATAATGCTTTAGGAGATCTTCTTTTTAATGTGTCTTTATCCCTAAATATCCCGATTTGCTTACAGAATTTGGGTTTATTGGATTGCAATGATCGACATATCGTTAAGGCATTGGCAGAACTTGTAAGAAATTTTTTCCATCATTACCTGCTTATTTAATGAATACCAAACGTGATAATAAAAAGTTACTGGTGCGATTATTTCGCTTCCATTCGACCCACTTAACCTGCTATAAAACGTTAACTAATAGGTTAAAGAAGATGATGACAAATTAGTCCGGTATGAAGCAAGCAAATCCATGCTCTTAATAGGTTTGTAAAATGGATTGAAGATCATTTATACTACAAATAATAGCATCCTGTACAATATCTGGCAGGAAATAATATTTATTTCATTGGCAATAAAAATTTGCAGGTTCATGGGAAGACTGTGCTATGCTCGTATTGACTAAATTCCTAAGAAAAGGTAGGATGGGCGAAAATTTAGATCAATAGATACTTATATTACATCATTTAAAAACGTATTTTCCGTCAACCACTTAATCGTAAACACTGCTTTTATTGGAGATTAATGTTACTATCAATCTCTAAAGATTTAGAAATAATCATAGTGTGCTAATTCTTATTTACATTAGGGAATACTCTAATAAAAAGAGATATAATGGCTACGATAATGAAAGCTAAAGACATTCAGTACATTATTAAGGTAATCAAGTTGCTGACATTCTAAAACTACTTATATACGAAAGGATGATAACCACATACTTTTTTTATATTTTTAAAACTAGAAATCTAAAGGATTTCAGTTGCTAAAGCTAGAATTAGATGCAATAGCCGGCTCAGAAGATGAAGATTTATCCTACCAAGCAGCTCTTTGCCTAGGTAGAATGTGTGTATCAAGTTCTACGGCAAAGCAACGCTTACTTCGATGCTTGGATATCGAGCTAGGTCCTGTTAAAGCGAAGGTAGTTTGCTTTAGAAGTTGCGGATAATTTTACCTTTCATCACTTTCACTACCACTTTTACTATCACACCTATTTGTCAATCTGCTCCATAATCTTCATCGCTATTGAATGATAGTTAATATCTTCTGGAATTTTACTATCGTAAATGCCTCTGTAAATGAGCCCACCAACTTGATTCAACTATCAAAATTATACTCTACATCAAACTAGGCATTAGAGACCTTAATTAAGCAATTTAATGTCAAATCCTCAAAAGTTATTGAAAATGTCCTCCAGCAGCTACAAAAATCGTCGAAATGGGCGGTAAGTTGATGTTTTATGATCTAGTACCGGATTTTAGCTGTGTTGATAGACTCTAACCAGATAAATTGTAATTTTTTTCCTCTAGCATCGAGTTAGCGCATGTAGGCTTTTGGGTAATATTGGTGAGTAATCTTCTATTCCGTAGCTATTACCAAGATCTATACTAAAATGATGATTGCATAAAAGTTCTTTTAGCAAGAATTTAGAATAGTAATAAAGTTTCTAAACATTTAAAATCTTGACGAGAAAAATAGACAACCAACGTTCGATAATTTTAACTTATACGAGTATTTCTTATATTAGGTCGATTACATGCGCTAACTTTCGACGCTGACAGGATTTTTATCATTCTCCAGCGCCTTTTATGGGATGATCCTAGCAAGGTTGGTTGAGTTAAGAAAAACGAAATGAATATTGAGAAATACTAACGTTGCACTAGTCGATAATAATGCATTTGTGCAATGCATATTACATCAGCATCTTAAATCTAAAGTAGTTATTACAAAATGCTTACTGATCATGTAATTTATGTGATTTCGTAATTTATTTGGATATGCATTAAAATGTATCATTGATTCTAAAAAGTGATAGAAAAGTAAGAATAAAGTGAGAAATAAAAGCTACATTTGGTAGCCTTTTCTGATGTCGAATGTAGATTTAAGCCAGATATCCGCAATTCATTGATATTTTTCTTTTATCTTTGACGTAAAATAACCCGATAGGAAGTGCGAAAGGAAGCTGCTGAGACTGTGAAAGAACTGAAACTGAAACATGAAATGATTGAATCTATCTTTGAGTAAGCCAATGTTGACGATATAAACCAACTTCTATGATTTATAACTCTAATTTATCATGATGGTTTAAATACTAAATTCAAATTTAATTCGTAAACCAAAGGCGGCTGGAAGATGCGAGCAGTAAAGTTCGTGCACAAGCTGTTAAATCTCTTGTAAGTACCCCATATGATATAATGTGAACCCAGAGATATTCCCTTGATAACAACTTGTTCAATGCCAAAACATGTAAAAAAATAATATTTAAACGTTTAAAGCTCATTGCAGTGGTCGTTAATCACATATTGAAATATGAGTGTTAGAGAACTTAATATTTCAATGATTACAGGTACGCGTAATAAAAACTTAAAGCTCTATGATATTGGTATGCTTGCTCTACTACAGCTCTCACTTAACCTTCTAATTTAAAGCAAGCTTGGCAAAAAGGGCAGTTTTTATGCTAAAAAAATAACGATAGGGATATCAGTTTATTGGTCTAATAAATTGATTATATGATCAAGGCAATATTGCTGCAATTTTACCTGTAAAGAAGCATAATCATATCCAGTCCTTCGTATATCGGCATCTATTTTTTATTTATTCCTGTTAAATTGAAATCTGATCACAAAGATAGTGGCCGATATGATGCTAGGAACTGGAATTAACATTTCCAGGTTCTCATACACAGTGTCTAAGCAATATCCCGCTTTTTCTTTATTTAGGCGACTTTAAAGCTAGATACTGAGAAAGATATTAAAATCTTATTAGAAATTGTGGAATTAGATTCTAGTATCGATGTTCGAGTTCAGGTAAAAATTTTCAGATTACTGCCTTACAGCTATAATTTAATTATGACGAAAAATTAGTTTACAACATTTTTCATACACGCTATCCACTAACTAGTTGGGTAAAATTTACAACAGCTTCTAAGATAGACAATAAATCTTCAAATATATGAGTATTAATTCTATTAAGCATTCTTTACGTGTTAAATTTAACATGGTTTATTCTTTCGATAGGCCATACGAGCATTTAGCTATATGATGATTAAAGATAAAAGAGTCATTAAGAGCTTGCGAGACAGGCAAAAAGGAGATGTGGTTTTAGCAAAGTAAGTTTAGAAATTAAGCTTAAAGATCCTTGATATCCAATCGTCTCATATGCGATTTATTATTTCCAATTTTCAGAGAAGCAGCTGCAGCTCTTAAAATTATTCTCAGCGATGTGAAGAAAAAGTTAGAAAAATAGATGATTTTATTCTTTAATCCTCTTCACTGGAATCAATTATTGTAGAATATATCAAAGAATACTTATTATATCGGATTTTAGTATCGTTAATGTTTGCCATAGCTTTAAGTAAAAGATTCCTGGCAGTTAATATTTTGCATCAACTCCATCCAGATGGAAGCCGCCATTGAATCTATTGAAATTTCAACTATTGTACATTCCTTCTAAAGGAGTATATAAACTTTGCATCGATACACAAAATTATAGGATCATGAGGTTAAATCTAAATTTGCATTACATGGCGATTACTAATGAAGATTCTTAAAAGATCATTTACTAAACAAATATTTATCTACTATTAAGTGCAATGTAATTGGCAGTGAGCGAATATAAACGTGTATCTAATTTGTATCCAGCAAGTAGAGAATATACATATTTTACTCGCAAAGAAAATGAAGTAACATTAATTACTAAATGCATTTTATATAAGGCTTTTCTACATGTATTTTCAAATAGGTTTTTAGTTAACGAATTTGTAAGCTATGCGCTAATTTTTACTCATCCTCCATAAATCTTTTGGTTTTGGATCAAACAATAAGATGAAACCATCTCTAAAATCATGCAAGGAATTATCTGAGCATAATTTGAAATATTTTTTCTATAAATTTATTTATTCGAAAGCTATCTTACTTCCAACAGAATACGTATAATTCATTAAAATTAGTTTCATAAGAGCTATTATTAATACTCAGGGTTATTTCGCGAAATTTTCGCAGATAATAAACTGATCATTATCTTGAAGTTTATAAGTCCAGCTTAGAATACTTAAATGTTTAATGTTTTGATAATAACTGCTACACATACTGCTAAGTAAGTAATTAACTTTTAGACTAGATACCGGTAAATAATGCCGGCAATATCAATGCTGTAATGCAACCATCTTGAAATCAACTACGCTCTTAAACAGCAAAAGGAACTTTTAAAAAGTGCAAATATAATTACACGCCTATAGTAAATATAACCACCATTAAATTTGTTGGCATGGTATTTCATGCACTATCCTATATTATTTAATGGCTTGGGCTGTAATGCTCTTAAGGAAGAGAAACTAGCTTTTAGAGCAAAATCCGCCATACCCTGGATATCATACTGAAATATGGCAATCTTGAAAAAGTAGTAGTCTTTTATACAAGGAATAAATTCAACATAATAATTGACAGCGACAGCATTATTAAAATGTTCCTACTTGAAATTATGGCATGTGAAATACTTTAGTGCTCACTAAAGCTCACCTAAGATATTACATATAGACTACGGTAATGTTTGTAGGAATAATCTTAGATATCGTTATCTTTCGCGGATATGAGACATCGAGCTGGCTCTTGAAATTATTAATGAAGCTAAATGCCACCTCTGAGAGATCAAGATTGAGGATACTTATTATTATATCGAGAAAGCAATGATATATATGTTTTCATCTAAAGCATACTCTGATCACGCTTTCATCAGAATCAACCTCTGAACGAGCATAATTTTAGGGATAGTGGAACAGGAAGCACTAAGATCTAGCTTGTGCGAATCAAAACATATTTCTTGGATATCTGTAAGCTACCAAACAATAAAGATTTTGAAAATCTCTAATTCATAAGTAAAGAAAACTTAATAAACCTTAAGGATAAGCAGAATAATTTTCATATTCATTATCTCGACCGTTACCAAAATCAGTGTATTTCAGGATCGGCTATGAAACTGGATCAATTTTGCTCGCTTAGATAATTGTACCCTGAAATATTAGCCAGTCTATCATAACTACTGACAAAGTTACTTAGAACAATCAATATATCTCCAAATTAGAAAGATTTAAAATGATGTTCCTTATACTAACGGATCGATAAAATTCCTATTTAAAGATTATTAACAATAAATAGTAAGCAGTATATGCGAATCATGTCTATTTTATTTCTGCTCCATATTGTGAAAGTAATAGCTAAGAGAAACATATCAAAAAGAAAGTTATAAAATTGAAACCTGGCTAGTACAATAAATAGTTTCAAGTAATTTATATCATCCTAAGTGCTTTGAAGCATTGATAATAAATTCTTTCCTGATAGATAATGTAAGCAGCAATCATAGGCCTAAATAGATCTTACTGTGTGTGTAAGTTCTAATAGCAAAGTAACATAAAACATAACTTTTATGATAATCAGTGCTGAATTTACTTTTACTGTTATACTAGCCAAATATTAGCTAATAGCCCTCTTATTTAAAGATGAAGCAAGAAAATACTATCAAAAATCAATAAGTAAAACCAAATTTCATAAATATGAGGTTCTCATACTACCCGCACATAAAGAAATCGAGTCAAAATCTAGAGCAAAGTTCCTTTTACTTGACCAAAAAGAGTCGTATCAATCTGTACTAATCGAGTTGGATAATGCATAAATAGCATTGGTAGTAAGCAATATCTTTAATTGTGCTTAAATTCACTTATTTCGAGCATCCTCTGCAGCATCACAAGCCTTTCTACGGAATGCAATAAATTTTTTAGCATTTGGATCATCATCGACTCGATCATCAATAAGATTAAAAATCTCTCCTGATATGCATGGCATAGATAATTTTAAATTCAGTTCAGGTATTTCTTCTTGATTTGCATCCTTTCTGTTGTCAATAATGGTGATATCTTTCATCAGAATAACGCTTTCGCCACCGTAATCATTCCTACTAATCATGTCTTGATCCATCACTGTAAATAAAACGGCAGTTCCGGACGTCTGAAATAGCGCTTTATCGATAATGCTATAAATTTAGAAAGAATAATTTAGCTGTAAGCTTTGCTTCGATATATACTTAAATTTAAAGATTCAATTCTATTGTATATGTCGAATATCGGTTTGTCTTAAATAAGCAGCTAGAATATAATTTGTTATCAAAACATCGGAAGCTACTAACACAATTTTCATGTTATGCTTAGAAATTAAATGGTATAAATTAGGCTGGAGATTCTATTGGCTAAAAATTATAATTTTATGCTATGCTTGAAAATTAATGATGTAACGGGAAGAATGGCTTGATTAAATATCCTGCGTATTCAATTAGCTAAGCACCATAACTTCCATAGCATGCTTAAAAATTGATGGCATAGTACGAAGAATTAGCTGATTATTAAGCATCCTGTACATTCTATTAGTTATGAGAAATAACTTCCGTGTTTTGCTTGGAAATTAATAAGAAGACATGAAGAATAAGCGATCAAATATCTAGCAGATTCTGTTGGCTAAACACTATAATTTTCATGTTAAACTTAAAAATTAATAATGAAATACAAACAATGAGCTAAAGATCCTACATTTTCTACTGGCTATACGTTACAATTTTCAAAACCTATTGTGAAAAGATATTGTCGTGCATGATATTGGTTCCAGCAGATGGGGTTTATCAATTATATTTTAGTAAAGCAATAATATTTGCAATACCTAATTTACAGGGTCTACTTACAAGGTAAATGTTTCTTCAAAGACTGGATTTAATGTCTTTTTGCATACTTTAGTCTCTTTGTGTGAGCATGAGAAAAGATTCTCTGGGAGCAGATCAATAACGACATACGGATCGCTTAATCCTATTAATATGAGAATGAAATTCATGTTAAATATTCTTAATCTCAAGTCTGTAACAAGATTTATCGTTTTCGTATTGTAAGGATGGAATCAGATGACAATAAGACTAAATTCTAATCTTATAATGTATAAAATCATAATGATTGGAAGCAAATGTGAAAAGTTCTAAATTCGTAAAAAAGTAAGATACATTATAGCTCGAAGGAAAAATTCTAAAATAAATTACTATTATCTGAAAATTAGCTTTCAAGATTATTAAAGAATTACGCTAGTCGGAAGAAAAGATGAATGATTTAACCCTATATAGTTTTTAGATAATAAATGGAATTACTTTAGACTAAATTACATCCAAAATACGAGAAAGAATCAAATATCTCCAATACAAAATCTGCTAATTGCTAGATTCAAGTATACAAGTATTATATCGCATCATCCAACAAGAACAACTAGTCAGTCTAAATGATTAGTTGATAGAAAGTTTAAATGTGAATATTACCGTTAGAATCCAGTGCTAGTAAATTCTTGGCATAGATGACTATAGAATTTAAGATATTAGCCTTTCAGAATGCTATTCTAGTTAATTTTAGTTAATTGAAGTAGAAAATAACGCTGGTAGGGCAAAAGCAATTTACCGTTGACAGAAAGTTTATGCTGGGATATATCATAGAATAATTTTACTGCTAATGAACCAAGGTTTTCCTCTTGCTTTGCTTTAAGCTGTACAAATCAAAATATGTTTTAGAAATTTTGTAATAAACGTAACACCATCTAATAAAAACTTAGTACTTCTCGTTTCCAAGCAGCACCGCATTTATTTTATTTTATACAGTATGTACAAACTACATTACAAAGGAAACAAATATAAAGTCGTAAATGACTCTTATTTGATCAATCTAAGGAGCCGATTTCTCTTTCATAGTCGGTAGACATCTTAATTGATGTAATCACAAGGAAATCCTAGAGTATAATGGATTCTTTTATAAACCTGATTTTTTACCTTCTCTTCAAAATAAAGTCCAATAAGTCTAGTAGTATCCAATTTAGCCACATTTAAAAATTGCACCGTTTGCTGAAAAGGAAAAGTATACCATTTTTAAATCAGGTTAATTTAACCATTTTAAATGGAATATAAACTATTATATTAACTTACTACGTAGAAATGATCATTTTCGATAGTAACAAGATCGATACCATCTCCTCCATTAAAAAAGAAATCTTTCAACACCTAGAGTAGAAGAAACTTGTCAGTTTTACTAAACTAAAATGAATATTCTAGCCCTAAAAATAGCTTAATAAGCTGTAGGAAGTCTCTAAGTGTTATATAAAATTGTAAATTTAACATTGCATGTGCGATATAGTAGACTCACTGCAATCTTAAGATTATGTTATGTACTTATCCGTACTAAATAGTCACAGTAAATATTGGAACATTGGTTAGGAATATCTTATTAAGATGATTGGAAACAACAGATTATGCTGGTTATTGGGTGCTAGACTAATCAGAAATTATAGACATAAATAGAACTGACTGATAATGTGTATAAACAGGAAATTTAATCTCCAAGTGTTAGTTAGTCTTATTCTTGGTTGAAAGAGTAGATAATGTAATAAAAGAACATTATAAGTTATTGAATTTTGATCATTTCTGATATTGAGGCACTTTATCATAACAAGATGTATCCAACAAAATTAGACTAAAAACAATAATTACTAATTTGTGGGAATGATAATGAATAAATTGATTGCATTATGTGCGGCTTATTTATCTTCTTATAGTAACAAACCTGTTGACAATCCCATAGCCTATTATAAACTTCCATCATTGTCTGTTCAATAGGATTAGTTGAGGTATTAGACAATAATCTTACATCAGATAATTTTATCCGGCATCTTCAGTATCTTAAATTGTGAAGTTTAAGTACGCTACGGTTAAATGATGGTAAAATCTTACCATAGACTTTGTATCAGACTTAAAGGAAAATAGAGAAGTTTTCTGCTCTCCTACTTTTAGTGTAATTTGATAAAGGCATTTCATGGTAACATCTACAATTTTAATATTAAAGCTAAAGGAGGAAAATAAGCAATATCTATAAGTTCAAAGACAATGTCTCGATAAAGATAATAACATAGGAAATATTTACAGTAAATCAACCCGAAAACTTTAGAATAGATAATAATCTGCATAGATATGCAATTATTACTCTATTACAATTTTTGATTCCATAATCACTTAAATACCTATGGTAGACATCTTTGAATAGGCATTCCTGCAATTTGATGGAATTTTCTTGCAGATAGCTAAGCAGTGGAGATATTGCCTACAGTTTAAAACAAGAAATGATGTTATCGAAATTCATTTATAAAATAGGATAGTTACAAAATGCGAACAAAAATTTGCAAAGAATAAGCTATCAAGAAGTTGGGAAATCGCATCGAAATTTTTATGATTTAAAGATTGATCAGATTAGAAAAAAGGTCAGATACCAAAATAGAATAATTAAGACCACTATTGAGACATGAATATCTATTTTTCAACGCCATGTAAAACAATATTCCGTCTAATGTTTGTGGATTGGAAGTTGCATATAAGGCAAGCAGGTCCGATACGATTGTATTATGGAACTAGTTCAGGATGTAAATATGCTCGTAAATTATTATCTAGCTAATAATTATTATGCTATGGAAATTTCAGGTCAAAATTTCTGTATCTCGTAAAGAAAGAATAAATGTAGGATGATGCACTACGCATAAATCCACCAAGAAATGATTATGCAATATAGTTACAAAACCGTATTTAAGCATTCAATAGTTTGGAGATGAAACAGCCTAAGTACTAAGTAAAGTATAGGATAGATACTACATATATATCTGCAAATCATACTATCATAAATTTCTATATAAATATTGATTGTAATATTTGAAAATAAAACAAGAGATAAATAAAAGGCAAGAATAATTGCCATGTATAACTCATTTACTAAGTGATCTAGCAGTTACAAACTAGTATAGAAATATTTATTCATTTCGTAAAGATTAAGTGAAATTGAGAAAGGTCAGATATTAAAAATTTACGGATGAAATATCATATGCTAGAAGATTTAGTACTGTTTCGAAAAATTCACATACTGGCATGAGAGGGCCACGATATACGCGTACAGTATATGCGTATGCTAATAAAATATTTCTCAATCTGAGTTTTAGGCCAAAATGTCCATAGCTGGAACATTAAACAAGTTAAAAGCATAAACGTAAAGCATTAGAAGCTATGGCCTTCGAATTTATACCTGATTAACATTGACAGTCGGCGGCGATGATGAAAACGTCTGCAAATGCTTGTAAATGTCAACTTCCATCTGCATTAATTAAAATATCACAAATCATGAGAAGATTTATTTCCAAATCAACTTTTAATCGAGATTCGCTTTACAAATATAAAATATCATCAATAGCTCAAAATTCGCAGCAAGCAATCTACTATGTACCTTTTTTCCAACTTGATCGATCATAATCACTGTTTTGTTCATTAAATCGTCATCAGCACCTTTTAAAATATTTGTCAGTACAGTTCGAAAACGGTCTTGTTGATCACGGCCATGATGTGATAAATTTTCAATCGCTTGATCGAAATTTAAATCCTTTGGTAGTGATTGCAAATTTCTTCGAATATGATCCAGGTTATTTAATGTTATACACAGCTAGAATCCATATTTATCCGGTGATTGATTCCAGATAAAACCGAGTGATTAATCAATAGTGCTAGATTTAATCCTTTATACTTGATAGCTAATATTCCAAGATTTATTCATGCATATTCGATACTATACTGCACATAATTTATAAAGCGTATACTGTAGGTGGCTGTTTCAAAAGTTTTAAAAATAACGAGTATAAAGAAAATTAACTCCAGAAAATGTCGAACAAGACTAATAATACACTATAAATTTCATTTACTGGAAATTGGAAAGTACCGTAACTGCAATAGTACGATATGCCTTTCATTGCAACTTTGCTCGCTCTAATTTCTACGAAAGTGAATTATATCCAGTTTATGACTATTTCTAAGATTATTTAGAGTATCTAAATACTCAAGATATTTCGTCATTTACGGTAGATAGCATTTTGAAATATCATTTATACACGTAGACGCAAGAAGGAAAGATTGGATCAAACGATGATCCAATTTAGCTCATAATAGCTTTCCTACGATGGACTATATTGATTTTAGTATAATTGTAGGTCTCTACTATATCTGGTACTACTTCCTCATACTATCTGCAATTTTAGATTTTCTGAATTGGCTTTAGTTAAAGTATACCTGTTCAGTAATATCAAACGAACCAACGTCATCGTAGAATTTAGCTACTTTCAGGCGGTTATCAAGTAGATTTCCATAAAAGCAGCCAGCATTGGCAATATTCTAATAAACAGAAAGGAAATAGCTATTATGTTAGATTGGGGTCTAGCAAGGAAACACAACTCAATTTTAAATGATCAGCAATGGGTTAATGTTTCTAAAAAAGTCAAATAACACTTAATAAAGGTAGCTAAGCTTGTGTTTACGTACATCAACAATTTTAGAAACGAATGCGAATGCCTCATCAGGTTCTGGCCATGCAATATTTTTCCACAGCTGACAAGTTTTATTGAATAGGCCAGCAGTATCGACAGCAGAAGACGAAAACTTGAAATTGGAATCAACAACCTAGATGCAATCAGGTATAACCTTGGATAATCAGTTATTTTGCATCTGCTGCACAATAATATTATAATTTTCAACTATATTTTATAAAAATGCAAAAGCTAACCCAAACTATCTAGTATCATAATTGTTAAAATATGAAATTATCTTATCTATAGTATATGCGAATATTTGAACTGGTGCAGAAAATGAGACACGATCTAGTCAAGATTTAATTAGCGCATCAAGATGAATTCTAAAAGTTATTTCCCTACATTTACCTCTTCAAGTTGGACGGCTTTTGTAATTCGTTCCTTAGTATCTCGAAAGTCGTTACGAATTAGCACTTCTAATAAGCACCTGGACCATAAATGAATGGAGTCTAGCTGTAATGGAATTGATTTAGCACTTTCGCTTAAATGAGCCCGGTAAATTGCCAGGCCTTTTAATGTAAAATATAGATCGGAAACTAATTGATCAATCTTCTCCGATGTAACAAATTCTGATTTGTCGAATCTAGCAAATAGCCTTTTAGCATCTTCACTGATCTGGTTAAGAAGATTACAAGATCCAGAATAAATTTTCTGCTGAATTAATAAGATTTCTTATATACTGGTACTTGGAAATCAAGTTGCATAACTCAAATTAGTAGTTTAAAGAAATCAGTCAACTTAAAAATTTAATAATATTCACTATTCCTATGCAATATCGTACCACTTTATCAATAATTAGGAAGCAATCCGTGAAGTAATCATCACAAATCCTAATGCAATGGAATTTTGTTCAATGATAGATTAGAATCTCACAATAACATCACTTTAAAGCATAGGTTCAATATAATTCTTCTTACCGTGAAAACACCTTGTTATAAAATAACTTGGACACCTTTAAATCCACATACATCTTTTGAACGAGTTCTCGAAAGAGTTGAAACTCTTTAGTAAGAGTCTGAAAACATAATAAGTATGTTAAATCAAATCAACTAGGTAGAATTTGCTATAATTACAAGTCAAGATAGGCTTGATTAGGTAAATGCTGCATTCCTGCGGTAATATAGACTATGAATCAATTTTTGTGTCTTGCGAATTATTCTTGAAAATTTAGCATTTAGCTAGCGAGTAGCAAGCAGCATTTTGTCATTTTATGACTTCTTAAATCAAGTTTTTCGTATCTTTTAGCCTTATTCTCACTAATTAAACAAGATTAATCGCCAAAAGTAGATTTACACATAGCAGCTAATTCTATAAGGGTTAATTATTCGAGTTTGGCTAGTAATAATGAAAATTGCATCATATTGTATCTGTGCAAAGATACTTTTTAATCTGATACCTTATTCCTATACGAAGAAATATTAGTCTTGCTGCAAGGCTCTATAGCGCAGTATAGGACTAGAGAGTAAAATAATTACATCTCACTATTTATGGGTTTATCAGTAAAATTTTTTTGTAACTTTGCAGTCTACTATTGCTCAAGTTTTAAGTGGTTCAGGTAAACGATGAACGTATGGCTATAAGCTAATTCTATCTGACTTGGTATAAAATTTATAATTTCTCATCTAATCAATATAATTATTACAAAAACTACTAATATTATCAAGCTCTGAAATTACAAGCTACTACAAGCTCAGTTATGCTATAAGCTGTCTATGATAATTAATAAAAGCATTCAATGTCATTATTCTAGTATATTGCAGAGCTAACCAGTAAATTATAACATCATTCTCAGATCATTATTTTACCTTAGCTTTAGCTACAATAAGTTCTCGCTGAGTGTAATACCAAGATTCTGTTCCTTTCTAAATAGTGAAAGCAATAATTAATCAAACATTAACTAGAATAGAGACGAATCTCTTGATTAAGAACTTATCTAGTAGCTGATTCTTGTATCCTATTCTATCTATCAACACATAAAAGCTGATACCTTGCAAGCATTTTGTATATCTATCTTTAAATTAGGTTTCTTGCGCCGTTGTTGAAATTTTTTCATACTATAAATTAACTTTAAAATGCTAACAAAACCATCAATATCAGATCAGATTGGCACATAATACGGTATTTTTCCAAATGAAAGCATATTTACGCTTTCATAATCTATAGTGTCTACTTACCCAATTAATTCTGGCAGTGCACTGAGATTTTGAGTATCATTTTCAGGCATTAAGTCCCTCACATGATTAAAGAATATCATAGAGCGATCTACGAAGGCTTCTAATCCAATCACTAATTCCTCGTGCTAAAGAAAGGCATAAATTGTTGAAAAAATTTTCTAATGTGACAAACTGATAATTATAAAGTAAAGAAAAATTTGTTAATCTCAATTTATTTCCAATACAATGTTCGATTCTGATTTTGATTAATATTAAATTTGAAGACAAACCATATCTGGGCTAAAGTCATCAAGTGAGGCAATAACTTTTTTGAGCTCATTTCCTAATACTTTATAATCCAAAGGTTTGACATCGTTAATATAGCACTGGCATAGTATGGAACTAGAATAGGAAAATACAATAAAAGTTTATTTTTCAAAGATATAGGCATACATGTATAAGTTTAAATCAACGAACCAAATAGCCTGCTGCCTAAAAGGAATATCATAATGCATTGCAACTTCGCTTAAGACGCCTTTAGCGAGTTCTGACAATTGACAATTCCAGATTAAGCCGTACTTATCCTAACAAACAAGATTTTAATAGTCAAAAATATGATATATATTTTACTAATACAGGACAGATAATGAGAATTCATCTACAGGATTATATATTTATTATTTTAAATGCAAATTAGAAAGTAGATAAATGAGATAGCAGCCTGTTTCAGTTCGTTTATATGTTCATGTGGCAATAATAAATTTGTACAGATACCTCATGAGTTACCGTAATTGATTTTAATATATTCTTCATATTAGCATATTAATAGTTGCAAATGTTGCTTTTTCATATATTATGCTGATTAATTCCGTGCTTATATTAATAGCAGTTCAATTGCAATACAGATAT